TGTAAGTCGTTCCTACTCCCTCAGAGCTGGAACGCAACTGCCGGTGTACAGTATTGATGGATCTAATTACACTGTAAGAAGCTTTTCAGCTGGAGACCGAAATTTAACCTCAAGACGGTACACTTTCCTGCAGCATGGGGTGCATCACATCCCTGGATCGAGCCAAGCTGAAGTTTCATATGGGCAAGTTGAATATCCCCTGGCCTCAGTGTTGATACCCTGACTATCCAATGCCCTCCCTATAAAAGGACACAGCGAGGAAGGAGCTCCCAAGGGTATATCCATTTCTGTCGAGGGCGAGGATGAATGAATTGGCCCATGTTTGGGGCAAACAGAACTCATTGTGAAAAATACCAACTCTTATTATCATGAGAGTCTTTGAGCAGTCGTGGAGCTAATTTTCTCCATTGCTGTGTTCAACATTCACACTCTCTTGCCCCTTCGCCTGCTTAGAATGAATCTCTAGCCCCCAAGAAGAGTAAGTCCTTCTCTTATCAATCTCCAATCAAGATCCCGCTTTTTCCATCTTGTTAATCCATCTTGTGGCTTCTCACAGACAAATATCAATTTCCAAACACATTAAGCCCATTGCCTCCAGATACCACAGTTGGGTTGCTTCCACTCAGAAGATACCTCAATGCCGTCCGCCCAACACTCTGGCAGCGGAAACACCGCTGTGAACCCAACTGCTCAGACCAGCCAGTTAGGTGATGGCCATCGGGACATGGCCAGACGACCAGTCACGCCCGAGGCCCCCATACCAGATGAAACTCTTACAATCTTCGACCAGCTCCCAGACCCAGAAACCCAAAGCCTGGTAGCCTTTGAGATCTCCTGCTTCGATCCCGTCGAAGGTCTCATGGGCCAAGGCGACTGGTTGGCCATCCTCCTAACTCAGTGCCCCAGCACGCACCTCGGAAGAAAGCTCTGGAAATACCTAAAATACCTTCGACGGAACTTCGCCAACCATGTCTCCCATGTACCGAACCTCTCGGCGCAAACGGCTCATTTCCGTGAGCGGGCAGAGTACTACAAGCGGGTCTTCGAGGAAATTGAGTCCCTCGTCGATGAAGTCTGCCATGCTGCGCATACCGAGGAAACTGCGGTCGTGAGAGAGACGGAGCTCAGGACGCTACATATTCCTATGTGCGTGGCTATCGCCAAGGCGATCGTGGATGCGGCGACGGAACTTGGCAGGAAGACGGGGACGTTTACGAAATCGACTTTGAACATCCTTACGAAGGTGTCGGTGTGGATCGTGAAACTCAACCTCGTAGCCGGGGATATGGTCAAAGATGGTAATCTTGACGGAGGAGAGTTTGAGGTCTCGTTGGGGCCGAGGTACAGGATGGTAGAGGCTATGGAAGGCTTTGTGCAGAGGGTGTCAGGGGGACTCAACGCGATCGCAGCGCAAGAGAGACTACTAACCCGTGAACAATCCCGAGATTCTGAGGGGCCAGAGGCTGAGAAGCCGCTTGGCATGCAACCCAACCCGCAGTCCATTACCCCTAGTGACCCAGTCGGGACCGAGAAGGTCAGACCTATGACAACTTCTAATTCGCCAGATCGACACGCGAGCACGTCAAGTCGTGCGCCATCTCAGGATGGTTCTGTGCGAGACGAAGGACTATCTCGCTCAACATCAGCGCCGTCAGATGCCCGCAACAACCCCAGCAACGAGAAGCCTCCTGCCGCAAAATCGAACCCCTCTATACCAGTGGTATCCTTCACACGAGTGGACCGAAGAGCTCAGATGAGGGAGAAGATGGCGCGGAGGGCAAACGGCGGCGATGCCGCCACTCGAAGGCCAGGTTCCGCGATCACTCCTAGAAGTACTATCACCGCCCCGCGATCGGCCTTTTCCCTTCCTCCCGATTCCACTTTTAGCAAGGAAAGCAGCCCCACGCGTATTGTCACGGCCACCGCGATAACATCGACGACGGCCAGTTATAGCGTCTCCTCGCCTGTCCAACCACGTGTCGCGGGTAATGCGCAAGAACCGAGCTTCGATTCCTCTACTTCGCATGAGGAGCTCTGTGTCTCTTCTACCAACCGGCTCGACCCTAATACAGGAAGGTGATACTATCATCGTCGAAACACATGAGGGCAGTTTCCCATGGCTGGCTAACAGGTGGATATCGGGAGGTTGGCGTGGCGGCCGACCTGACGCGAGACGAGAAGGAACTGCGCACGCACATCTCTGTTGTTGAGGTGGCGATGAGAGAGATTTTTCAAGCTCACGAGCTCCTTTTGGGTGTATAGATATTGAAGGTGGTTCGGAGCGTTGGGGAGTTCAATGGACACTGGAGTTTTATGGGAAGGGTTTGGAACAAGACTTCAATCAAGATGATGCATGACTTCAATAATACCAGTAGTAATGAGAGACTCTACTCTGGCCAATTGTACTTCTTAACCCTCTTAATTTTCAAAGTTGCTACTAAGCGTGTATTCAAAATCGACCAAGGGTAATCGCATTCCCATTATCCATATTTTTCCTTCCTTTTTTTCTTTCCCCTGTTCCCGATTCCTTTCCTCTCTGACGATAGGATTCGGGCTGCCTCATATGAAATAATTACAGCCGCTCCGCCATCTATCGCATCTAAGTCTATTGTGGTGGGATACAGGGACGGACAGGACAGACGGACGAGGTGAGGTTGAGGTTGACTCAGCAATCGAGGATATCAAATGTTTGGTCTGGCTCGCCTCTCTGGGAATTAAGAGATCCGGAGAGGCCTGAAACCTTAGGATTGATGCAACACCATATGCTCCTGAGAGGGGGCAAAGCTCCCAGTTTGAATCAATTTGAAATTGGTCCTTCAATGTTGTCGTCAATTGATCTTTTCTTCTTTTCTTCTCTCTTCCCACCTCACCTTGGAAAGACTCTCGTGAAACTCGTCCCATAGCTCCCATTCCCCCCTGCTGCTAATCGAAGACGAGGGTGGATCTCACGTCAATTTCCTGGGAAACGGTGCGACTATTCTCAGGCCTGAACAATAAAGTGACAGCTCACTGACCCAGACCGAGCTCTTCTTACCTTACACCGCCTCCGGGATGATGACGAAGGATTATTATACCATCTCGTTTCAGGAGGCCTATAATACCAGGTGATATCCCGTGATGGACAAACTCAGGGAGCTATTTTTTCTTGATTGTCAACCAGACTTCAGAGCTTAACCATGGGGTAGGGGGAGGGGAGGTTTCCCTCCCAAGTTTCCAAGCATGGACCAAGCGCAGATCCGCATCGACGTTGCTTGGGAACCTACCTTGCTTTGAGAGGTCGGCAAACTGTGAGACCGTGTCGGAGGTGAGTGGTAGTCTAAAACGGGTATTATGCGTCATTGCTTCTTTGCAACGGCGAGCACGGGGTAATACTTTTATAAGTTTGTCTGCTAAGAGGCTGGGATGAAGGGTCTTCTGAAGGGGTCTTGCTTGCTCTTTTGGGGGGAAGCTAAATTGATTGCATCCATGTTCCCAAAGGCTCTTTGACGCGCATGGTTTTTTTGGTTTCGCGCAAGGTTTGGGGGCCTTCGTACCCAATTACAGAGGAGCATGGGAATTCGTGGGAATTCGTGGGAATTCGTGGGTGTCCAGGGATCTGCGAGGCAGGTTGTGCAGGACTGCGGACTCAGGTGGGCATTGATGTAGCGGTACGGAGTCTAGGATGGGACATCAGATGAAAGTTGGGACGCCAGACTCCATCTCGACAGGAGGGTGGCGTTTCTTCGATAGAATTGGGGAGCACGCATTAGCTTCAATGATTGTTTTCGCAAGCTGCGATCAGCTTGTTTGGTGTCTTGCGGCACCAAGAAAGCTGGACAACCACGCCATACGATGCTCCGTCCAGGGGAGCTGTTGCTCTAGGACGAAGTACCAGAACACGGGCTCCAGAATTGTTGGTTGATTGATTGATGCAGGTAAGCAGTCTTGAGGCTGCCCCGTGATCAGACACGTTGATACTTCGTTCCTCGTACTCATGCTGGTGGTTCGCCGTGTCCAGGCACTTTGCTGCGTGGTCCCTCGTGCAAATTAGTACATACAAACCTTGAGTACCGGTACCTCTTGCGGTGTGATTAGAGTGTCACCACCGCAATGAAGACTCCTGGTTGGCCGGCCTGACTAAAGTGGGTGCTAGGACCCAGGCTAGGCTCAATACGGCCAGCTACCAATCCGCAACCTGGAAGTGCCAATCTCCAAGGAAGGCGGTCCCTCGCGTAGTATCCATAGTATCCATCCCTCATGCTCGGCCCGGAACCAAGAAGCCAATTTTTCGAATCCTCCCCCCTTATCCACTTCTCCAAGAAAATCTGCGCAAAAAGGAAGTCGAAAACACCACGAGATTCATACGAGGGACCAACGTTTAGAAGAATTAACCCGCCGCATAACCCGTTGACTCTCTAGTCTCAGGGAGAGAGCACCGTGTTCTCTATCGTTTGAACGACGTGTCTGTCTTACTGAGCTTGCTCGACCGACTTCGTTGGAGCGTGTCATTTACTCAGGGGCCCTTTTCCAATCGACGACCCCACGAGTCCATTTTTTATCGTCCGATCTTGTCGACTTTCCACCGAACGCCTTTTCGTCCTGTTTGTTCAGCACCGTTTTTCGTCGTGTTCGTTGTCATTCAGCCTTCCTTTTAATCGTAGCTCTTTTTGTCAAGGAGAGCTTCTTTGGGAAATATCTGAAGTGGTAAGCGCCAGCAAAAACCCCTTCTGTCCCTCCTTGGCGGTGTCTCTAGATATCCACCATTGATGTTCCTCCGCGCAAAGTGAGACGGTGGTATTCTCCTACACAATTCTCAACCTGTCCCTAGAACGACGCGACAAGTATTTCGAGCTTATACGTTTACCATTCATCTGCCGCTAAGGGCAAACTCGACCGGGCCATCCGTGACGGGAGATCATTAGAGGGGCTTTAACTAACCTTTCGCGTGGTCTCTAGCCGTACTTGTTTAGTTGCACCACTCCCGATTAATACTGTGATATACTCTATTCAAGGTAGACATTATGGCCGACAACGAGAGCTTTGAGGTCGTCTCCCACGGCGACGCTGCCCCTGCCGCCTCGGCTCCCGCCGAACCTAGTCAGGTCCCCTCCTCACCTCCATCCGCCGCCAACGGTGTCAGCAAGACGAGGACGGCAACATCGGGTTCTGCCACGAAGCCGACCACAGCCCGCCGCCCAGTGACCGCCTCGGCAGCCACTAAGACGACAGCGTCCTCCGCCGCCCGTGCTACCGGTGGGCTCAGCAAGCCTCCAACCCGACCTCCCGTGTCGTCCACTGTCCGCCGCACAGCAGCTGCCAGCGTCTCGTCTACCGCTACCCACCGATCGCGGGCCTCCATCTCTGCCTCCGAGGATGAGAGCCACAAGCGGACCCTCACGTCCAGCGCCCGTCGCACCTCGACTGTTTCTGGCTCTTCGCTGAGCTCCTCCTCCCCCGGAAGGACCACGGAGCGAAGGACAGGAACGGCTACAGCCCCATCCGCTGCCAGCACTGCCAGGCGGGCTGCTGCCGGAACCGCTGCTGCCGCATCCCCACGAACTGCTACCAGCTCGACGTCTTCGAGGACCGCTGCCTCCTCGAGCGCCGCCCCGACGAGTGCCACGAGAACCCGTTCCACCGCTTCGACCGGCGTTGTTGCCGAGGCAAGGAAGAGGCTATCACTCGCCAGTGGAAGTACCACTGCCGCCCCCTCTGCTGCGAGACCCGTGTCTCGTTCCTCTGCTAGCGGTGCCGCCGTATCTAGCAAGGAGCTCGAGGAGCTTAAGGCTAAGCTAGCTGAGAAGGAGGCCGAAATAGAATCACTCAAGACCAAGGTCCAGACAGCGGAGGACAGGGTCACCGAGCTGGGACAAGCCGCCCAAAACGAGGAGGCTGGTGCCAAGGCCGCTGAAGAGCACACCGTCGAGATTGACGGCTTGAAGGCCGAGCATGAGACTGCCGTCGCAGACCTCGAGGGACAGGTTGCTGCCGCAAGTGAGAGGGCGCAGGCCGTCGAGGCCGAGCTGGAGCAGCAAAGGGCTCAATACAACGACATTGTTGCTTCCAAGGAGGCGGTGGAAGCTGAACTCGTCTCCCTGAAGCAGACAATCGAGACCCTTGAGGCCGCCCATGCCGAGAAACTGGGCGAATCTCAGGCTGCCCTCAACAAGGCTGTTGAGGAGCGCCTGAGGGAAATCGAGGTGCTCGAAGCTAAGCATACCGCTGAGCTGGAGAGGATTTCCTCCAACTCCTCTGAGAGCGAGCAGGCCATCACGGCTCTGAAGGCTAGTCATGAGGCAGCTCTTGCCGAGCTCCAGAACAAGATTGACGAGTTGACTGCTTCCCAAGCGACGCTGGAGGCTGATCACGCTGCTTCTATTGCAGCTGCTGGTGAGCAGCTTGGCTCGACGGTTGCCGCTCTCGAGGCTCAAGTTTCGGAGCTTACCGCCAAGGTTGATGCTGCGCAGAAGGCTAGCGAGACTGCTGAGGCTCAAGTCCAGGCCAAGACGGCGGAGTTGGAGGATGTCAGGGCCAGCCTTGCGGACTTTGAATCCCAATTGAGCCGTGCCAAGTCTGAACTTGACGCGTCTCTGGAAAAGATAACCGCCTTGGAGGAGAAGGCTGCCACCATCCAGCAGGAGAGCGTCGCCAAGGACGAGGCCCTCAAGGAGGTCCTGAGGAAGCACGAGGAGCAGCTGAAGCAGGTTTCGCAGGACTACGAAGACGAGATCGAGAGCCTCCGTGGAGACGCCTTCTTCAAGCGGAAGTTCCAGGAGCTAGAGGCTAAGCACAACGACCTGACCGAGAACCATGCTGCGGTCGTTGAGAGCCACAGTCTCGCACTCGAAGCTGCCAAGAAAGAGCACGAAGCCGCCGTCGCCGCCCTCGAGGCGCGAGAGGAGGAGTTCCAGAGAGATCTGGCCGCCCTCCGCGCCAGCCACGCCGAGGAGCTCCACAGCGCTAGGCATACGGCCGCGGGCGAGCTGGAGTCCACGATAGACCAGCTGAAGGCGAGCCACGCGAAGCAGATTGAGGTGCTCAGGAGCGAAAGCGAGGCTGCGCTTACCAAGGAACTCGAGGCGCTCGGCGCTTCTCACGCCAAGATCGTCGAGGACCTCCAGAGGGAGATCGAGGAGGAGAAGCAGGGCATCTTCGCTGCTCACGAGCAGGAGCTTGCCAAGGTCAGGGAGGCTGGGGACAGCGCCCACGCTACTGAGGTTGAGGGTTTGAAGAAGGAACTCGAGGCTGCCATCTCGAGCTCCGAGGCTCTCAAGGCTGAAGCCGCCGCGTCCAGCAGTGCCCAGGTTGCCGAAATTGAGCAGCTGAAGAAGGATCTTGAGGTCGCCAAGGCCCAGATTGAGTCGGGCGCCAGCGCGCACGGCGCCGAGATTGAGAACTTGAAGAAGGACCTCGAGGCGGCCAAGGCTGAGGTCGAGAAGGCGCAGGCCGACCTCGTTGCCGCGGTAGAAGCCGCGAAGAAGGAACTCGAGGCCTCGCACGCCACGGAGGTTGAGAAGTTGATTTCGGTGAACGCCGAGGCGATCGATGCGCTTAAGAAGCAGTCTGCTGAGGACTCTGCTTCGCACGCTGAGACGATTGCCATTCTTAAAGATACGCAAGCGAAGGCCTTCGATGACTTGACCGCTGAGCATGAGGCGCGGATTGGTGCTCTTACGGACGAGCACAGCAGCAAGTACAAGGTAAGTTAGCCGCAGTCGCAGATTAGTGGCTGATTTTTGCTAACATGTGAGAAACAAAGACTGCCATTGATGAGCTCGAATCGACCAAGGAAACTCTAGCTAAGGTGCAAGCCGATGTGGAGGAGCTCGGCCAGCAACTCGCGAACGAGAAGATGGAGCGCGCAACAGCTCAAGCCGACCTCGACGCCGCCCGGAACGCGAAGCCCGACACGACAGAACTCGACGCCCTCAAGGTCGAGCTAGAGACCCAGAAGGAAACGTACGAGAAGCAGCTCGAGGCCAGCAAGGCGGAGCTCGCGGACCTCAAGTCGGACGTCGAAGTGGCGCAGAAGGAGCTTGAGGCTCACAGGCTGGACGCCGAGGCCAAGGCCAAGACGGCCAAGGCGGACTTTGAGGATATGCACCATACGATGACGGAGCTCATTGAGACGGAGCAGAAGAAGACTAAAGAGCTGCAGGAGAAGCTTGAGGAGGTGGAGAAGAAGATTGAGGCGTTGGAGAAGACGGTTGAGGAGAAGGAGAAGCAGATCGAGGAGAAGGAGAAGAAGATTGGCGAGAAGGAGAAGGCTGTGGAAGAGCTCCAGGCGCAACTCAAGGTCAAGGATGCGGAAATTGCCGAAGCCAAGGTGCGTAACGAACAATATTCCTCCTCTGTGTCCTCTTGTGCTTGATCGAGAGTTGCTGACGATGAGATGATGCGCGTACAGGCCAATGCTGCCGCGACATCAAAGGATAAGAGCGACACCGATGCTGACGCCGAGAACGAGACGGCGGCTGCCGAAGGTGAGGAAAACGACTATTCATCGGCAGCATTAGCTTCGGTGCGAGGGCCCCTTGCTTGATGCCTCCCTTCTTTTCTTTGAACCTAGTGTAGCGACATCCGTCACGCACGGTTGTCTCTATTTACACAGGGGTGTCTTGTTTGGGCTATGTTTTGCTGACTATTATTGGTTTTTATAGCTGGCAAAAGCTAGGGTGACTGCCAAGCAGATGGACTCGGTCGAGGCGGATATCAGGGAGCGTAACCGAGAGTGAGTGTCGACGATGACCAGAAGGGGACGTGTGTTCTTGGGGAAACGCGGTTTACTAATGCGCTACACAGGATGCTCAACTCGATCACGGACATTACGCAGTCGGCTTAATGCGTGATGATTGTCTGCGTTTTCCCCACTCCCTTGCGATTTCTCTTATGCGACGTCGACTCCTAACTTTGCGTCTTGGGTTGTTTGGTTTCTCTCTTGTCGTTATAATCTTTTTGTAATATTGCGGCTCTGTCGTATTTATCACCCACCCATCCACTTGATGAAAGCTATCGAGGGTCGAAAAGAGTCTATCGAAGTTTTGTGGCAGAGTTGTTTATTTTTCCCATGGGGAGATTGATTTTTTTTTTTTCTTTCTTGTCTCTTTTGGTTCTCGTTCCCCGAGTGCATTGTCGTTGTTTTGTAGTTTGATTTGTGGATGAGTTTGGCGGGGATGGGATTCGACGATACCCTGTTCTTGATGTTGATATAACCTTTGGGATATCTAATTTATTGGACCTGTTCTAAGTTCTGGACGTGCATCAAATATCTTTGTCCGTCTTTGTTGTCGTTAGGATAATGGTACCATATTGCGCTTGGGATATCTCGAAAAATCCGTTTCGTTTAGGATGACTGATGGCTGTGATAGGTGTATAGTACCAAATAAGCAGACGGAGAAACTAACAAGCGGCCGTTTGGTCTAGTGGTATGATTCGCGCTTTGGGTTTCTGAAAATGGTGAACAGTCATTGGCTGATTTAACCTTCCGGCTTAATTGCGCGAGGCCCCGGGTTCAATCCCCGGAACGGCCCCTTCAATTTTTGTCAGTTTTTGACTTTTTGTCCCTTTTCCCGACTCAACCCGCTCACTCTTCAAAGAATGCTTTTTATGGGTGTATTTCTGCGGGTAGAAGAACTACAATGCTGCAAGGATACTAATGGCTCGTCCGTTGACAAATGATGTCTGGACCTGGATGTGATGTGACTGTGACTCGGGGACTTTTTCCTCCCATCATGAAACTACGAAACTACCGGTTCGTATTGGACGGTTCCAAGTCTATCGAGCATCATTGACATGGACAGAGCCCAGATATTGGAAGAAGGACGGACAGCCTTCAGTCTTGACAGGTGCACAGGTGCACAACCACGTGGGTTATTTTCCGCAGCGAGGAATTGATCCGTCCTAGATATAATATGGACGTGATAATATGGACATGACAATTCTGATCTGTCTTTTTCGAAGATTTGTGTTTGTACGTACTACTTGGTACTGTCAAGTGGCAAAGCTTCTAGCATCTGCCGAAAGACCCCGGACTTGCTGCTGTAGTGTAGCTGCATGCACGGGAGGGATTGCCTTGCCCTTTCGTGTTGGCGCCCCCTCATCATTCCCCAATTCTTGGCCCCATTACCCCAATCTGGGGGGAAGGGGACTCTTTTCTCTATGATGCACGGGTTTTCCGAGGGAGAGCTAGTTGATCTAAATCGGGCGTCAGTTGATTTTCATCTCAATAGGAGCAACGCTCTTCTCCGCCGCGGAAAAAAAAGAAGAAACGATGAGAATGGACTTGCCAGCCGAGGAGATTGTGGTGTGGTGAGTGTTAATAGTGGTGCACTGTCCTGCTGGTGAGAGAGGCTTGGTTTTTGGGGTGTCCCTCTTTGGGCGTCCGTGTTTTGGGGATTGGGGGCTTGGGAAGCATCTGCCGAGATAAGCTGGTGGGGGGAAGAGTTCCTAGTGCACCACGCCACGTTCGGCAAGTGATGGATTGGGGGAATGGGATCAATTGAAACTTTTCAGGTTCCTTTTGTTTGGTACTGGAGAATCCCTTGCATATCTCTGATGGGCTTTATTCCTGGGGGATTGTTGGTTTCTTGGGTCTACAGGATTATTCGGCCGAGATATCCAGATTGCGTTTATTTGGTGGACAGACAGCACGGGGCTCAAGTGTACCTCAGCAGTGTGACTGTTCACTATACAGAGGGCGTCCAGGCCTACTCTCCAAGTAGTTTAACCTCTGTACATCGAAGAGCCACGCCGGGCATCAATATCTTTCAACTCAGTTCAGCCCTGACCCTGAGGACGTAAAGACAACTTTGAAACTTACAAGTACCTTGGTCCCCATTAATGATATCGTAGGGTTGACGCATGCGGTTCAAACAAGACCCAAGACCCAGCCAGACCAGACCGAACCAACATTGAACTCCTTCGCCCTCACTTCAATAATATCAATTCCAGCGAAGCCCCCCCTCCCTTCGTCTGAATTTGATGACCTCAACACCCTCTACTTCCCGCCTTCCCAGACTTCGGCGTCTAAAAGGGATCACGAGGCAGCCGGGCGCCACATACCGAGTACTTTAATGCCTGCGCGAAGTAATAAGAGGAAGCACAACCTCCTTCCCATTGCCTACTTCGTAACATAACATATTTCGTGGCTGGCTCGGCGTGCGAGGCGAATGCCGTGAGCTTTATTTTAGATCATCTCCACCTCCCCGCCCGCTGGTTGCATCATAAGCACCACTTTGTCCCAAGGCAGATTGGAGGTTTTGCCTTCAGTCCGGTAAGCACGATGCCGTTGTGCTGGATTGACTCCTCGCTCCGTGTTGATTAGGTTGTTTGCAGTCAGTGATGTGCCGTGGTCTAGTCCGCCCCCGTCATTGCCGAGCAATACTCCATTACCCATCCAAGATCAAATGTCAAATCCCAGATCCCAGGAAAGAATCGACCACGCCACGTCCTTGAAACCCATCAACCGGGACACAGAAGAGGCTGTACCACAGGCGTGGAAGATATCGCAGGGTCCAGAAATGCCTGTCCTCGATGTATCTTTGTCTCCGGTGTAAGAGGTAAGATGTAAGATGATGGACCGTGGGGCCGGCGTGACGGACGGACTGCATACTACACTAGAAAGACACTAGGCACTTGAAGACTGGGGCAGACCCCAATTGATGGGACCATTTAGACCATTCACGCACCCGGTAGCTAGAGCCCGCTCGCGGCAAATGCAAATCGTCATTCTCATTGATGTTTCTGGCCGCGGGCCTGGCTACGGCCAAGAGCTCAATCAAGTGGTGCCCAGAGTTTCAAACTGGGATTCCCTTCTTTCTTTCTAAGTTTTTTTCTTGGCCCAAAGTAGAGAGAGCTGAGAATGCTACTTCGCACCTCCTCCACACCACTTCCCACCACTTCCGCGCCTTAGGACGCCACCCCTTTCCCTTTCCCTTCTCTATTGCTCCCCGTCCCCCGTTCCCCATTTCCCTTTCCCGGGCCCCCTTTTCGCTCCTAGTGACAAGTACGTCTTAGTCTACCTCCTATCGGAGAAGGCGGGGAGTTAAAAGAAGAAAACCACGAAAATGCTGGAGGGGAACCCTGCATTGGCCGTGGATCTTCCACCGTTCGGCAGTGCCTTGCCCACGGCATGTACTAGCAGACCCAATCCAGACAAGGTAGCTTGGTCCTCGCCTTGGAGAATAAAGGTCGCGTATATAGTTCCGAATCTCATGGACTCCAGTTCCCATCTTGGCTGGTGATCTCTTGTCAACGCATACTACACACTTCGGAAGACACTGAAGCCATCGTTAACTAGGCCTAGCCCATCGCTCGAGTACATTCTACGGCAGGGGTTAGCCATCTCCTCTTCCTTTCTTTTAGGTCTCCTTCCCTTCCCCATTTTCTAATATAGGGTGTGTCGTTGCTGTTCTCTTACCCGGGGCCTTGTCTTATCCTGCGCCCCTGCCCTCTGGCCAGCAGTGTACCCGCTTTGTTTCGAGCCAAACCCTGCAAGCCGCCATCTGCCATACATAACCCTCACTTACATCCGGGATCACGGCACGTACCGCTCATCATCCACGCCGACGGAGACTCTTATAGAGAGCCCCAAGAAAGCACCAGACGCCGGGACTTATGAGGTCATGTTAATAAGGGAACCCTCATCCTAACTCGACCATTCTCTTCTGCCAATTTTTTTTTTACTTGGAACCCGTTCACTTAGACTTAGTCTCAGCCCGACGGACCGGGACCGACGAGAGGCGGAGGGATCCCGAGATACCCCTGGACGTTATCCCGACTAGAGACCATAGTTTGTGTGGAGGCATATACTCTTCCCAACTTTCAGTTTCTCTGTACCCCCTTCAACAGGGTCTCTGAAACTCTCATACGCCTCTTCTTATACGCCAGACCGGATTTTTCACGATTCATCATCCGCCACAAGATAAAATCCAATCCACGCCAACAACTACCCCAATCATGGAATCCCTTCACTCCCTCATGGAGCCCCTCCAGGACTCCCTCGACTCCCTCGTGGATTCCCTCCACTCCCACTTCACCACCCACGGCGGCATCACAGAGACCATCCTCACCTTCATCCGCTCCAACTGGCTGGCCCTCACCGCCGTCGCCTCCGTAGCCTACCTCGCCAAAAACCGCTTCCACAACGGCCTCAACCGCTACCCGGGCCCTTTCCTCGCCTCCCTCACCGACTGGTGGCGCTTCGTCGACGTCTACGGCCGCCGCCCCGAGCTGACCCACATCGCCTTGCACAAGAAGCACGGCGACGTCGTGCGTCTGGGGCCCAACTATCTGTCCTTCGCCGATCCCAAGGCTTTGAAGGCCATTTACGGGCTTAACAAGGGCTTTATCAAGTCCGACTTTTACATTGTGCAGCAGAGCGTCGTCAAGGGCCATAGGCTAGCTTCGCTGTTTAGCACCACGGATAATTCCTTCCACGCGCAGTTTAGACGATGCGTTAACTCGGCTTTCGCCATGTCGGCGCTGGTGCAGTACGAGCCCTTCGTCGACAACACGACCAAGTTGTTCCTCGACAGGACGGAGCAGCTATTCGCGGGGAACCCCGAGGGCTGCGATTTCACGAGATGGCTCCAGTTCTACGCCTTCGACGTGATCGGCGAAATCACCTATAGCAAGCGCCACGGCTTCATCGAGAAGAACGAAGACATCGACGGCATCGTGCAGTACCTCTCCAAACTCTTCCTCTACGTCGCCCCCGTCGGCCAGATCCCCTTCCTCGACCTCCTCTTCCTCAAGAACCCGCTCTACCTCAAACTCTCCCAATGGGGGCTCTTCGACTCGACTTTCCCCGTCGCCCGCTTCGCTCGTGACCGCATGGCCGAACGTCTTCCCGAGATCAACCCCAACGGCGCCAAGGCCTCGACGACGGCTATCCTCCCCGTGAGCACGTCGACGGCCCCGCCTTCGAAGAAGCCTCAGCGCCCGGATCTGCTGTCCAAGTTCCTTGCCGCCCACGACTCGAGGCCCGAGTTCATGACTGATACGCTTGTGCAGACCATGGCTGTGTCGATGGCCTTTGCCGGCTCTGAAACTACCGCCATCTCCCTCGGTGCCGTGTTCTACTTCCTCCTCAAGAACCCTTCCAAGCTGGCCAAGCTGACGGCCGAGATCGACGCCGCTGCCAAGAGCGGCCTCTTCTCCGACGGTCAGACCGGTCTGGTCACCTTCCACGAGGCGCAGAAACTCGAATACCTCGATGCCTGCATCAAGGAAGCCTTCCGCCTCCACCCCGCCGCGGGCCTCCCCCTCGAACGCATCGTGCCCCCCCAGGGCGCCGAGATCGCCGGCCACTTCGTCAAGGGCGGGACGCTCGTGGGATGCTCGGCCTGGGTGATTCATCGACGGCCGGAGATTTTCGGCGAGGATGTCGACGTGTATAGGCCGGAGAGGTGGTTGGCTAGGGAGGGGTTCGATAAGGCGGAGGAGGAGAGGAGGATTAAGGGCATGGATGGGATGATGATTCAGTTTGGGATGGGACCGAGGACGTGTATTGGGAAGAATATTAGTCTGTTGGAGATTTATAAACTTGTTCCTAGTTTCTTGAGGAGGTTCGAGGTAAGTTTCTTCTCTTCTTTTTCTCGGGGGATATGTTTTTGTTTGGGAGATGCTAACGGGCAGCTTGTGTTTCAAGGTTGAACTCCAGCACCCCGAGGAAGAATGGAAGCTCGTCAACGCCTGGTTCGTCAAGCAGCACTTCCGCGCCAAGTTCAACAGACGAGAGATTATCCAGGCCGACGAGAAGGCCGCGGCCTAGATCGACTTTTTTTATCCCCTTCTCCCTTGAACACGGAGGGAAGCGTCTATTTAGATTTTTAGGGGGAACATGGGCAACAGCAGATGGATTGACGATTTCTTTCTCTTGATGTTTTACGAAGTGAAGGTGGTGAGCGAAGTTGAGTATCGGGGCAGAGGCTGAAGGGGGGAGTCGATGTAAATACGAGATCATTAGTGTCCATATTTGTTTTAGCTATTTTTTTGCCTCTCTTCGAGTTATCGAATTCTGGTGCGCCTCGCCGTGGTGTGCGTGAATGTGGATAAGAACATGACATGGCGAGCAATGGGGCCGTCCTGGTGTTCGAGGTCGAAGAGGATAGAAGTCCGTACCTTTACTATGTCATGTCGTTTCGCATTGAATCAATATCTACAAGCCCGCACCATCATAAACACCCCATCTATTATCTCGTCATGAACAGGAACAAAGGAACAAATTCCATCAAAATAAGAGAAGAGAAAAAAGATCATCCAACACTGTCCTGTAACGAGGGACACACACACACACACACATCCTCATCTCCCTTCACAAGCCACCGCAACCGCCGCCCCCAAAAGCGAACTATCCCTCGCCTCCATCAACTCCACCTTCCCCCCCTCACCCACCAACCCGTCCAGATACCCCTGACACATGTCCAGGTACCCCGGGTAACTCTCGATGACGGCGCCGTTGAACGACACCGTGGTGCGCCGGGCTTCCCGCTCGATCGCGGCTTTGAGGGCGTACTTGGTCGTGCAGTGGTCGTCGCGGAAGTTTAGAACTTGGCGGTGGGTGAGGGAGGCTTCGCTTCGGAGCTTCCAGAGGGTGTAGATGGATGTGGCGACGATGGCGCTGGAGCGGCGGGTGATGAAGGAGGCGAGGGAGGATATGGCTTGGAGGTCGGAGGGGGTAGCCGGGGTGGGGGACGGGTAGAGGGTGTTAAAAGCTGGGAGGGCGGTTTCGAATGTGGGAGTGGAATCACTAGGAGAAGAAGAACCGTGTTAGTGCAAAGTACTGGGTACGTAATACGGCGATGTAGGGCAGAGCACGAAACCACACTTACGCTGCTATGAGTGCCAACGTCTCGGTCCGCAGGCTATACGGCTTCCGGAGTCCCTCTGGTACAACACCACCTAGAATCCCTGTTGTCTCGATAGCTTCCACCAGTGGTATCCTGCAGCATTCTCCAAGATACATGCCGCTAACAAGATGCTCCAAGGGCTGAAACCACGGCTTCTCGTGCGTCTTCTTCAGCTCCATGTCCCACCTCGTCAGGGGTAGGACATCCTTGCCGTACATGCCCAGCTCGGTGTTGACCACGACATGCTTTGCGTCGTTAAACCATGACGAAGGTCGGCCTCCGTACTTGGATATGGGAATCGAGGACACCGGGACGAAAGCGGCCAAGTTAGTACCGGTGCCGAGAATAAGGCCGAGGCGGGTAGAGGGGTCCACGTAGGCCTGGGATAGGAGACATGCGGTGGAATCGTTCAGAATGGCTTGTAACTCGACGTCGAGACCCTTTGTCTTACACGCCTTCTTGATGACATCACCGAGATCCTGCCCTATGAGACCATTGGCGGCGTTGAACCCCTTGCCCATGTCATGGATGATCCCGTTTCGTATGCTTTTTTGCCTGTAATGATATTAGGGGTTCTGGACAGACACTTGCGGGAGAAAGACCAAAGAAGAAGAGGCAATACTCACTCGAGGGGGAAACTCCAGGTAACTGCTATCGGCAACGGCTTCGCGTCCAAACGATCTAGGTGTGAAGACACGGTGTCTAATATATTCTCGGCCATCCACTCGAAAAAGGCCATGCCTACTAGATCCTTCACCTTCTCCTCGGCCTTGAGAATGTTTGCGCGCAAAACCTCGCACGGCTTCTCCGACGAACCGACCCCGTTTCCCCTCAACTCCACGAGCGCGATGCGCAGAGTCGTGCCGCCCATGTCGATGGCTAGGAACTGACCCTTCTCCTCTCCGCTGGGTAACCGGTAGCTGTAAGACGGCAACATGCTGATCTCGCTATCGGTAAGCGCAGTTTGGAACTGCTTCTTGAGCCCCTTGGACATCTTGAGAAGGTCCGCATTGTGAGTGAAGGGTCCCAGGATGAGCTCTTCCGCTTCCCTGAGAAAGTCGTCGATGGACCGTTGCGATAGGCTGCTGGAGGAGGCGGTGATGACGGTGGGCGAGGACCAGAAAGTGAAGAGGACGCTGATCCATGACTTGCCACGCACAATGGACCTTACTATGGCGGCGATGAAGGCTTTTGGAAGTATAGCCATCGAGGCGACGAGCGACTTCATGTCATGGGTCGATGATATGTGAAAAAGGTCGGGTAGGAAATGGAAAGAAATGAGAAAAAAAAGTGTTGCAATATATATGCATATATACACAAGGTCGCTAACAGGGCACGCCTGAAAGAGTATCAAAATATGATGAGATGCGGATGGAGGGGAGAGGAGGCCAGATCATTTACAAGCGGCAACCCGGCTTATATGAACAGATCAACAGCTGACGCCAGGTTGAGATGTTTTGCGGGAAGGCTGTAAGATGTTTACTCCGAAGACGAAACGAGACCCAACTCGTAAATAGAAGCTAGAGTTTCAACGGACCGGAAATACGAGGTCAGAAAAACCAACGTGGAGATGGCAGCGTAGACCAAAAAGAGGACTCCTTGACAGGACGGGGAAGGTGCCTTTGCTCTTTACTCTCTAGTAGTAACGCAGCAGCGGGCGGCGCATCAGCGAAGACGGTAACGAAAAAGAGCGGCAGACCTAGCAAGGTTTCTAATAAGATGAAGAGATGTGAGCTTAAAGGCTCGGAGGGGGTGATGGATGGCACGTTGGCTACTAGCTAGGCAAGAGAGAGAAGGGAATGGGAACCATTGATGGAAGAAAACCGGAAACGGAAGACGTAGGTGAGGTATGGGTTCAGTCCGGGAGTGCCTGTTGGGCTGAAAGGAAATGGGAAGAGAGACAACGGAGCCCGTAAGGAGTGAAGACCCAAAACGTGTAGGAGGCCGTTGCTGGCTTGGCTAGCCCGGGTGTGAGAGCGAAAGAGAGAGGAAACGGCGGTGCGGGTTTGCCGTATGGCGCGCTAGGAAGTAGGCGTGCGGCGCAAGATGAGAGTGGGCCAAGCAAGTACCAAGGAAGGATGGCGGATGGCACCAAGGATAGGACACGAGGGGAGGGAGACGAGATGAGAGAACGCGGGCAAGAACGTTAAAGATAGTGCGGATAATACGTGACAAGGCGCTGCCAGGATCCACCCAACATCGGAACGAATGACGGTCTGGGATGGACGGATGCGGAGAATAGGAACAGGCCTGGGATTGGGACAGAACAGGGACTGGGATTGATCAATTGATGGGATCGGGGTTGGGACTGGAGAAGGGAAATGGAGATGGAAATGGAGTAACAAAGCCACCCCTAGTGAGTACTACTGCAACTAGTACATCCGCCAGGTACTCTTTGCAGGACAAAGCTAGCAGGCTAGGCCAGGGGCACGGAACAAGGTTGAAGGTTGACAGCTAAAATGGACTTGACAATGGGAGGGCTTCAGCTTCGGTACGGCGCAAGGAGCCAAGCTGAGAACGGCGTGTATTCAGGTATCAAATGCTCGATGTTCCAAACTGTTGATGATTGACGCATGAAGAGACCAGCGGAGGTGGAGCTGAAACGCCTAATTGGATCGGCGAGCTAAGGCAGGTGAGGTTGCAGCACGTTGGACTGGAGGCAACCGAACAATAGGAAAACCTAGAGGCAAAAGTCCATGGTGAGTATCTCTAGACTGACTGTCGAGCGCTCTGGGCCGAGAGCGACGACGGAGAGGGCAAGTGTATAGTGGCTTAGGGAGCTTCAGAAGCAGAAGTCACCTTCCAGCTTGAGGAGTCACCCGAGGAGGGAGAGGAGAGAGAACATTGAGGCAAATCCAGTAGTACATGTAGCAATAGTAACAATGCATTACGGGCCAACTCTGGGACGACCCCCAAGACGTGGTCACGGCTACTCGCGCCGACGTCCACCCTGTTCTGTCTCGTGCAGTCCCGTCCCATCTGATCTAGTTCCTCCTTCACTGCAACGACAAAGAAGCACAGTTAAAACCAAAATCAAGTGGATGTGTGAGAATAGGACTGAAGACGCAATGGCAATGGAAACCAAGAAGAGGCGACCTGGGCAGGGACAAGCATCTTGACTTGACACAACACTGGCCTGGTCATCCGCTGGGATGGATAGCACCGGAAGTCTGCAACTAATAAACTAATAACAACTGGAAATGTTCAGTGGTTGGCAATTGGAGTGGAGGTGCTCACCCTACTCGCCCCCTTCCTCTATCTGCTAATTCAACGGAATCGGATCAGCGGGATGCCAATTCTGGTCTCCCAGGCTGCCTGGTCCTAGGCTTGAGCAGCACATGGTGTACTTCGTTGACGTGGACATGGTGGACAAGGGCGGCGAGAGCGAGAGCGTGGGTGTGTTGTTGCAGCAGTGGAGTTTAACATGAGGCGCCAGCCAAGTCGAGGTAACGTAACGTTGCCTTTGGACCAGTAGCGTAGAACTTGAATGAAGCGTGAGACATGGTTCAATAATTCAGTCCTCATAAAACCCCGAATTAAGTTTGGCGGGTCAGCGGCTGTGTTAGTGGTTTTCCTGGTTCTTCAGCAATTTCACTAACAGTTAATTCAGGGCAAGCGTGTTCGAGACTGTGGAGCTTCACTGGACCAATTGACATTTGACCAGGCCTATGTATGTGCCTATGTACCTTTGTACCTCTCTACTTTCTCTTCCGTCTGCTCCTGCCTCTGTCAATTCGTATCAGAACATCACAACATGTTCTGCACTACGCAGTACTCCTTCTCCCAAAGCTCAGCCAAGGATCAAATGTGTCAACCACAGGCCTGGGTTTAGTAACTCTTTGCAGCCCGTGCTAGCTTACCGACTGAACTGAACGCTCCCTCCGAAAGACAAACACCTGCAGCAAGCTCCCTGACTTTGCAACCAGAAATTCTCCGCTTAATTGGGACTCGACGACTTGGGACGATTGGACATCTGCACCACTCGGTTCGCCACGCATGCATGTATTGCTCTTGCAGTTAAGCACGCTGAGATCTAACAAATTTGTTCAATATTAATACAGAATTCCGTCAGTCCAATGCCACTCGTCCTATCCAACCTGAAGAATCGGGCTCGGGATCGGCTGCAAATCAAAGCCCGCTCAACCCGACTGGTAGACATTAATACTCCGCAGCGTCCAACCCTTTTTTCCTGTCAGCTTCCCAAAAAATCCTTAAAAAATGGAAGAAAAGAAGAGGCCAATATCTATCCCGTCTGAACTACTACCGCGTATCATAATCTGCCCAATGTCCATCGGGGAAATTTAAAGACACATTGATATATGGCTGGGATTGATACCTCTCCACCAATTCTAGAAGACTTCCCAAAAGAGTTTGCTTTCCTACATCCCGAGCCGCCGGAATAGAGGGTTAAATATTGCCAACGACCTCCGTTCAGGACGTATTTGCCCGTATTTCGGGTCGCTTGAGAACGCATAGCTACAAGCACAAGAGAGCGAGACCATTTCCGTTCTCCCCGTCCGTAGACAATCCGCTCCATCCGACAATCCTGTGTAGAACGGGCCATACTTCGCAATCCTCACAATCTCCGCCGGTTCTGGAACTTTGATACGGGACCGGGCCCAACTCAGGGCATTGACTCTGCCCAATCATTAGACCCCGCCGCGACGCCTCTGGCCCCATTTAGTAGTTCTAGCCAACGTCACCAGCCCATTACGTCGAATGTGGTAGGAGTGGTAACATCAAATAGCTTGTCCTGCCCATGGTAGTACTCAGTATAATAACGATGATCAGGTGCTTTGGTCTCGGTTCAAAGCCCCCAAATTTCTTGACCTTCCTCACCCACTTTTGTCCCTGACCAGTGAGAATGTTCGCTCCACGTTGACTGCCCCAGGCTGTTCCCTACGAAGTCAGTCTATGACGGGGGATGAGAGGGTTTGCTCCGGCCCATGTGCTCCTTCGTACGCCTCGTCACGTTTCATTTTGTTCTAGCTTTGCTCTTGGAGGCTACTCTGTGCGCAACTCTCCCATGTCTTCCCTCCATTTGCGTCACTTGACTCCACCTGGATGGACCAGAGATACTCTCCGAGTCTATTCCAGAAGCCGACCGCATCCCATGCTGTACCATTCGGAGATCCCATTTCGCCTCGCATAGTGACGCTGGTAATACCACTGCTACTTTGTAGATAGCTCATAAGAGGCACGAACTCTCAATTCTAAAGTCATGCTCTCCTCTACCTGCTCCCCCCAACTGATAGTTAAGAACTAACAACGACAGCCTGATACTATCACAGCATTACTGAACACATATCACTGTCTTCCTTTCTATACCCTTTCTCTTCTTCGAAATGAGAGTTATTATTCGAGATGAAGCCTCCGAGGCTAGCGAATATGTAGCCAACTACATCATCGAACGCATCAAGGAGTTCAACCCGACTCCGGAGAAGCCCTTCGTCATGGGCCTGCCGACCGGGTCGAGTCCCCTCGGTGTGTATAAGGCCCTCGTAAGGCAGTACAAAGCCGGCAAGGTAAGCTGCAATCGCCCGGGCTAAAACAAACAATCGCTAACATGAAACCCAGGTCTCCTTTAAAAATGTCGTCACATTCAACATGGTAGGTCTTTTCTCAAGCAAATTCCCTGTCCCTCCCTCTCTCTTATCCTCCGTTCTCACCCTCTCCCCTTCCAGGACGAATACGTCGGCCTCCCCCGCGACCACCCCGAAAGCTACCACACTTTCATGTGGACCAACCTCTTCTCCCACATCGACATCCACCCCCGCAACGCCCACATCCTCAACGGCAACGCCCCCTCCCTCCCAGCCGAATGCACCCGCTACGAATCCCTCATCCGCCAAAACGGCGGCATCGACCTCTTCCTCGCCGGCGTCGGCGAGGATGGCCATATCGCCTTCAACGAGCCCGCCTCGAGCCTGTCGTCGCGCACTCGCGTCAAGACACTCACGCACGATACCGTGCTGGCCAACTCGCGCTTCTTCGGCGGTGATGTCGATAAGGTGCCTAGGTTGGCTTTGACCGTTGGTGTTGGGACGGTGCTGGAGGCGAGGGAGGTTGTGGCTGTTGTTTTTGGGAGGAGGAAGGCGTTGGCGTTGCAGAAGTGTGTGGAGGGTGGGGTTTCGCATATGTGGACTCTGTCGTGTTTGCAGTTGCATCCTAATGCTATGATTGTTTGTGATGAGGATGCTACGATGGAGTTGCAGGTGAAGACGGTCAAGGTTAGTTTTCTCCTCCCCAGGTCACGACGCTGAGTCTCTAGCTAACGCGCAGCAACAGTACTTCAAGAGCATTGAATCGGGTTCAAGTATCCCCTCGCCTCTCCACCCATACCCGCCCAAGCTCCCCGAGGAAACCCTCCCCATCCCTGAGACGACCCTCGATGCCGTGGACACCCCCGCCATCCTCCAGCCCGAACCCGTCAGCTCTCAGCTCCTTCACCCAGACGGCGCCGTCGTCGGCAATGGGAAGCTGTCGCCCGTCTCGATCGCCCGCTCGGCCTCCCCGGATATGGACCTCGTACCTGACCGCATGGCCTCGAGGATTCCTGGGGGTGGGTTCGCGGGGAGACTTTCTCCTCAGCCTGGCGCTGTTCGAAACTCCGTTACCGTCTAAGATTCCGAACTTCGAGGGGGAGATTGGAGAGAGTGTGGAAAGTAGATTGGTTGTTTCATTTTATGACAAGATTGGAAACCTTTTATCTTTCTCGCAAGGGGTTTTGAAGAACAGAATGGATCATGTATTGAGATAGACCAGCTGAACGTACTAAAGATTGTAACAACATGGGCGCAGAAAAATGAACTGGGAAATAGAACTGTCTAGAGATATACCCTTCAGAATAGATTTACGTGGTATTTGTTTGTTTATTGATGTGTATGTGTGTATTTATATGCGCCGAATGCTTTGAGATTTGAGATGCGGGTTTACTTACCTCGTCCCCTTCACCTCGAAACGCTGTCCACACTATCACCAAACAGCATCCAAGAATCGATCTATATTGGTACACAAGTATTCAAAAAGCCAAAAATCTAGCCCCCTCGGTTTTAAAAAAGATAAAAAGGTATTATAAAAAACATGCAACACCAGGGATTCGCTTGTCGTCACCGACCAAACTACTAATCTGGCCCTCGCAGACTTATCTAGGGAAGAGCGGACGGGGTTCCGAGTTCTCCTGCGGGTATGGTCGCATGTATTCGCTTCTCCTCAAAAGACATCTTATAAAGGGTGTATGGTTGACGGAAATGGAAGAGGAGCCGTCTACCTGCTTCATTGTTAAAAGACCAACGCGGCTTACGCCTGAGTGGTTGTCACAAACGGAGTCGATTCGTATATCAATGTAAACGTTGCATGGAATGTACGAACTGGACCCATTGGTGTTAATGTTTCGGTATTGGCAACGTACAAAAGCGCAACATGGACTCCTCCTCGGGTATTCCGTCTGGCCTTTTCTCCCCTCCCACCAATAAATATCCAACGAAGAACTTTGTCGGGGCGCATGTGTGTTCGCGGCATAATGAGAACACGGAATTCGATGCGTTTCCCCCATTCACCTATTTAAAGAAAGAAAGTTCGTACGAACTAGAAGAAGAAAGAAGAAGAGAGAGAAAAAAGTCGCAGAACTCTCAGGTAATACACACAAAATATGCTCGACGCAATGACCAAAATGGAAAAGAAGAGAATATGTCATGACAGTCATAAGCTCACCAAACAGGTCCCGACCAGTAGGCCTCCGCCCAGGTCTCAAATATATACACTCACTCAGCCAAAAAATACAGCTTCTTCTTCGTTCGCATCTGTTGAGCCTTCACTTCGGGCGGCACAATTGTATGGTGAACGATATGCGGACGATATATAGCTTCTACCGGCGGCAACCTACAACCCATATCAGTTAGTATATATCGAAACATGTTGGCCCCTCAGGCAACCCCGACTTACCAGTCGTCAACGCTGAGCGGAAAGTATTCATAGAGCATATCCACTTCTTCCATTGGAGTCTGGGTTGGATTTTGCGCATTCTTCCCCGACGGCTTCGGTTGCTGGGGACTCGCCGTCTCCGTGCTTCCCCTTCCGGGACTCCTCTCGTCCTCAGACAAGGATAGGCTTAGCGGAACCGATGATGCAGGACGGAGCGAGTTGTTCCTTTGTGCCGTCGAAACAGAGTGGCGAGCTGGTGTAGCTCCAGCTCCCGAATTCCGGGCCGGCGCATCTGTAGACCATGCTGGGATTGGCGGCCGCTGCAGATTCGGTGACGTGGCAAGCTTCTTGGCTGGGTGAGGCCCCTGATTGGGTATAGTATAAGGCTGCGGCCAGTCCTCGGCTCTGGGATTCCCCAGCGGATGGTACCTCTTGAGTGTTTGTACGAGGGACTCCTTTTCGGCCTTGACCGATGCGTCGCTCGAGCTCGCGTTCGTACCTCTCCTCTCCATCTTCTTGTCCCCCATGAGAGGGACGTCTCGTCGGCTATCAAAGTTCCTCGGGCTTCTGCCTCGCACAATCACAGGGCCAGACTGGACCTCGGCCACTTTTATAAACTCTCCCGAATTTAACTTGGCGAGAAGGTTGATTTGTACAACGTAATGCTGCTGGAGACCTTTCCTCCGCCCGTTATTTGCTGTCGCATGCTTGAATTGGAGCCTCTTCCAGGAGATGGGTAGCCCGACAGGAGCACCTGTCTCAGCATCTAAAAGGGAACCCATATCGAGCGGTATATTCGGCGGAGCTCCTGCTATCTTGCTGTCTTCAGGAGCGCTCTTCCACGGTATTAATATGATCTCAGTGGGCTTCCCATCAATGGACTCAATAGCTGTAATACTGGCGACTAGTTCCGTGATGGGTTCTCTGGTGCCCTGTTCGTTGATAACTTGACTAACAGGCCTTGATACACTAACTTGGCCAGAACACTGCCACAGGTTTCGTCGGTAACAAGTAAGTTCGAGAGGACGGCCCGTATTCTCGCCCGCGAAGACGTCCTCGGCGACGAAGAACATGCCATATAACTCGGCAGTCATGGAGATTTCGGCGAATTGGCCGCTGTCGTCAATTAATGAAGCTTTAAGAATGGGCGCGGAGAAGCCAAGCAGCTTGTGATCTAGTTGGTCGGGTGTTGTAGTTTCGTTTATGACTTCGGAATCAGGTACAACTTCCTCATATGGGCGGGCGGGGTATGAGAAGGGGTCTTCGAAGGTGGTGAAGTTGTCAAAATCATATGAAGCGGTGAATGGCATCGGTGCCATGCTTCCATTTACAGCATCTCTGCAAGCGGCACGGGTGGCGTCGTTAGCTTGAGTTCCTCGGTCGTGGTCGCGTGTTCTCGACACACCGCGCTCGCCATCATATACCCATACATATATTTTGAGAGTCACGTCTTTTTGAATGCTAGGGAGAAAAGAGCGAGTAGTAAGGGAGCACTCAGGAGGACACCTACAGAGAATAATCATCAAAGGGAATGTCCTGGACAAAACTGTCCATACCCAGACCCTGTGCATGATTCAAACTCATCGCGTCACCCGCGGAGTTGTCGGCGCCAGTTTGCAGCGCCGGCATAGGGTTGAAGCTTTCCATGGCATATCCGGTCGAGCGGCCAGGGAAGGCCAACTCTTTATTTCTTCTTCAGATCTGTTTCGTCTCGTCGAATGTGTCAGGTCACGGATCGCCCTTCCTTCAGTCTTACGCTAATTGTTTAGCGGATTATCGGGGCGTTTCTTCGCAGCTAAATTATTGGGTGGACGTTAATGGGAGGGGAGGTCTGAAGTCGTTTCCTCGTCGAAATTCGTCGGAATCGTATTATGGAGCGATTCGATGAACGGGGGAGTAAACTGCGGTGAGTTTGTGGGAGCGAAGGGATAGAAAATGCGACGAAGAAATCGGCGGGAGCACAGGCGGTCTTCGATTGTGGCGTGGCGAGGCAAGGGCCGCAAGGCGAAGGCGAGATCAACCGGACGTCGGCACACACACACACGAGTGAGCTGACGTTTCTCGGCTCGCACGAGAATCTGGGACAATGAGAGAGAGGCTGATGATGATGACCGGGCTTATCCCGGAATATTGCAACTGCAGCCCGTCCGCGTGTGCATCTGCGTACCTGTACTCTGATAAGTTGGGCGGAATGTGTGCTGTCCACCGTTATTACTGGTATTACACTACATGCGCAGCCGGTAAAGGACGGAAAGGGATCAATCAATGATGCGTAGAGACGAGACGAGACAAGACGACACGGGCGGGTTAATTACACAACGAGACAGCGGAAGACGAAGCACAGAAGAGAATCGAGAGGCGTGAAGGCGAGCGGGAAGGTCAGAGAAAAATAATAGTAATAATCCAAGTGCGACGTGGAGCGGAGATGCGCAGGAGATAAGACCGGGTAAGGGACTGGGGGCGATCAAGTGAGCTCAATGACTGGTCGGAACCAAGAGAGAAAGTCGGAGAGTGGTGTTGGAATCTGGGCACGAGGAGGGGAGCGCGACTCCTAAGAAGGAAGCTCTCATGCAAGGAAAGAAGAAAAAGGCCGATTGGAGTTGGGACAGAGAGGACGAGATAAGATGAGGGAAGGAATTCAATTGATCATTCGATCCGAGTAGGATCTGGGATTGCAAATCCAGACCGGTTCTTGTTCTCGAGATGGGTGCCCGAGGACAGGACTTGAATCTCGACAACTGGGAATGAATTCTGCTGGTGAAATTAGAAATTAGCCAGCGAGAAAAGGACCCAGACCGAGAGATTGCAAATGTGATGAAAAGATCAAAATTGACTAAATGCAAGGTGGAGCGGCTCCCCGCTAGGCTAATTGCTTTCGGTTACGAGCTCCAGCGCAGGTCCGTTCTCCATTCCACTCAAGTGCTGTGCTGCTATCAATGTCAAGGTTTCAATGTTAACTTGTTTTGTCAACTGCGAGTTACAAAGTCGATGCGCCCAGTTGCCCATCTCGCCTTCCCCATGCCAATTCCCATGCTGCATGCACGCCTGCCTGCCTGCCTGCCTGCCTGCCATCTGCTCCTTCCCCACTGTCATGTTGCTGTCTCGTGCGTGTTGCTCCCTCTCAACCATGATTGCCCCTCCATGAAAGGGAAGTCGCTGCCCGCTCGGCCGAGGGTTCATCGAGGTCTCATGTTGGACTGGTCAACCCCGCTGATCGATGTGATATCCCCATCCCCAGTGGCCCCTCCCTTGTCCTCTGCGCTAAAAATTTTGCCCCTGACACCCGCCTGATTTACTGCGTCCGTCCTAGTGCAGCTCCCCGGTCTAACCCCGATCGCTGCAATGATGCGGGGATATTGGGCGCCACAAGATGCAGAAGAACATTGGAGGGTCAACTAATCTTCTTCAGGTGAGAATCAAAGACCCCAATTCATCACTTCAACGTTGACGTCAACCTGATTTGGAGAATGAAGTTTGAGGTGAGACCTTGGCATCTTTCGAAGAAGACCCGAGCTTAGCGATGCGAGTACGAAGTAAGACGTTTGCATGCGACTGATGCGAGAGACTCCCGTCCCAAAACTCTGGTTTAAGTTGAAAGGCTTCAGTGAGTCAATCGTTAATGTCTATAAAACGTCTCCACTACATACAATCTATTGTACATACTTCGTCTAAAGTACATCAGTGCTAGATACGGCTGTCTAAAATGGAGGAATTACCCCAACGTTTCCGTCCCTCTACGTTTATCTGCGTTTTAACCAATTTGAACAAGGTCCTTTCGTTCCAAGCAATCTACAAACTCAAAAAATCTAGCTCAATCTAGTGTCCCCGGTCCACCATTTCTGATTCTTAGCTCATTAATCTCGGCTCCAGACCCGCTTTCCAAACTTCCAAACCTCGTCGACTGTAAGCTTCGGTACGTCCTGACCCGCGTTCTCGGACAAGATGATCAGATCGGCATCTGCGCCGTCTGCGAGTGTTCCCTTGATTCCCTCAAGAGACAACATTGCTGCGGGTGTAGAGGTTACCGCGCGCAGAGCATCTGGGATGCTTGTGTCTGTCCACGAGATCAAGTTGTTGACACATTCAAGCAGAGTCGTCGAGCTACACACACATTCGCAAGTCGTTAGTGGTGAAGATTGTATCTCAAAGGCGACCGATGGTTACAAAGGCGAGTTCGTGTGTAATAGACGAAGCACGAAGCGGATTCAGTCGACTTACCTGCCGGCCAATGTGTCCGAGCCTTCCAATACAAGCCTCGACCCCTTCTTGACGATGTTGTTGATTTCGTTGCCGTTAACCCACTGATACGAGCCATCAGGCAACCCCACGAGGTGCATTGCATCCGTGACGAGGATAAACCCGTCCGGGTGCGCGTTGCGAGCAATCTTGATAGTTGTGGGATGAAGATGGATTCCGTCTGCGATGATACCAAAGTATGGCTTCCTCTGATCGCTTGGGTTTCCGAGGACACCGAAAACGCCGGGATTCCTGTGGTGGAGAGGCTTCATGGCGTTGAACAAGTGGGTTATCATGGTGGCGCCGGCCTCTACTGCAGCGGAGGCTTCCTCATAGGTCGCTTCCGTGTGGCCAATGGAGAAAATGATTCCCCGAGACGTGATTTCCGGGATGAGCTTCTCCATGTTGCCGATTTCGGGGGCCGCAGTGATCATCCGAACCGAAGCTGGTTCGCCCGACTCGGATGGCGAGAGGTTTTCGGCTCCATAACAGTCTTCGAGGTCTTTGAAGGACTCGGCCTGTTTGAAGACGTCGATGTCGTGAATTCCATTCTTTGTAGGGCTGAGGAACGGGCCTTCGACATGGGCGCCGAGTGACTCTGCGCCGTCTTCAGCTACCTGAAGGTGCCCGCTCGGTCGAAGGAACGGAAGGACCTGAAGTTCGCACACAAGGCGAGTATTAGCTCACTAGGCTGCGCCTATGGCACTGAGGGTTGAGGCAAGTCGACCGCTTACCGTCTTGTATACGTCTGGCTTTTGGCTGGTGACGGTCGGCACATACGAGGTAACTCCCGTCTTGATGAGCTGCTTGTTCAGCTCCTTGATTTGCTTGGCATAGTCCGCAACCTCATCTGGCTTGATGGAAAAATTGAAGCCATAAGCACCATTGAGTTGGCACTCGATCAACCCAGGCGATACAATTCGACCACCGAGGTCAATTACTTCGTCAGGAATGAGTAGATGGTCATAGAACGACGCTTGGCTGTGGACAATCTTGCCCGTGGCCGAACTAACCCACAAGTCGCGATGGACGAGCGAGTTACCTCGGACGAGGCGGCAGTTGGTGAACTTGGTGATGCCGACACCGCCGGTTTTGAGCTGGTCTGAGACTGCAGCGGGCATTGGGATCGAGGTTATCAACAAAACGAGGCAGAAATGCGTAGTGCTGATATAGAGGGTATTAGTGGAATTCTGAGTGTAGGGGAGCCTGCTTCTATTGCCTTAGTTAGCCCTTCTCACAGGGAAAGCCTAAGAATTGCACGAGCATCTAGGGATCAATATCTATTGCTTTTCTACAGTAGCGGTCATGTTAGACCGGAGCTTGACCGGGGATGGTCGGTGTCATTCCAACGTGCGACATGACGACCGCCGAAGTCCGAGCCTGGTAGCATTTGTTGGGACAGAAGTTTTATCATGATGGCATATTGCAAAAGGGTAGTAGAGTGGAGCAAGAGACCGCCTCAGAAATCTGAAGTAGAGTTCAAGCCAAAAAAAAAAAAAAATGACAAAAATCTTGGTCGTGGGACCTGCCCCGTTAAGCGTTACAGGGCAACTTCAGGCGTCACTGGAAGTCCTCGTGGACTCTAGCCGGAGCGACGACTAGCCACTCAATGCCACGACCTAGCCCCATGTGTGTTTGATTCGATGGCAATCGTTGTGCTCGACGACGATGATGGTGATGACGATGTCGAGAGTTGGACATACCACTGTCTGCCTCTGTGTTGATCAGGTCACACTCAGATGCAACAACGCTATCAAAATTTTGGACCCGGAGGCGACGGGAGTGGGTGCCCTTCTGATTTAGAAGGGAGAATGGACACTAGAGGGGACGTTGGACTGTGGAGTGTGCTATGGGAACATGAAGGTTGGAGCACAAAAGGTTGTTTGCTTAGCATGCAACTTTACAACGCACTCCTCGGGCTCGGGTCGCTGAGGTTGGAGTGAGGTTGGTTGTAACGTCGCATCCATGTTCGGGTGGAGCGCGCTAGGGAGTTTTGACCAGGGGTGAAGATGGAGGGGTTCCATTCGTTCTGTCCTAATCCGTCATTTGTGCCGACATTCTGCCGCACCCTGAAATGGCCTTGGCACAATAGGGAAGGACGAACGATGAACCCAACCACAATGCACGTAATTTGCCCCACAAACTGGCTCTCTCACCTTGGCCTCGGTGTGGCCATAAACGGACGCCCTTGCTTACTCCCTCTTGTCTTACAACCCGCTGGGAGCCGCTCTCCCTTCTGTTCGCTCTCCGGTCTACACTAAGAGCTCCCCCACCCCTTCCCTCCACACGTTGATACTGGCCTACGACCACCAAAGCCGGCGTCCACTACCACACCTCGAAAGAGGTTAAATCAGTCGCCCAATTATGCCATACTTACAGCCACAGGCTACCTCTGTTGACCCGCCATGGCTAACATAACCGATCTGGCCATGGACCCGCTATGGCAAGATCTGGATCGGTACGTTTCACACTGGACCTTAAGTTCCCCTGCAGCGAGCCATGCTTCCCATACTAGATTCTGCCATATGACCAGCTTGTATGACGGATCTGCTCCGCAGTTCGTCCCCGGGGCCTGGCTTAATCATCCCTTATGAGATTTTCTATACTATTGATTCGGCAATACTCGATCGTGTGTGCTAATGGACCTCTCCTCCCTTGACAGGGTGATTGGGCAGCTGTTTATTATGGGATGGGATGGAACCGAGATAACGCCCCAGATTCGAAGTCTGATCCAAGATCACCATATTGGTTCTATCATCTTGACAGCCAAAAACCTGAAGAGTTAGTCAACCATCGTCCCGGTTCTGTGTCTCTTATATGTCTTGCTTTTCGTTGAAGCCCCCCTGTCCGTGCTGGTTCCCGCTACCTTACTAGCCAATGAGAACCATACGCCGCCTTTTCCCGTTGGACGATCACTCTTTACTTACACCTACTTAACTCTCTTTCTCTCCGCATAGGTGCCCAGGAGACGGCGAAGCTAGTTCAAGACCTGCAAACTCTCGCCAAGGAAGCTGGCCATCGCCAACCACTGCTCATTGCTCTAGACCAAGAAAATGGCGGAGTCAATAGTCTCTTTGACGAAGATTACATCTGCCAGTTCCCCAGCCAAATGGGCGTTGCCGCCGCTGGCCGGGTGGAACTGGCCTACGAAGTGAGCAAGGCCACAGCTACTGAAATCGCGGCCTGTGGTATTAATCTCGTGCTCGGTCCTGTCCTTGATGTCTTATCAAACACCCGTGACCAGCCTATTGCCTGCAGGGCCACGTCTGATGACCCCCAGGAGGTGTCCCAGTACGGCATCCTTGCGATGAATGGTATCAAGGACGCCGGTGCTGCGTCCTGCGGCAAGCATTTCCCTACCTACGGAAGTCTGGACTTCCGCGGATCGAGCGTCGACATGCCCGTTATCACCCAAACCCTGGAAGAACTGAGTCTCAGCGCGCTGGTGCCCTTCCGCGATGCCATCGCCACTGGAAACCTGGACGCCGTTTTTGTCGGCGGATGTAGGATCTCAAACCCGTCTATGAACGTTCAACATGCTTGTCTTTCCGACCAGGTTGTCGATGATCTCTTGAGAAATGAGCTGGGCTTTAAAGGCGTGGCTATCTCGGAGTGTCTTGAGATGGAGTCTTTGAGCCACGAAATCGGTGTCCAGAACGGCGTGGTTATGGGGGTTGAGGCTGGTTGCGATCTCATCTTGCTGTGTCGTGCTTATGATGTACAGCTCGAAGCCATTCGGGGTCTTAAACTAGGCCTCGAGAACGGCATCGTCACCAAACAGCGCCTCTTTACTTCGCTGGAGCGTGTGCAAAGGCTAAAGACGAATTGTACCTCATGGGTCAAGGCTTTGAACCCTCCGGGTATCTCTCTGCTTGCTAAGCTGCATCCGACGCACTCCGTTCTGTCTCGCCATGCATACGATGACTCCATCGTCGTTGTCAGGGATAAGGAAAAGCTCATTCCCCTGAGTTCCTCAATGCGACAGGAAGAAGAACTGCTACTGCTTACACCGTTGGTCAAGCCGCTGCCTGCCACTAAACTTACAAAGACTCTGCTCGAGTCCAAGAATTTGCAGGCCGCGGCACCTACCAATCATGACAAGTGGTCTCATCGAGACCGTGGAACGGCCATATTGAGTGGGGAGGAAGTGTTTAGAGAGCTCGGCCGCTCACTCGCCCGTGTTCGCCATGGGAAGCTTTTGCATACCAGTTATACTGCTAACGGTGTCCGTCCAGGTAAGCTTCAACTTTCGGTTAGCGGCGACTTCGCCCAATTGTGATTCCTGCTAACATGACTGCTGGATTAGTCCACGAAAATCTGATAAACCGCGCGTCTACCGTCATAATTGTTACTGCGGACGCCAAACGAAATTTGTACCAAACCGGCTTCACGAAACACGTCGACATGATGTGCAAAATCCTAGGCTCCCGGGGACAGAAGAAGAATTTGATTGTAGTTTCCGTCAGTTCTCCATACGACTTTGCGCTGGACAAGTCGATTGGGACCTACGTCTGCACATTCGACTACACCGAGAATGCTATGCATGCCCTAGTCAGGGCGCTTTGTGGAGAAACTACTCCTCGCGGTACTCTCCCCGGAACGATGAGGAGGAGTAGGAAGAACATGAAGTCTAAGCAGCACTGGCTGGTCGAAGAGTACGACTCAATCCGTGACGAAAGCGCATTGGACGAGCTCATAAGGAGCGTAGCTCTGGCATCGGCCCCCGACCATCCTTACCTCAAAACGAGCTCCGCAGCCTCATTCGATCTCGCCAACCCTCGCATCACGGAAGCCCATTTTGTCGTGCGGAACAGTAGCACGGGAGCACTATACGGGTTCGTCGCAACTTATCGACTCGGTTCAACTGGAATTATTGGTGCCATAATCGTCGACCCAGGAAAGCGGAGCTTGTCTATTGGAAGATCTCTCCATCGCCGAGCAATGAGGAGTCTGGTCCAGTCGCGGAACGTAAAGAAAGTCCAGCTCGGCACCGTGTTCCCCGGAGTATTCCTCGGAATTCCTGTGGATGAAGGATGCGCCGTGAAGGATTGGTTCGCCAATTGCGGGTGGGATGTTCAATTTCCTCGAAGACTTACCAACCTCGTTATCAACAACCTTGAAGCTTGGACGGCCCCAGAGGGTCTCTTACAGTCAATCCAGAGGGCCAATATGAGCTTCGACCTCATCCACGGCCTTGAGAATGCAGACATGGTGCTTTCTCACGTCTCAACTGAGTCAAATCCCGAGGTGGTCGAGCTGTACAGAGAAGCCCTTGCCAAATCTTGTGGTGTAGTCCGTGCCAAGGATGCGCACGACAACCTATTAGGAACCATCATTATTTGTCGAGAAGGGAATCCGTTGTCGACTTTTGTCCCGCCGCTATTGTCACCATCCGCCGAGGTTGTCGGGGGCATCTTGGCGCCTGTGGTCCCACCTTCATCCCAAGGCAACCTCATCCTACAGGGTCTGGCGCTGATGGGTGTACGCCAAATTAAGAGCCAGAAGAAGGCTTCAGTAGCTGTGTTGAGCTGGGTAAGCTAAGCCTCGGCATGAACCTAACCGATTCACTCATCAGCTAACCTTTGGGTAGATCCTTGATGATATGTACGAATCTCTGAAAGCGATGGGGTTCGAGACGCTCCAGGCTTTTGAAGAGATTACGAACTCTCCGGAGAATGTAAGTTGCTCTCGGCATACCTTGCACTTCCGGATAAGGACTAACGAAATATGCAAACAGTGGTCTGAGCTTTCTTAGGCTCAATTATGTGGTTTCTATTTCGGGATGTCGATGAATTTGACGAGTTCTCTTGGCTATTTTGAATATCGGCTGGTGGATGGAAGAGCTGTTACGTATTTGGGTTATCTCTCGACAAGGACTAACTGTTCATACCAAGAATATATGTGGTACGCCCGTATCCAAAGCGAATTGACACGGAGATCAAGATCTTATCGAAGTAGTCCTTGAGAACTTCATTCCATCGAGTGGCGAGGTTGGTACTGCCTACTGCCTTACTCTTTGATGCGTTGAACTCGACAGCTTTGATGTTCAAGCTGCTGACTCATCAATAGCAAGCCGCGAATATAGTGTGATCCAAACATGTATTTACACAGTATACTAGACCTTTAGGCGGGATTGACTCGGGATTTACTGGTCTTTACTGGGTTCATGGTTCGGCCGAAGCCACTGAAACGCAGCAAAACTGGACCTACTCCACACTGAGTGGACACACTGGCCTGCGAACTGTGCAAGTACTTGAACCCTGCATCAAATGTCAAATTTCCTGCGCCCCTCCTCACGCTTAAATAGCCTCGCAGCCCTGCCACCAAGAATGCCTCCGGCTGGGACGAAGTATATAATTGCGTCGAGGGTTATTGGATCATTCAGCCACCCCGTCACCCTCACATTGATTTGCAATTCTCTTTCCTTTCCTCGTATCGTTTTTCCCACGATAGCATTTTTCTAGTCTATTTCTTTTCTTTCCTTGGATATACATATATATACATACCCCCAAACAAGTTGCATGTCCGTCGCAAAAACGCGACTACCCCACCATGGACGAACAATTCGGAGGTCGAACCGACGACGCTCTCTTCTACGATGACGACTTCGAGCCCGTGGAAACAGAGAGCCAAGTAGTCGTCGAGATCCCCGCTCCGACTCCGCAAGAAGACACCTCTAACGCGCCGACCACCGTGTCGATCGCCACGCCTGCGCCTGCGACCGAGCCTCCAAAGCCAAAGGAACCCGCCGCCACCAAACATGCGCATGTGCCTCCGCCAAAATCTCTTGCGCAGTCGCGTCACAACGTTAGCAACCCCAGCAGCAACCGATCATCACCGCGACCCCGTCAAAGCCAAAAGGCGCCGTCTAGAGATCAGAAATCGCAATCCCCCGCGCCGCCAAAGGAGAAGAAGGAAAAGGGCGGCGGCACCTCGACACCCAGCTCCACTACCACTGCGACTGCCACACCCGCCCCGGCCCCCCAAGCCACTGCCCCTGCATCTGTCGGAGCCCCCGCTGCCTCAGGAACTCCTCGCTCGTCGACGCCTTCTGCGCAAGCTACCCAGAATGCGCCCGATACGCGATTGCTATCCGGGGCGAACCCCCGCACAAAGCTAACAGAGGAGGAGCTGGTCGCCAAGATGGAGAAGATGCGGATCCTGTCGGCGGAGAAAGCGAGGAAATTCGAAGAGGCGGAACAGGATGAGAGGGACCATGCCGCAGCGTACGCGCGGGGCATGGAGGAGGCGAGAAAGAGGAGGGCCGCCGAGGCGGAGAGGAGAAAGCGGGCAGAGGACGATAGGAAGAAGATGGAGGAGGAGAGGGCGAAGAACCGGGAGAGGAAGCTCAAGGCGCTTGGGAGCGCAAAGGATGGGAGCTGGGATGAGGGGAAGGAGCAGATGCCCTTTCATCAGGATACGAGGAAGAATTTTAGGTCGGCGAATGGGGGTGTGCGCGGGGCGAGAAGCTCTGGGTTGGCGGGGAGTCGGTTCGCGAGAGAGGAGGGCGAGGAGCAACAAGAGCAGTTTGACTCGAGGGGAAGAGGAAGAGGAGGTAGGGGTAGAGGTAGCGGTCGTGGTGGCAGAGGTGGCAGGGGTGGCCATCATGCCTTTGATAATAACGGCCATGCGGACTCGTCTCAGAATCCTCCCGTGGGGAATAACGCTCCGCTAACCGGCGAGGATTTCCCCGCCCTTCCTTCGTCTAACACGAGGAAAACTCCGGCCGACAAGGCGGAGCCGGCGCCAAAGGTGGAAGTGGCATATAAGGCAGCGGCCGTTAAGGGTGCCAACGCGTCCGCCAAGGGGCCTACTACCGCCCAGAAAAATTCCTCCGGTCCTGGAAAGGGCCCGGCAGAGAAGCCGGTGACCAAGGTGGAGTGGCCGGCGAAGCCTGCTGCCGCGCCTGAGGATGTATTGCCCCTGTCTTCTCCAGTTGGGCGGTGGGATGATGAGATGGAAGCCTTTGACGAGCGGATGGCGAACAAGCCATGAAGCGATACCAATATATATATTTATGTGTATGAGAGAGGGAGAGGGACTATAATGAATATGAAGGACCAATACAAACCTCCCTGCTGAAGAAGGCGGCCAAAAGAAGAAAGAAAAAAAAAAAAAAAAAAACAAGCCAGCTTAATATAGAATATAGTGTGTGTTTCTTGGGGGACAGGGCCATGGAGGATATCGGAAACTGACTTGGGAACAAAAGCACCAACTAGCCTGTTACAGGAGATAGCGTTTCAACCAAAATGCATCATGTTGCGATCCACTGGCGGACTCCTGGTAGATGTGCTTCTTTGAATTCATTGAATGTATCCTTTCCACGTCCAGCTTTAGTCTTACAAGCGAACACCCTGCAATGGAACCGAACCTTGAACGTGAAGCGATTTTGGGTATTCTAGCGTAGTCAAACAGTAGAAAAATAATCATACATAACTCCTAAAACCCTCTACCATAAACCATCATTATACATCGCGCTTTTCGCCACCAACACTCCAAAAAACACCCAACTACCACCCCCCACGATACCCTCTCCCTCTACCTCTATACCCACCACCCCTAGGCCCCCTCGGCCCCGCCGCAGGCCCTGGCCCAGCCCCATCCAAATCCATCGGCGGCCTAATCCGCCCCCTCATCTCCTTAGGGAAAGCATCGTACGTCCTCCGCATCTGCGCGTAGCCCAGGTGCATCTTCCCGTAAAAGTGATCGGCGAGGCGCCTGTCGTTATCGAGACGGCTGAGGTAGGCGCCGCAGACGTCGCAGACCTGGAGCTTCTGGTGGCCCGAGGGGCCCGAGGTGTCGGAGAGCTCCTTGAGCTCGCGCTCGCGCTCGGCTTTGGCCTGGCGGGCTTGGTGGACGCGGTACATCTCGTCGACGGCTTTGTGGACTTCGCCGATTTCGCCGAGGATTTCGACTTCGAGGAGACCATTGTTTATGCTGGAGGTGAGTTCGGATATGGTTTTGAGCTGTAGACAGAGGCAAAGTTAGAGCAAAAAAAAAATATATTTGTGGTTGAGGGAGCGGGGAAAAGAAAAAAATTGGGGACCTACAAGGAGGTTCGTCTGCCTGATTTCGTCTGGCGTCTTCTTGAGGTGTTGTTGCGCGGCGTCTATCCGCTGGTTACACGCATCGATGTATTTTTGTAGATCGCGCATGTAATCGTAATCAAACCCGTACTTTTGCTTCTCCTTATCCGAAAGGGCCTCGTATTCAGCCTTCAATGCTTCGTTATGCACCCTGGGACAAGGTCCGATGTCTTGCTTTGTGTTGGTGAAGAGGTCGTGTGGACAGGTGCCGACAAGGTAGGATCGGCAGACTTTGGGATCGTTTAGTGATAGCTGAGCGGCGCGCGACATGGATGAGCCGCCCATGAGCTGCTCGAGCAGCTTCCTCTGTTCGGCGGCCATGGTGGGATGTTGGATGTAGTAAATGTTTAGCGAGGTTGTTGACGCTGAAGGTTGCGATGGGAATTGTAAATGCTTGGTTTAAGGATGCAGATGCATCGACATTTTGGTGGGGGTTTACCCGATAAACTACCGATTCTGCCACCCGCCACCGCTCTCTCTAGCTTACACTTCATGGATATTAACACCCTGGAGGCCGACACGTCCGCGAACTAAGAAACTCCCAATGGTTTGAGCTTGCCTGGGTGTGTTCTCCAACGTGTCCGGCATTGCGCAAACTTTCGCAGCCCAAGTTTGTTTCCTTTCCTTTCTTCTCGAGATGCGCCAGCTTCTCGCTCTTCTTCTGCTCTACGTGGTAGGCGTAACGTCAACCGCCGCCGAATACCACGAGCAGCTCAACCTCCGACCGCTTCCCCTATCCTCTCTCCTCGCGAGCTTCAACTTCCGAGCGACGACGCCCGTATCCGATTTCGAAGCGCAGAATTTCAGGTTATTCCCGAGGTCTCTGGGCCAGATCCTTCAGTATGCTGGTACGAGGGAGCTTCATTTGAGGTTTGCGTTGGGGAGGTGGGATGCTGAGCTTTGGGGCGCGCGGCCGTGGGATGGGACGAGGGAGGGTGGGACTGGTGTTGAGCTTTGGGCATGGCTTGATGCGGAGACGGATGAAGAGTATGTTGCGGATGCCTTTTTTTCCCCTTCTTCTTCCTCTTCGGCCCCGTGCTCCCAGCTAGTCCGGCGTCAATTGGGGGCATCTTACTGACGGCGAATGGCTTCACAGGGCGAATGAGAAATGGCTTGTCTTGACGAATGCACTCTCGGGCCTCTTTTGCGCATCCCTCAACTTTATCGACAGCACCCGCACGACTCGACCCGTCATGTCCTTCGAGCCGGAGGGCACTCTTCCGAACGCGACCACTAATTCCAGCCTCAGGCTATTACACGGCGTCCTTCCTCACGAGGTCGTCTGTACAGAGAACCTAACGCCTTTCCTAAAGCTCTTGCCATGTAAAGGCAAGGCTGGCATTTCGAGCCTTCTCGATGGCCACAAGCTCTTCGATGCTTCCTGGCAGAGCATGGCCATCGATGTGCGACCACTTTGCCCAGAGGATGGCAGAGAATGCGTCCTTGAGATCGAGCAGACTGTCGACATGGTCCTGGATATTGATCGCTCTAAGCGTCCGAGAGGTATTTTCATACAAGAAACCAACACCATCGCGTTTATATAGCACACCTTGCTAACTTGTGTGTGCGGTGCTAGATAACCCTATTCCCCGACCTAGGCCTCATCATGAGCTCAAGTGCGATACGACCAAGCCATATCATGCCGAAGGCGGGTGTTTCCCTCTTGATCATGCGCTCGGTCAAGAATGGACTCTTTCTCAAATCTTCGGGAAGCCCCTCAAAGGCACATGCCCTCTAACCAACCCCGACACGCCCCCCGTATGCATGGAAGTGCCCAATTCGAGGCACGTATTCACGTCAGTCGGGGCCCGCGAGATCAAGAGTTCTCAAGGCAATTCTCGCTGCTATGAGTTGGACGCAGACGCGGATTTCGACATCATCCTACCCCCCCTTAATAACGGGGAAGGCCTAGACGGTCCCGAGGAAGACTTCGTCAAACCCGCCACGCCTCTCATCTACGCAGACCGCAGTTTCATGGGCTACGGACAAGAGCGCGGCGCCGTCCAGACCATCCTGAGAAACCCCAGCCCTGACACCGAGGTCGAATTCGTCTACATGGAATCCCTCCCCTGGTTTATGAGGGTCTATGTACATACTCTCGACGCCCGCATCGACGGCGTATCGGGCTCCCAACGATCCCTCATCAAAGAAATCTACTACCGACCCGCCGTCGACCGTGCCCGAGGCACCCAACTCGAGCTCCGCATGGTCCTACCCCCCTCCTCGACCGTCTTCCTAAGCTACGATTTCGAAAAGTCCATCCTGCGATACACTGAGTACCCGCCCGACGCCAACCGCGGCTTCGACGTAGCGGCGGCCATCATCACGACGGTTTCGCCACGCAGGTTGAATCTGCGCACGACGTCGCTGTTGCTGAACCTGCCGACGCCGGATTTCAGCATGCCGTATAACGTTATCATTTTCACATCTACGGCGATCGCCCTTGCTTTCGGGGGCTTGTATAATATCCTTGTGAGGAGGTTCGTTGGGGTAGATGAGGCGCCGAAGCCGCCTTTGAGGAGGAAGATTGGGGCTTTGGTGGAGAGGGTTAAAGGGTTGGTGAGGGCGAAGCGGGGGAAAGAAGGTAACGGGAAAGGATAAGTAAATGATAGATTTTGATTGTATCGATGATTTATTTTATTTCAGCTTCTGTTTGACGAAGATTTTCACGCCTGTTGTGATGATTTTGGGAGTGGAATTGGATTGTCAGTTCGATCTATGCGTCTGTCCCCCCAGTCCCGGTGTTGATCCAATTACTCCCCACACGGCCTCGAAGATACATATTTCTCACCAGGAACATGTTATCAGAAACAGATATATATTCACGAAGCGGAAAAAAGAAGACTCCGCCTCGGAGACTCATCAAAACTATATACAAGGGAGGAGTCCGAATCGCCTTCTCGGGGAACTCAATCTCCTCAAGGAAGAAAAAGATACAGAAGAAATCACATCAACCCCTTCGCGTTTCGCTAATCTCACATCCCCTCTCTCAAAGGCACTGGTGATACCAATCATTCTGCTTCTGGCAAGCATAAGGCGACTCACACCTCGTCGGACCCGTCCACCCAATACCACCACATTGTCCCCACCTAGGCGCCGTCGGGCCATCGGTAGCAGTAGGCTGAGCGGACGAGCTCGAAGAAGAAGCCCTGGTGCTAGTAGTAAGCGTGGAGCTTGTTCTCACGGAGGACGTGCTGGACACGCGGGTGGTGGTGCTTGATGTCTTGGCAGTAGAAGAAGGGGAAGAAGAAGAAGAAGAAGAAGTTGGGTTGCCACCTCCGCCTTGGACAGTACCCTGTGCGTAGAGGACACCGCGGCCGTTGGTACCTACGTACACGAGGCCGGGTTCGTTGGCGCTACCGGCGAGGCGACAGCCGTCGATTGCGCCGAAACCCTGGGACGAGCCCTGGATGTCCTGCCAGGAGGCGCCGTTGTCGGCGGTAGCATAGAGACGGGCGCCTACGGGACCGTGGCCAAAGGCATAGAGGATCCAAGAACTTCCAGAACCTTTACCGAGGGCTATGCGGTGGGTGTTTGTGAGGGTGGAGGAGATGAGAGAAAGGGTTGCGCCGTGGTCGGTCGAGTGGAAAATTCCCACGTCAGTTGAGACCCAGAGTTCACCTGCGACGGTAGGATGTACCGCTATGTCTCGAATGGAAGTAGCGGCGCCGAGGGAGCCTCCTGGAGAGAAAGTGGCTCCAATATCAGAAGACACGAGGAGTTTTGTGGTTCCGGCGTAGAAGTAGGCGTTGTCCTTCTTGTCGGAGGCGATGGCAGCTCCCGAGGGGACGGAGGACACGGCCGTGAAGGAACCTTGGTATTGAGATCGGAGGACTCCCGAAGACTCGCTGGACCAGAGGATCGTGTCGGCATTAGCGGAGTACGCCACACGGCCACCATACTGGTCGTTGCTTGCGGCGTAGTTGAGGTTCCAGGTCGCCCCGCCATCATTCGAAAGGGCGACCTGCGGGCTGCCGGCGGAGTTACCTACGCGGACGACGCTCTTGACGCTGTTACCTGCGTAGTCGACGCCCGTGGAGCTAGTGAACATGGGGTTATTCCAGGCGGTTTGGGGAGAGGTTCCCAAGTCGACCTTGGTCTTGAAGGTGAAGCCGCTATCGTCGCCAACAGCGGCGAGGAGCTCGCTGCCGCCAGGGACGGAGGTGACCTCGAGGACGGCGAATTCCTCGATGCCGTCGGCGAGGGATTGAATGGTGACATTGCGACCACTGCCGCTGTCCCACTTGGCGAGGTCGTGGCCTCCATAAATGGTGAGGCCCGTGCCGTAGAGCCAGTGGTTGCTGTCATGCGGGTTGATCTCGAGAGCCTCAATCATCCACCCAAGACGCTTCGTATCAACGGAGACAAAATTCTCGTAGATCCACGGAGCCTTAGGCGTGCTCATGGAATAGTACTGATTCTGGTCGGGGTACGCAGCCCACTCCCAGATCTTGGACCAAGTAGCACCCGAATCAGTCGTACGGAAGATTTGGGCATCAGGCCACCACGAGTTGAGCGTCGCCACCATCACGGTCCCTGGTTTCTGCAGGTCAACGGAGAGGCCACCGAAGCCGAAGTAGAGGTCGTCGCCCGTCGCAGGTGTGATGTCTTTCCAGGTGCCGGCGGTGATGTCGTACCTGTAGACGGCGCCCTTTGTGCCATCGTAAGGTCCGCTTCCGTCGCTGTAGCTGAGGTAGAGGGCCTTCTCTTGCGGCTGGAGCCTGCACTTGTGTGGGAAGTAAGTGCCAGGTTGGCCGGCGACCGCGTCCCAAGTCTCACCAGCGTCGTTGGAGACGTAGACAGAAGCAGTAGTGTTGTCTGCGGTGCCAACGAAGATTCTCTTGGTCCTTCCGTTAGACGCCGTGCCAGAGGTGTCGTCAAATGTAACGAAGGCGAGACCCTGGATGTCGTTGTTGTAGCCGTTGGCATCCGTCGGATCGGGCACGTACGTTCCTACGGCCGTGAAGGACGAGACCTTGGCAAACGTGACCCCTCCGTCAGTGCTGCGGTAGAGGCCCTTGCCGCTACGAGCGCCGAGATAGATTACTTTGGAATCGTGGGGGTCTACGGCTAGGCGCTCGCCCATTCCGCGGCCGGGCATGTTGCCGCCGACCTTGAAGGGGAGCTCAGTGGTTTGCCAGGTGTTCCCGCGGTCGGAGCTGCGAATGACAGCGCCATTGTTTGGGTCCCTTTATTTTCCTCCTGCGTCAGTTCAATGCCAAACATTCTTAAGTATGATGCTCTTACCAGCTGTTGGTGTACATGCCGACGAGGGCATAGATCTTGTCGGCATCCTGAGGATCCAGCGCCATGGCATCGATACCCCAGTACGACCTAGATAAGCGCTCATTAGAATCCAGCACGCAGGAATTTATATTCCGATGTTAAATTGAACGAGGCAGTACGCAGCTCTAACTCACCACTTATCGTTGGTCGCAAGCGAATCCGTGATAGGAGTCCACGAATCATCCGACGGGTTAAGCCTGTACAAACCACCGATGTCCGTTCTCGCATACGCGACTCCGGCGGTAGTGGGATGGAATGAGATTCCAGGCACGAATCCGCCCCCGCCGCCGATCCGGACGTTCTTCCACGAGAACGCCGCATCGGCATGGCTGGCCGTAGCCGCAAGGACTGCGAGAATGGCCTTGAGGAACTTCATGCTTAAGGAGTTATGGGGGCCTGCTTTAGTCGACCCGGTTTAAAGGACGGAGGGTCTCTCAACCTCCTCTGAAGACTGGATTAGAGAGGGACGATGCTCTTTCTTGGCTGCTTCATGGTGCGGGTTATATTACATCCTATATATCTCTGTGGACCTCGCCTGGCGTATTGCTATTACCACCTTTACGGTAGCATGGTTAGTGACGCAGACATTGATGAAGCGGAGAGAGAACATCAATATGTGGTAGACGGAATCAAAGATGCCATGGCACCGGACCGGAAGTCAAGCATCTCCGCACCACCATCAGCGGCCTCTGAATGCCCATCTCCCGCATGCGTCCCTGAGCGGCGGATGTAAGTCCCAATCTGTCAAATACCCAACAGAAAGGTCGCCATCCCCTTCGGAAGTGTACCACTTTCGGAAACGCAGCCAGGGTGTGAAAAGAGGGGAAAAGCGAGAGCAGAAGAAGCGACGAAAAATGGAAGATTTAATGTCCAGAAATCCCACAAATCAATTTAGCCTTTTCGCCTGCCAGCATACCACCATATACTACCCTGCCATTTGCTCGCAACGAGGCCGAGGGTAAGGAACGTCTCCAAATGATTAAATTGCATCAATTGCCATCAAGAAACGAAATTAGAGCAAACCTAGATGTGGGAGACCCACGGCGCGGGAATAGACGAGATGGGGCGAATCAATCCCGGATCCTCAAATAAAAGAGAGAAGTTAGACGTCGGTCTGCGTCCAGACATGAAAGTGCTCATAAAGGGGATGATAATGACTTCAGGTTCCAGGTAGAACAGGCAGCAGACACCCTCTAGATGGACATGCACTCTGGGCTTGATGGTTCTCGATTTCATGGCCAAGTCGATACTGCACTGCTTCCCGGCAAGATAGAGTGATGGATCTGTACCATGTAGCATCCTCGATCAACTACTCGCATGCTTAGTTAGTTCACGCGGATGTTAGGGGATCCAGGTTAATCAATCTCTAGCTAACCCGGTCGAGGCCATGTGATGAAGGGTTCCGCGACGGTATGGATTTCCGGTTATCAATTGCACTCGTAGCAGAATGTCTTCGTGGCGACTCGCATCAGGGTTTCTCAAGGCGCCATTCTCGAGAGGATCCTAGACTCGGAAAATCAGTCAAGCGGTCGCCAGCCAAGCCCAATAATGCGGAACGTGGGCTCCGGTGTCTCTCCTGGGCGGAGGCATGTACATATCCTTGCTTGGCTGTTACTCTCGTCGTTGGTTTTGCGGTAGACCGATAGTATAAATGCGAATGTCGAGCGCCATTTCTTCAAGGCCCCTCTCGTCTCCCTCTAAACCACGCCCCCCAGAGTGGGGAAAAAAAAAAAGGGTAGCCGGAATAACAGGAAGCGTGGAAAACATTTCTCAAGCACCATCTCTCGTTGAGCCCTTTGCTCACATTACCCAACTCAAACAGCATATGGAAAGGTTTCTATTAGGTTTCGATATCGAGAATACACTGCTTGCCAAAACACACACACTACTGTCACCTTGACAATGTTTCACCGCTCAAAGGGCCCCCGAAATGCATCTATCTGATCATATATACCAAGTTAAGGGTAAATGGTTGGTTGAACTGGTTCAAGGAGATAGCATCAAACCTGGAAAGATTGCGAGTCGTTCAATACCTGACCGATGAGCGGGCCGGTTCAAAAACTCGACACCGCAAGTCTAGTTCAAGGCTTTCAACCTCTTACACCGCAGATTTCTCCGATGGAAGCGACGGGGCCTTGATATCCTCCTCGTGTTCAGCCATGCGGATCTCCTTTTCAACTTGGTGAAGGTCAACATGGGCAACGGCATCATCACCGTCAAAGATCTTAGCAATTTCCTCGAGCGTAGGTCCCTTTGTTTCGACGTAGAAGAACCAAACGAACACCAACTCGCAAAAGTCCCAAAGCGTATAGAACAACATGAAGTTCCAGTGATTCGGGAGATTGTTCCACGCCAGAAGGTTAGTCTGGTTGCCGAGAGCGAGGACGGCCTGGATGGTGATGTTGAGAATCATCATGCCCTTGGCCCGGAGAGCAAAAGGAAGAACTTCGAGGGCATAGGCAACGAGCAGGCCAGAGAAGCCGATATCGTAGAAAATACCAAAGAACCAGATGAACACGATTTGCGCATCGCCGGCTCGCTGGTTGGACTCTCCAGAGTTCTCGTAGATGGCTCCGACAATGGTCCAGCAGACGAAAGATGCAACCATGCCGCTAATGGCGGCAAGGAAGAGAGGTCGGCGACCAACTTTATCGACGGTCAGGGCGGCACCGACGGCAATTGTGAGATCCATGATTGTCTTGCCAGCCGAGAGCTATCAACAGGTAAGTATTGTGTAAGCAAAAATTCATTAACAGCCCGAGGCAGTGGCGTGAGGGAAAACTTACACCAAGTTTCTTATTCTCCTCCTTGATGCCGGCACCATCATAAACACGGTCGATATAATTGGAAAAGAGGGCGTTACCAGAGTACTGGGAGATGACACCAAGAGAAATGATGATGGCCAATCGCCAGCGGTTTCCCTTCGTCCTAAAGAAGTCGATGTAACTGCTGCTCTTATCGGCATTAGCCTCCATGGTAATGGTTTCCTTGATCTCGCGATATTCGAATTGGACTGTGGAATTGTTGATATCGCCGCCGCCGTGATGCTTAACGAGGACTTCGAGAGCCTTCTCGGATTTGTCCTTGGAAACGAGGAAACGCGGCGACTCGGGGAGCCACCAGACGCCGCAAAGCTGGAAGACGGACGGAACGATTTGAATGAGTGTGATGGATCGCCAACACCAGTCGTTTCCGATGGTCGAGGTTCCCCAACCGACGACAGAGACAACTACGGGATGGTCAGAGAGTCAGCTACTTCACACGCAAGATGGTGGGGAAAGCTAAATGATGGACACTTACTGAGAGCACCCAAGTTCCAGAGACAATTGTAGACGGCAGTGAGGGGACCACGATGTTGAGGGTGGCAGATCTCTGTGAGGAGCAGAGGAGAGCACATCTGGGAGAACGAGTTCCCGAAGCCAAGAATGAATCGACCGGCCATCCACACTTAGAGCATTATCAGTCAGCCATCCTTCGTTTGTTTCTAGCCACTTCCCCCGGGATGATGAATCACGAGATACTCACTTCCGTAGCCATTACAGGCAGCAGAGATGACACCGCCAACAATCATGACGACACAGCCGAGCATGATGGTCGGCTTTCGGCCGAAGAAATCGGCAATATACGGAGTCATGAAGTAGGAGATGATGGAGCCGATGTTAAACATGTTGATCATGATACCGAGCTTGTTCGCATCGGCACCCCACTCCATCTTGACGGGGTCCCAGATGAAGACTTCGTTCATGGAGCCATTCTCAATGGAAAAGAACTTTTTGAACCTGTCCATCTGCTGCGCCGTGTTGGCCAACATGCCGTCGTAGCCAGTTGTGGCTGAGGCGACAAGAAGGAAGACGGTCATGATGTAGAGCTTCTTCAAGTGCGGCTCCTTCCGCCAGTTGACGCGTTCGAAGCGAGGGACATCGCCGCCGCCAGCGGTCGCCTTGCTAACGATGGCGACCATTGCTCGAACTTTTTTCTTTCCTGGAAGGGGATCAATGCCTTCTTACAACAAACAAAAGGGTATCTTGAAATTAAAAATAGAGAAAAGAAATAGAAAGGAATGTAACCACGCGAAAGTGCGCGAAGAAAGCAACGGGGGAGCGAGGGAGCGAATGCGGGGATATGTGGGATTGATATATCCCAGCTGCTGAGGATCCGGCTTGCGGATGGCTGCTCAATTCAAAGATGAGATTTGAGCCGGAGGATGGAAGACAGAAGAGAGAAGGGAGAGTAAGAGGAGACGAGGCCAGGGATCGACTGCTTATATGAAATCCGGTGTCCCTAGGTTTGACCTATACTGGTTTGGCAACTCAGGGAACGGAACCGAGTAACGAAGACCAGATCGGAATATGAACAGGAACATTGGACACCCCAATAAGCATTCAGACGGTTCGTGTCATAGGCATACACGGGAAAGGCAGGGCCTTCATTGAACGTGGGGAGAGCGGAGAAAGATCAAGCAAGAAATCGGCGATCACGCCCCTTCTTCTACCCGTCGGCGTCTTGCCCCGGATGGCGTCCCCAACATCCCCAACCCACGGCTCAAGCTTACCTTGACAATCACACACACCCCCCTCCTCTCCTTTCAGTTCTGCCCACCCCTCCTGCTGACTGTGGGTCAAGACTCCATGGGGAAGCTGAGCGGAGGAGAGTTGAAATGTTCTCGAAAGGGAGGGATACTCCTAGCGTAATTAGCGGACAAGCGTGGATGGAAAACCCTGACTAGCACGACTTCGTACTGGTATGACAGTCGGCGTGGGTCAAAGTGGATCGGAACCAGGATGACAAGGACCAGGCCTGGCGATGCAAATTAGCGGGATATGGATAATATTCAGGTTAGCTATTTTCTCTCTTTACCAGTCAGAATTTCCATCAAGCCGTCATCACGAGGATTGCGTCCTTGATGCCGTCGGACCGTCCTGTCGATTCAGGCACTACCAGCCATCAGCGGCAACCCCACTGCTATTTCAGCCATCAGATGGAAATTGAAGTCTTTTAAGGCGGACGCCCGCCGTATTGAATCATAGATGCTCCGTATGGCGGAGGAAGGTTCTGCAAAAAGACACTTTGGCAGCTCAAAGAGAGGTTGTAATAGACCTAGACTAACTCTGTCCGGGTTCTGCGGCGGTGAAAAGACACTAGATGGCTGTGACTGTCCGTATGGGATGCAGAACCTCGTGGGGTAGCGCTAAGAAGAGCCTCTGTTGCTTGTTACATAGGTTGGGGAAGAATTGAGGGGAAATCTGGAGCACTGGGATGTGCTAATGGGGAAAGAAAGAAGCAGCCCCGTCCGACGTGATTGATGCCCTGATGTTCCCGAGAGAACCACCAAATGCTGGAAGGAGCGCCTGGGCCTGACAGACATCAGCAGATCTGACCCAAATTTTTTCGGATTTGATCTCCCTGGCACCCGAAACATTTTATGATACAGCATGAAGAACTTCGTTTTTCTGATATTCGATTTCGTGTGCCTGCATGTCGAATAAAATTGTATAAAATTGCACATTAATTTTGAACTCTATGACACACGGGCAGCCGATATTAACACACCACCATTGAGCTCTCGTACATGCAGACTCGTCTATTTGCCGCCAATGTTACAGGTTTCGAATTTCTGATCTGCATTGGTTAAAAGATCAGTCAATTACTTAGCTTTGAAGAAAGGCAAAAATTATCGTTTACGTGGGCCTTCAGACAGCTACTGGCACTACAGTCCGAAAGGATGGAGCGCCCCACGACTCGCAACACCAAAGAATCCAGGACAACCTGTAAGCATCTTTCAGTGAGATTCGTACGAAGCACGAAGCAGTTCCTGGATTAAATCCAAGAGCCATTGAAGTCACCCGTTTCTGTTTTGCTTTTGCGGTAGACGAGACCGGCAAGCTACCACTCAGGGCAAGCGAGTAGGCCGGAGACGCGTGGGCTCATCTCGACTATGTTTCGTTAAGCCGTGCCTCATCTTAGCGGGGAGTCGTCGACTGGCGGATATTCCGCATCAGCAGCGAACCTTCCTGTACGCAGATACTGATTCCGCTCTCCGCATTTGTTTAGGAAACCGGAAAGGGGGGCAAGGAAGAAAAACTGAACATTTTCTCTGATCCTCTTCGCTGAACATGATCTGTTTCGATGTAGGGGATAGCTTGGATTTGGTGCCTCAGCTGCCTGTCGTGATCTCGACTGCCAGCCTACTCGTATAAATGTTCCAAGCGGCCAGTATATGCTGCCAAGCCATGCGGCTCTAGCCCCGAATCGTGGCAATAGCACTCTACTTCGGACGAAGAATGGATGGTCGGCCCTATGGGCTTGGCAGACCGCAAGCAAAGACGCAAGGGTGGAGGGGCGGGACGACGTTCGAGGTGTGCGTACCGAGAATGTGGCCGAAGCCGCGAGTCAGAGGTTTGCCGGCACGGCTTCTATGAAGCTCGCAGGATTGATTATTGCGTTCCCTTGCAGACGAAATCGCTGGAAATAACCCGGGGCTTGCTTCGACCGTCGTTGTCGTCGGTGAAGTCGGAACAAACTGCACTTTGACTTTGACCTTCATACCTAATCTCGGCTCCGCTTGCGTGCTTGTTGCCGACATCCATAGTGTCGTTTGGCGTGCTCCACCACGATCCACGATCCATTATCCATAATATAGTGAAAACATTTGATCAGTTCAATCAAGAGGGCGGATTGATCGAATCGTACGTGACAAAGGAAGTCCGTCCACTGTAGATGTGGGCCAGAGGAGGAAAAGGACCGTTTGGGAAAATCCGGGTAAATAGCAGTAGTCGACCGGATAAAGTCAGAAGCTACTCTGAATATGGCAAAGACGACAAGAGACGGATCCTGGAGCTTTTCTCTCCCAGACCAAGGGAATTTCGAGGTCAGGTAACAGGGGTGAAAGGACTTTCGTAATGTCCCCTCCCACCGCCTATTCTGTACTTCGGAGCTGAGCTAATGGCGACTGACCGGTCAGGCCTGCCCTTGCGAAGACTACAGATATCGATCAGGAAGTCTTCGAAGTTCTGTGTCCGGAACCCGGGAGGTTAGCCAAGATTTTCGTTACCAATGCCAGGGGAACACAACAGCAATTGGGCTTCCTTGTGCTTGACCTTGTCTCGTCGTGCCTCCATTCTTCTTGGTGGATTTTTGCAGACTGTACTTCGTAACACATATCGAGTGGCATCAACCCGTCATATTAGTCTGCCACTTGCGGCCATCAATTGACCAATCGGTCAATGAAGGAGCTCGCGTCCACCAAGATGATCGCGATCCTCGCCCAATCAGCGCCTACGGTTTGAGCCGACTTGGTAAATGCAGGTGTGAGTTGCATATTTAGAGTACCACCTGGTTGGATCCATCTCTAACGGCACAGGGGTCGACCCGAGATGATAGTTTAAATTGCGCGTGGTTTTTACACAGTCTCTTCTTCGCCTCGAGGAGACCGTTCGCGGGCTGTTATATTACACCACCATACCCGCCCCATAGATCTCTTCATGGATCATTTTGAGGAAATTCGGCCTCATCTTGACCCGGAGCCTTCACAGCCAGGGAATGTTACTATTCGGCTAATTCGCTTCTGGAGAGACCGACTGGTCTTGTTGAGTGCTGTGATGACGGCACCTGGGCAGAGAGAGAAGCCCGATAAGGCACTTCTACCGTGAAGATGAAAGCCTGATGTTTGTATCTCAAAGTCAAAGGCTCACTCAAAGTAAGAGGCTGTGGGGGGTGGTATGTTTGCCCCATCCACCAAGCCAGCCAGATCCGGGGTTACGTAGCCCTCACCACACTCTTATCTTAAGATGAACCATAATACCTTCAAAAACTCAACGTCTTCAGGAGACATACTCCCATCGCTGGGATAACTAATAATTTACCGATGAATGACTTTGATCAATGCTATAGATCCCAGATCCTGGTCCTCGCTGATACTACTACCTCTAGACAGAAGTGCTGTTTGTGACATGCACAGTCCTAACTTCGGCCGTCTTAGTTCTGTTCCCCATTTCTTGCTTCGCAACAAAGAGGCGAGCTTTCGACACTCGAAACTAGGCATTTTAGAAAAATCCCTACAGATTGGGTCGGTCGGCCGATCATGAGGTGCTCCTGCGACATAAATCGTTTAGGCCCACCAATGCTCCGCGTAGATCGTCGTGACCCAAGGCTGCCATTCCTGTGTTTGTCTTTTTCGTTCCCCAGACTTTTGCCCTTTTGAAACTAAAGTGGTGAGCGCTTCGGTGAAGGGAATCTTGGGAGGTAGGCCCCATCAGACCATCGCCCTTCTAGTTATTCATGCGAGAAAAGATGGTATAAGAAGAGATGATGGACACATCCGATCCAAGCTAGACAATAGCTCCGAGGCGAGCACCCGTCGTTCCTGAAAGAATAACCGGCTCGAAGCGATAGAAAGCTCAGACGAGTCGGGGCAAAAAAAAAAAAAAAAAAAAAAAAAAAAAAAAAACGGATTGAAAATTATACCCTATACCCTATATCCTCTGGCAAAGCGAGAAAGAAAGCCGAGAAGCGAGAAGCGATTCTCATTCAGAATCTTCATTCGGCTCGGTTCCGCGCCCTCGGGTGACCCTGAGCTTAGAGTGAAACATGAGCTTGGGGTGAGAAATGAACGAAGCAGCGTCCATCAATAACGTCTGTCTGCCTCCAGGACTTCGGTCCTTCACTTCCTACTACCCCTCGTCTCACGCATTCTCCCACGCGGTTTTGTTAGGCGACTCTGTGTCCGTCCCGGATTTTCTGCCTGTCGATCAGACCCGCACCCCAGCATAGACGTTCATGGGGCGCATTTCCCTCTTCTTCTTTTCTCCCTTTCTTTTTTGCCTTTCACTTTTTTCCCCCTCTGCCTCTATCCCAAACCCTGCTCTATTTAACTGTGCCCATTACGACTGTCGCCATGGACGTGAAGCGCATATACACTCTGCCATGGATCAACTTCCACATGGACACGGTGGCGTGGAAGGAATGACATATGCGTTCGTGCGTCCACTTAAATGGACATACCCTCAGAGCTACGGTACTTTATTTTACTGTTCGAGGTCGTTCTCCCAATGTTCCCTCGATGACGGACCATATCAGGCTGGCTTCTGCTGGCTTCTCTTTCGCCTCGGGAGTGGACGTAAGAATGCTCAACGGAATGAAGCGGTCTAGACTTACTTACCTTGCCGTGCGTGAATAATGAGTGACGAGGTTTCCATCTATTCGGTTGGAATTTAATTTAGACCTGTCTCTATATACCCTTAAATCAATATAAGTGTGCCGCAATGAGAATCAAGGAAGCTCCCGCCATCACCACGCATGGCCACGCATATCAGGAAACGAGTCGTCATATCGGGTTACTATAACCAAGACAAATCCCGCCTACGAGAGGTTATACAAAGAGAGAAACCCCCACTAACAGGCCCGTTTGAGCGAGAACTTCCTTCGTCGGGAGGCTCGGAAGCACATATTAAGATCTTTTGTAGGGAAGCGGCGGGAGGACTGGGGAAGCCTCGTGTAGGTGTCCCGGCTGAGAAACAACCCATGAAGGACTCCAATGTCATAATTAAGAGGTGGGGGAGTAAGCCATCACTGCATATCCTCGGCATCATTTTATATAATGTGATTTTGGTCAATTCGTGCGGGATATCTCTGCGTCGATTAAAGCTATGCTACCTGAATCTCCGAAATGCATCCGTGCTAAAGCCTCCAAGACAGACTAGAGGCAGCGGGGCAAGGATTAAAGCCAAATATCTGGAGGTGATGTGGGCATTTGAATCGACCAAAAAAACATTCGGAAACTTCCTTTGGGTATCTGTGACTGAATTTGACAAGAAGAAAAGTAAAACAACAATTGTGATGGCGAAGGGGGTTGACTTAGATAGTAGTCAATCGGTCACCAGTCGTCCATGCCATGCAATATGACTAGGCCACCGTGTGGTCGTCGTCCACCTCGCCATCGCGAGCCTCCAAACTACTACGGCCCTCCAGCTGAGAGATCGATTCAAGGGCACGCTCAAACTTCTTAACATCGGCGCGCACCTCTTCCCTCTGCCTCGCCGTAGCCTCGTCTTCGGACATGAGAATGTCATAAATGCCAGCCTCTCCACTTGGGAAAACCTGAAGTTGCCGATCAAGGTGCAAATCTCTCGCGAGCTGGTCCTCGATATTGGGAATCAGGTCGGAATGCAAAATCAATCCGACAGCGTCAGTCAATCGAGCAGAGGCGAGTCTATAGTAGCCTCTAACGTACCCGAAGACGTCCACCTCTGTCTCGTATGGATCTTTGCCCATTTTCTCCATCTGAGTGGCTCTCCGCTTCTCATCTTGGTCCCTCTCCTGCGCTGAAAGGGTTTCGAGCGGCGCAAAAGCTTTGGGGGGCAGCTCGTTGGTAGCCATCTGCCAGCGGACGTAGTGACGATGCCGGCGAAGGATGTTCTCTTCCGTTCGTCGGTATTGTTTGAACTCCTCATCGTTGAGAGTAAACAGTTGGCGGGTGTGGATTCGGAGTGTCTTTATGAGATACTTCTCGGTTTCCGCCTTCTGCTCTTTCAAAAACAGTGACATGATTGCTTTTGCTCTCTTGTAAATCAAGCGCTTCTTCAGCTGCGCAAAAGCCCTCTCAAGAGCCGAGTTCACAACGGCGGATATCTCCTTCATGACAAGGTGAAGGAATTTGCGGACGGGGCCGTCCCAAGGCGTCAAAGCTTGCCGGCAAAGGTCTTCATAAACAGCACCGGCAACAAGTCCAGGTTGGCCCGCGCGATTATGACGTATAATCGAATCCCGGATCTCTCTCAGTTTCCGCGTTGGTGGAGGGCCAAATTCTGCGAATGGGCCAGGTGCTTCCATGCCTTGTCTAGGGCCGCCAGCGCTAGGTCCAGGTGTGACCGAACCCATGCGTCCGTAGCTATCTTCTCGCTTGATGGGTCCAGGGTTGCCTGTACGTGCACGTTTGGATGGCGTTGTAGGTGCGGAAGGAAGCGTATTCGGTGCTGCCTTACGCTTAGAGTTCGGCGCAGGGCCGCTCTGATCCTCGGTGTCATCGTCATCGATGATCTCAATGATTTGATCGTCCGTCTTTACGTTTATCTTTGGCTTCATAGCTATGAGGCAATTGCGGAAGGCTTCTCCGAGGCGCTGATAGGTAGATGAGAATTCGTTCCCTCGCAGGCTCGACAATACCAAGTCAATAAAGGTTCTCAGGCTCGTCCGAACCTCCAGTTCGACGTTGGCAGGGAGTTCGGGCAGGGACTCCAGTTGGTGTCGCAGACTGGACAACTTGTTGACAATCTTCTTCTTGATCGTCGGTAGACTAGAGAGTGTAAGTTAGACAGACGTGTTTGAAAATTTGGTTTAAAAAAAAATGAAGATCCGTAGTGCAGTATTTGGACTTACCTCTTGGCAAATGCTGCACCTAGCTTGTCCGAGAGATCGAAATGAAGCTGTTTCAACCCACAACGGTCGCGGTATGCACTAAACTCGCGAGGCCATAGCTTATTTTGGTCGAAGAAGTGATCCTCCCAGCGATTCTGATCCTCCAACGTCTTATCTGGAACGCGAGAAGTTACATAGTATCCATGACCGGTAACGTGGCTTTCGCCTTTGAGAATGGTCAACCACTGGCGAAGGGCTCCTTCATCCTTGGGTAACAGATCGGCCTTTGTCATCACACCGATGGTACGATCCAAGGCATTCGAATCCTCGATGATTTTAGACATGGTCGAGTTCATCGGGTCAAGATTCATCGGCACAGCCCAGATAATGATGGCCTCCCGATGCCGGATGTAAGTCTCCGCGAGGTTTCTGACAACCTGAACAAGATAGTTCTCGTCCGGGTTTCCTGGGCGGACAAAAACTCCGGGAAGATCATAAAAAGAAAGGTCCGCAAAATCAGGGTGCTTAATCTCGAGTGATATGACGTTGGGAGAAAACTTGGCTTCGGTGCTCTCGGCGGCTCTCTCAAAAGCGTTTTCACCAATAGTAGCATGGCCAGAGCCAGGAATGTACTGCTCATGGGATTTTCCGGGGTTGAGGATGGCGATTTGCGCCCATCGGAGTGTCTCTTCAATCTCGTCGGGTCTATCGAGAGTCTTGAAATCAAGCGTTGTTTCATGAACAGGCTTCCAAGGAGGGAACTTGTCACCAGGAGTCACATTATCCGGCGAGACGAGGCCGTTTTCCGGCGGGAAAAAACCATACTTTTGTCGTAAAGACACGCGGCATTGCCATGTGTGGTGACGAGATACTCGAATGTGGGTTACACAGCGAGTGCAGACGCCTCCGCTGCGAGGAAGATTGATGCCAGCCAGACCGGACATGAGGCTCGATTTGCCAGCTGATTGATCTCCCACCAAAACGAGTTCGGGCAATTGGATGTCATGCTGAATTCCAAGGGAATGAAGGTCTCCAAGTGTGTCGTTAAGATACTGCAAATTCTTGGCGATACGCTCAAAAGACCCATTCATGAAGGGAATGGGCTCCGTCGGATTGACGGGTCGCTCCTGAGGTCGAGCCATCCGCCTATCGTTGACTTGAAGCATCAATGGAGGCTCATCAAACCTTCTTTCGGATGGCGTAGCTAGATACGGTAGGGGGAAGGTCAGAGGTGTGTTCTTGCGGAGGGTATTGCCTTGGGGAACGAGTTAGTCCACGGCGGGCTCTCGGTGTTTTACTTACGGGCATTGGCTCTTTCCCCACGATAACCAGAATACAGGCTCGGCTGCGTAGCAGATTCTTGGGTGCGGAAGGATCTATCATCCAGCTCCTCATAAAATACTGGCTTCTCCTGCTTGATGCGACCCATTTTGGGAGGAAGAGGGCTGAAGATGATAGCGTAGAGCGAGGAATGAAGAGGGCTGAGGAGGTTGAGGGAAGAAATAGAAGTGGATGTGATTTAATATTGCCAACCTTGGAGGAGAAGAAGTAGAGGGAAATAACGACGAGAAGAAGTAAAGAAGTATGAAGCGCAGTAATGAATGAAAGAGAAGGAGCAAAAGGTGAAGGAGATGGATGGCCAGCTCCTTCTCTCATATAGGTGGAAGGTTGAATGGCTGGAATCGTGACACTCCAGGCTTACACAATTTGTGGTAGAGCTCGACGAGAAGCTACCTTAGTCCGAGGAGCCAGAAGGCAGCGAAGAACGAAACACAGCTTTTCTCAGAGGGAGAAAAAAATATAATCGTATTCAAATTGCTTATTGAAGTATATATTTCGAATTATATCCCAATTACCTTTCTGGATGCGCTGAAAATACCAGACCATTTCGAGTCGATAAGTCGCTTTGCTGGAAATGCTAACAGAACGCGGAGTTTAGAAGGTGCATTGGAGGCAGGAGAAATTTCGCGAGCCAGAGGCGTAGAGCTCCCAGAATCTGTTGCTTTGATTGGTTGCGACGCGGGTCCCGGAGACGAGGTCTTGGAAGGCACGGGTCAGCCCCTGGTCTCGGCGCCGCGATCCTTACGCGATGACCTAATCAGCCTCAGGTGCCGCCTTGACGGAACTCCACATTGTGAAATTGTGACGAGGATTGCTTCATACAACTTCTGGCGATTGAGGAAAGTTCAGAAGAAAAACGATCGAAAATAGAATGGCAGAGGGACCAAGATGCCAGGGGACCAAGATGCCATCCTAAAGCTATTCTACTGCCCTGACTCCCTCTCACTCTTGTCTCGAGCCTAGAGTCAGGGACGTGGCGCCTAATTATAATACTTGGATGTCAAAACTGAAGGAAGCGGAGGAGCAGCAATATTGCGAGACGCTGCGAGCTTCGGTTCTTCCTCTCAGCTCCCCGAGTTTGTTGACCAAGGGCGCGAGATCTCATCTCCCCTAATATGGGAAGGGGAAAAAAAGCCTTGATAATCCAACATCGATTTCATATCTCTTCTTCTCATCCCATACATCAACCTTCCTTCCAAAGCGGATAGCTCTTCCACGCTTGCTTACAGTGCTTCTTCACGCCCGGCCAAATAGTTATCAAAATCCCCTCGTAAAACGAATCCACCCCGTCGGCGTTCAATTTCTCCGCCTCCTTTGAAGATTCGGTTTCAATCTCTTTCACGTAGAATTCGTCGCGTCCAAACCTCGGGTCGCTAACTCGAACCCAGTGCCTTGCAAGGCATCCTGCAATGATGCCAAACTTCATATCAACCCACGCAGACCCAAAATTCCCTACACCATCCGGTCTGATGCTAATAATTCGAGGGGGGTATTCCAAGGAAGACACACACTGAAAAATCTCCGCTGCGAGGGTACGATCTACACAAGCATTTATAAATGTATCGCGGAGGTGTTTACAATGGACCTCGACCTCGCTCCTCGGTAGCAACATCTCAATTTCGGTCAGGTTCAAACCCTGTTCATATTCGTCATCCTCTGAATCCTCTTGCAGTACTCGCACGCTCAAATTAGAGCAGTCGAGTAGTAAGCTGAGGCAATCTAGGTGTCGCAGCTGACGAAAGGCTCTATAAGTCCACACCTCCTCTTCGTCGCCCCGGGACTGCGGAATAAGGAGTTCGAGATCTGTGAGGTTCGGGCACGCTCTTACCAATCGTTCAATGCGGGCGCGTGTTAGAACATATGGCTTCAGCTCTAGGTCTGCTCCCCGTTCCGGAATGAGCTTGAGCTTTCGCAAGGTCGGCCCATACGAAAGGATGGCGTTGAGTGTCTCGTTTCCAAAGATACCGCTGATATGGAGGTGGGCCAGTGGTCGCAGAGAGTGTAGGAGTTGGGCAATGACAGAATCAAAGTGCCCTTGTTCATGACGACTAAAGGAATATCCCGCGAGAGCGAGAGTTTGAAGGGACGCGAAGCCCTGGCTCTTCACAGCTACAGTCAGGGCCTGTAAGGAAGCAAGACTTGCAGACCTGGAATGTAGTTGTAAGGATCGCAGCGCATTGAAGTTGGTATGCTTTCCCCAGTTTCTAACAGCCGAGGGGGAGAATCGCCCATCGCCAGCGAGAGTCAATTTCTCAAGCGCACCGAGTTTGTCTACACTATGCGGAGCCTCACGAAAGAAACCCGGCCATTGCGGTTACGGGGGCGAAAGTGCCCAATAGTGGTCGAAGCTGTGACCAGGCAGCCTTGCCCATATGGAAACAGCCTTTATCGCAGGCGACTCCCTTGCTACCATACGCCAGATCGCTTCTTCATTAAAACTGACGTGGCCTCGGGAATCATACCCAGAGGTGGTATCTCGCGCTCGAATACTAGTTAAGCATTGCGATGAAATGAGGAGGTATTCATCATCGTCGATATTGCGAAGATTAGACCTGGATTGGTAGAGGCTACGTAGGCTGAAGCCGTGTACATGCAGCCGGGGAGTCCGTGGATGAGAGTGCAATGCTCTGAGCAGACCGGCTGGTACCTGATTCCTGCAGGCGTAGACGACCTCCTTGAGGTGGATGAAGTTTGGGAGGAATGCAACGAGTGAGGACCATGCCTTTTCTTGGCTTGCCTTATCCTCCTTGGTTGTTAATTCAGGATACGAGGGTATAAATTCGATAGGTTCCATAGGCCTCCCCCAGAAATCATCGTCGTCCTCGGGAGGCTATTCGTTGGCAACAACATCATCTGCTTTTGGTGATGTCGCCTCTTCTTCGTCTTCCTCGTCTTCTTCGTCCCCTTCTCCAGACATGGCATCTGCGGATTCGTCCCAATACATTGTCCCATGGATCTCTAGTCGTCGCACATATCTCGCGTCGTTACCAGCTGATAATATATCCCTACAAAATTTAACATCCTGCTGTAGTTTGCGCTCGTGCTTGACTAGCAGGCGCACGGTTCGAAAGCGAAATCTCGAGGTTGCGGGAGCGAGTCGCCTGCTGGCCAAGGAGAGGGAGAACAGGCTACGCCGCCCAGCCTTGCCTCCTGCTGTCAGATGCTCGCAAATTTCCTCGAGGACATCTAGCGGGAGCTCCTCCAGCGGACTAACCGCTGTTGGAGTTGGTGCCATGGGGGTCATGGAAGGAATCGGCGTTTTGGGAAGCAAAAAGACGGCACGAGGTGAGGCAAGACGCTAGAAGTGGAGTTGGAAGTCGTCATGTACTTCGTACTTTTGTTCGTACTACTGTTAGCGTCCACTAATGCAGAGGGAAGCCCCGCCTTATATGTAATTACCGGGATCTATCAATTTAATCAATTGATCAGCTGTCAAACAATTGAAAGGGGTCAATCTTACTTCGTACTTTCTCGATTAGAAAACTGGCTGGGGTCAGGGGTCATTAGTTCAGAAGGTCAGTCAGGTCAGCTCCTTCCCCTAAATTCTCAAGACCACGAAGCATCGTCACTTCCTTAATTAAGGAGCTCCTCAGATCTCCTTAGTTCGTGTCCAACCCAGCCTGAGAAAAACAACTTCTCCTTTTTCCTCCTTCCGCATTCACCTCATTCCCTGTTTTCCTTGCGCATCACAAAGTTTGCATTCCCAACAATGTCTCTCCCTCACCGTGGCAAGGAGCAGCCCTCCACAAAGGCTGTTATTTTGGTAAGGCCTTTCCCCCGCTGCTGTTTTTTTTTGCCTGAGCTCTGCAGCTCCTTGCAGGCTGGTTCCTGCTGCCAGCCTAATTGCTTGTCCAACAACAATTGTTTGAACAATCGAGAAAGGCCATCTTGGAATGGTCTTGGCCTTGGACACTTGTGTTCCTGGCTCTTTGATCTTTGCGCTCGCTCTATCGCATTTTCCTTCCAGAAGTGGGATGCTGACCGGGTTTATTTCTTTCCCGTCTTAGGTTGGCGGTCCTTCCCGCGGCACTCGATTCCGACCCCTCAGTCTCGACGTCCCCAAGCCGCTCTTTGAGGTCGCCGGCCACCCAATCATCTGGCACTGCGTCTCCGCCCTCAGCAAGCTCACCACCAAGCACCTCCAGGAGGTGTACATCATCGGCTACTACGAGGAGCAGATCTTCCAAAACTTCATCAAGGATGCCTCCCTTGAATTCCCCGGTCTCTCCATCAAGTACCTCCGCGAGTACGAGGCTCTTGGCACTGCAGGTGGTCTCTACCACTTCCGTGACGCCATTCTGAAGGGCCGCCCCGAGCGCCTTTTCGTCCTCAACGCCGATGTTTGCTGCTCCTTCCCTCTCGTCGACATGCTCAAGCTCTTCGTTGAGAAGGACGCCGAGGCCGTTATTCTCGGCACCAAGGTCTCCAATGAGGCCGCCAGCAACTTCGGATGCATCGTCTCCGATGCCCACACTCGCCGTGTTCTTCACTACGTCGAGAAGCCCGAGAGTCACATCAGCAACCTCATTAACTGCGGTGTCTACCTGTTCAGCACTGAGGCTATCTTCCCCAGCATTAAGAATGCTATCAAGCGCCGAACTGACCGACCCCGCCTCGTCTCGTATCCTAGCTCCGATAACCTCGAGAGCAGCATGATCTTCGACGACGATTTGGGTAACCAGAACGGTGTCATCCGCCTCGAGCAGGACATCCTCAGTGACCTTGCCGATAACAAGCAGTTCTTCGTCTACGAGACCAAGGACTTCTGGCGCCAGATCAAGACGGCTGGATCCGCTGTGCCCGCCAACGCTCTCTACCTCCAGCAGGCCCTCCAGGCCGGCTCCAAGGAGCTCGCGCCCCGCTCGGCTAACATTATCCCTCCCGTCTTTATCCACCCCACTGCCACGATCGATCCCACCGCTAAGCTCGGCCCCAACGTCTCCATCGGCCCCCGCGTCCACGTCGGCGCCGGTGCGCGTGTCAAGGAGTCGATTGTCCTCGAGGACTCCGAGATCAAGCACGACGCCTGTGTTCTTCACTCCATCATTGGCTGGGGTTCCCGCGTCGGCGCTTGGGCTCGTGTTGAGGGTACCCCCATCCCCGTCAACAGCCACACCACTAGCATCATCAAGAACGGTGTCAAGGTCCAGAGCATAACCATTTTGGGCAAGGACTGCGCCGTTGGTGATGAGGTCCGCGTCCAGAACTGTGTCTGCCTCCCTTATAAGGAGCTCAAGCGGGTAGGTGTCTTTCTTTTTTTTCTCTCTTTTCCTTTGTCACAACTTCTCCACGCCCGATATAATTTTCTAACAATTCTTTGCCCAGGACGTTGCCAACGAGATCATCATGTAAACTCTCGCATACACCGAGCGAGGGACCCAATCTCCCTCTATCGAAGCATGTCGACCGTAACGTTGTCCAAAAGTTAATACGTAGGAAAGGAGGATACAGGGAGGGTTGGCAGAAAAATGTGATTTCTTCTTTTCTTTTAATGCAGGCGAAACAATTCCACTTCTACAATCACGAGCAGGAGGACGTATACCGTCTATAACAAACCGTCTTGGTTCTTCTCGATTCTTCCTTCTATATTCTGTCGTAATGAGATGCTAGATGGTTAGACATGGAAATAGACGCGGTATGAAAACGGTCAGTAGCCTCTCGTCGCAGGTCTTGATTTCGTGACGTTTTGTTGATGAGAAAAAAAAATGAATTTATTCGTCGGCTCTATGAAAGTTGGCATATCAATTTGTAGACCTGCCAGCCCAGTAACTTTTAAATAGGACCTCCCGTCCGTTCGTTCATCCTCCTGTCCTTGAGTCTAGTCTAACCTGCTCTTAATTAGACAGGGGGCTACTATCCCACTCATCTTCCCTACCAACGACCCGTGATAACCCTCAAGAGCGTACCGAACGCCCAGCCTAAAACCAACCCCCTGCCCCTATCACTATCACCTTGGAAAAAAAAAAAAAAGAAAACAAAGTAACATTCATATACGGTTCCTAAAACCTCCATAATACTATACATCCATGACCCCACACACCCACATCACTCATCCCGGTCCTTCCTAGGAGACGGTCTAGGAAACATAGGCGAGGAGGGCCTCGAAGTAGAAAGACCGATGGCCTTGGCCGCGTCGAGAGGATCGAGGGTAGCCCGCGAGGCGTATGATGGCGGAGCTTGGCCCGCGAAAGGTCCAGAAGGGGTTAGGGACGAGGGAGTCGAGGTGGGACGCGGGGTGTTGAGGCGGTCGATGGTGGTCTTTTCGAGGGTGGCGACGTGGATGGGGGAGGGGCGGTGGGAGCGGGAGCGGGGAGGGGTGGAGGTGGTGTAGAGATAGGTTGCGCCCAGGACGAGGCCGGTGCCGAGGAAGAGCTGCAAGAGGAAACAGGTTAGGATTTACATCTGGGGAGAGGTAAGAGATAAAGCGGGATGTAACAACATACCGATGGTGTAAGAGTGAAATCAAAGAACCAAAGACTAAAAACAACGCTGATAAGAATGCTAAAGCTGGTGGAGAAAGTCTTTGCAATGTTATCTGCGTAGTTGATAACCAACGACGTTAGGATGCCATTGATAGCGTGGAAGACAATGGCAGTCCACACAATCCAGTTATATCCATCAAAGAATCCATGGCGTGCAATCTCAGCACCATCTTTATAGATGACACCAACAAACAGGGCTGGGAAGAGCGAGTAAAACGACAGCTGGACGTTCCGCGTCCACACCGACGCTGGAGTCGGCGAGTCCTTGAGCACCTTTTCAAAGTACACACCCGTAAGAGCCGACACTGTCGCAGCGACAAGGACCGCCGTCAGACCAATGGAGTAATTCACATTGACCGAGCTCGGGTCGGGAAACTCGTCCTCCTGGATCCCCTGGTAGGTCGCCGAGCGCTTGGACAAGTGGTGGTTGACCTCGCCTGCGCCGTTTCCCGCTTGACCGAGCTCATGCGCGGAGCGCGGGAAGTAGTGGTCCGAGCTATCGTGGAAGAGGAGCTTGTCGTCGAGCGGGGTGCCGGATTGGGGGAGGGAGGCGATTGCGACCCCGATCGTCAGCAGGATCAGGGAGAGCCATCGCGTCATGCCGATGGGGCGGCGGAGGAGAGTGGCGGTGAAGATGGCAGTCGCGAGGATCTGGAACGGGAGATGGCCCTTCAGGTTAGTCGGGTCATTTCTTCTTTTGGAGGGCTAGAAAGCTCCTAAAAGGGGGGCGCCGTGTTTTATGTTACCTCGACTTGGTACAAGACCTGGAAATGCACGGCATCGAGATTGCTCACGGCAACATAATGCAGGGAGTTTTGCAGCGTGTAAAGCGCAGCGGGTATGGCCAGCTTCCAGCCGTCGCCGCGGAAGACGGAGTTGTATATCTGCTGGAATATGACGGTGGCCGGCGTGGAGGGCGCGAGAGTTCGCGATACTTCGTATATGGAGAAGGTGAGGGATATCGCTAGCTTCAGCACTTCGTTTAGGAAGACGGCGGTCGAGGCAAAGTATCGTTGGTCGCCTGCTGGAGCCATGATGCGAGAATAGTGCATAATCTGTGAGAGGGAGCAGACAGAGAACCTGTTAGCTGGTGGAGTCCTCATCCATTGCGGGCATCCGCAAGTAGGTAAAACTTACAAGAATCAACGCAGAGTGTTGAAATGTGAGCTACAGCAAATTCAGCCACTGTTAGCGAAAGTCTGCTTGCTGGCACAGAAGGCCACGATACCGGCCGCAAAGGGGAGCTTCTTCATACAGTGAGTAGAGATATCGACTTCGTCGACACCCCTAACAGGGAGTCGGACGAGCGACTCGAAGATTCGCGGACAATCATGGCTGACCGCAATGTCGATTTGCCGGTTTTTGTAGTTCGCAAGCAAGCCCCTTCTCGATCGCTTCACTCGAAGACAGCGATCCTTCCCCGGCCTGCACTCGTTAGTCGTTCTTCCACGGCGCAGCCACGACAGTCGGTTGGTCGCGCGACCACAGCTCTCGGTGTGCGTTGTTGCTCGGGGAAACCGTGGAAAATATGCTCAAATCTGTACCCCTGAAAAAAAAAATGTGTGGCTCAATGCTCTCAACGCGTCGTGTCTCGTGTGAAGTCGATCGCCAATTCCTCGTCAAATCGCGTCTGCCAATATTCGACTTTTTTGTTCAGAGTCGCTCAAGTCGGGAAACAAAAAGGAGAAACCGACCGTGAAACCAGAAAAAGTCGGATTTCTTTTCCCCCTTGAGGTCTCCAAGTTCAACTTTTACCCCTGGGCAGAATAGTTTCAGCTGCGAAGCATCCGACCTAACAGCTCACAAGGGGGAACCGGACCAGCGCACAGCCACTCTGGTGGGTGCAGATGCGACTGGGGTGTGTTGCCAAGCAGGGTTAGAGGGCTGATAGTGCCAGTAGGGTAGTATCGGGATGATGCTCCATAAATCGGACGAAAAATGCGTGTGGGGAAGAGATTTTGATGGCGATCGCCAGTCCTTGGAGCTTAGCTATCTCCGATGAGGGTGTGGAGCGTACGAGCAGGGTTCCCAGGGTACGGAAGAGGTTAATAGCTCCGAGGCTCCGATATTTGGGTACAAGAAACCAATTGACAAAGATCACGAGCTTTATAGAATCCGGGGTATGAAGCAGGAGAGAAGTGATTGATGAGAGATCCCGGTTCTTAATGACGATCACAGAAAAGACGGCGGTCAAGGAAGAAATAAGCAAGGAATGATGATGTCACGAAAATGTCGATTCGACACCATTGTTACGCCCCATCCTCGTCTCCGCACGCTTGGAAACGCCAGCTTGGGTCCAGTTCATCAAGAACTGGCCCGAGCTAAATCGTCTTTGAACTTCTTTCTCCAAGCACTTGCCCGTCCCTGCTGGGAAGCATGACGTTCAAGTACTACGAGCTATCCGAGTGTGGCACGGGAGGATCCATAAACATTGTTCTGACAAAGAAGTTGATGAAGACGGAAGAGTGATGTAACCGCGGGCCACCTTCGCCTCCCCCTATAGTTCTACTGCTTGTGAACAACTTAGAGTTGCCCTACAGCATTTTCCCGCTTGGTGGTGCAAAAATCAGGGACACACGGTAAGGTGGAGCTAAGCCGGTGGCCCACACGAGCTAGCCAACACATTGATGCTTGGCCGAGTTAGGTAGCTTGGCGATCTAGAAAGCATGTGTATCTTGGCTGAATGCGGACTTGCCAAGCCCGCCAGGCCGGACGTCGTGCCGTCACCGTCGCCGATCTCAAGGAAAGCACGCCTATGAAATATTTACGAGCATGAAGGATTTGATAATGGCAGGTTATATTTGACGAAAAGGCTACCACTATCATTGGACATCCATTGGCAGTCCGCTGAGATTTTGAGAAGGAAGAAAAAAGAAAAGAAAAAATAATGAAACCTCGAATACACAACCTTGAAGCCGCCGAACGCCAGTCAACCAACTTGCAACTCTGAGATATAGTCGTTGAATCGTTTGAAAGTCGTGTATCGTCGTGTGTCGTCGATGTGTAGACACTATCTTGTCAGCGTCACCTCATGAAGACTCGAGATGAATACCTGTATGTCTCGGCAAGAAGCGCGAGAACGTTCGTAATCAAGTGAACAAAAGAGAAAGGAGAGAGAAAAAGAAAAGAAAAAAAGGAGAAGAAATGACTAAAGGATGTGCGACTCAGGTTCGAACAGGAAATAGGGCCAGCTGGAAAGGCGTCGTGTCGAGAACAGAACAGTTTGTCGATTGGTCGGCTTGTCGCTGTTGGGTCGTTCGGCCGGTAGGCGAGATTAAGAGACGCGCAGCCGCTCAACGCCAACCAAACTTGCTCCAAGAGCTTACAATCAAAATTCAAGGGCTCCGAGGGGATCAACGACAACAAGGCCAGTTTCGTTGTTATAGTAGTTGTCCTCTTCGCTTAGGGAGGTTCGTCCCGACATCATCACCCATCGATCAAAGCCTGCAATGACTCTGTCCTCCTAGTGGGCATGCAGAGCAGAGAGGCTTCTCGACGAGTCGTCGAGGACGATAAAGACTCCAGAGGTACGCTGACGCCGAGCCGCCACGCCGGGTGCGCCTACGGATGCGCCACCGGTTTCAATTGGACCGGACGCTTCATCTCCTTGGAAGGTATGTCCCTGACAACCTGACTCGGTATAGAGGGCAGGCGAGCTGAATACATGGTCTTTGATCCACCGAAGTTTAATCAGATCAAGGGCTTTGAATACATGCCATATAAGGGCTGGGGGCGGAGTGGCTTACCAGCAGTGATACGACCAACCACCTTGGAGATTTCCGAGTATGAAGGATCTCGGAAAATATCGAGGAAAGCGATCTCAAAACTGGCTCCAGGCATGCCCAGGCCGCGGACAAGTCCCGTAGACCAAAGAGACTCCGCGTCGGTGTCGGCCCCATTGAGAGGAACCTCGTGGCCGCCGAGTCGCATTGTACCGTTGAAGATGACCTTATTGCGCTTTCCCCCGAGGACATGCTCATCATCGAAGTCGCCAGCTTCGTCGAGGTCATCGACTTCAGCGAGTTCAGACGTCCACGGAATGCTGCCAACATTCTGCGGGTACTCCACGGGTTGGCAGCGCTGCTGGTCAATCGGGCCGGCATGGTGGTTATCACCGTCATCAATGTAGTCCGGCTTGCCATAACCGTAGACTATTCCGCGGTTCTGCATCTCATAGAAGATGTCATAATCGAATACAGTCGGGAATTTCGACTGCAGCGGGACAAGCCAGGTTAGCGTCTGAAACTGGCTGATCTGGCCATGATGCCCCACCTCTGGGGCCAAGTTTGGGCAAGGAATGTTGGATGGGTGTGGATGGGTGCTTGCTTACTCCAGGAGACACCATCATCAGCCAGTTATAGTCCTGAAGGATCTCGTAGTTGGCGATCATCTGTGAAGTCACAATGCGGGTTGAGTTGACGTTCGTGTGATTGCCATCGTTGAGCGACTCGGGGCCAGGACCGGGGTGGGCCTTCATGTCCTCAGAGATGATCTGGTACAAGACCTTGGAACCTCTAGAGAACTTAGAAATTGTTTCCTTGAAGTCATCTGTCAGATCTTCGTTGCTGAGAAAGACCCAATCGTAAGGCGAGCGTTGGTTCATGAGCGCGGCTTGAAGTTCAGCCATAGTCTCAATCATAGGCTGGAGTTGACACTCCTGGACTACAGATGCCATGACAGAACGGACCAATTCCATGTCATCCCTAGGCTTGTCCAGCTCTTCAGGCTGGTCTAGCTGCTCGTGGAATGGATGAGTGTAGTAGTGAGTGGTGCCCAAAATGGTAATGACAGCCAACGCGACTAGACACAAGTTCCAACCAAGGTGGTGGATCGCCAGAATTCTGTTGATAGGCATGCTGGTTCCTTTTATCCTAGATCCTGCATAGGACAGTTAAGAAAGCTGAAGGGGTCAAAGGGAATCTGTGCAGGCAAGGGGCAATAGTAAATGCTGGAGTGATTCTTGCTGAGGTGAGGGTTGCTATGTAGAGGGGTATGAAAGGAAAGGACTCAGGTTAGTATCGAACACTTTGGACAATGACTGTCCTGAAGGGTCCCTAAGAAAGCTTGAGTGGAAAAGAAGTCAAGCAAACAGGGCTAACTGCCTCGGGCTGCTAGTAAAGAGTGACCTGCAGCAAGGGGTATCGAGGTATCAAAGATGGTATAGGATCTGGTCAAGCTTAGCTTGCAAGGGACACCTAGTATCTGTCGAGGTCGTCGCCGAGTCGAGGGATTAGAGGTGTATTGGAGTCAATTGAAAAAGAAGTGAACCAGGAGATAAGTCAAAGAATGAGGTGGGTGTTGATGGTCTGGGTATGGGTTGGGTTGTGAGAAAAATAGGAGGGGGGCACGAAAAGAGAGATGTGTCGGAGAGTTGTTATGGTTGGTGTTGTTATTGTGTGGGGTGGGGTGGGGTGGCCTTGATTTTGAAGAGTTCAAGGAACAATGAAGTGTTCAATGTTGGCAAAGAAATAAGGGGGAGAGAGGAAAGGTGTGAGAGAGGAAGAAGGGAAGAGATGGAGAGAGGGAGTGAGGGAGTGAGAGGAGGAGGGTCATCGGTGAGAAGTGGCCGGCAAAACAACGGCAGAGTGCAAGATGGCTTCAGGAGAGAAGGAAGTCGCCATCTCCTATGATCAATGCCTTGAATTGTTGTCATCACTCCTCTGGTCTCTGGTCTTTGGTCTCTCCGGTCTCTCCTGCCAGATGACAGACTCCAAGCCTTCCTCCACCTCCGCCTTCCTTCCGATTTCTCATCGTATTATGTAACACCAGAAGAGACCGCTTCAAATCTTGATTGTTGAGATGACCTGGAGCAAGAGGTGAAAGCCACTTGGAAGTGCAGCTGGTCCGATTATGACGATGCATCTCATCATGGTTAAAGAGAACATATCAAATGCCATTTCCACATTACTCTGCCTAGACGCCGTCAAACCCTCCAACTAGAACCAAGAACAACTCTCTCAACCCGACAATGCGCCACGCATGCCATACGACGAGGCCTCGGGACCGCGGATGATCTGAGGGGAACACGCTTGTAGAGGAAATAGATAGAATCAAACTCGCCGCCGTAAACACTCCAGGGAATGCTAGTCTTACATGGTAATAGAGATACACGTCAACCGTCAAACACTCGGCTTCTTCCTCCGTCCGTAGTTGCTAATCTTCATGGTCTACTCGACCGACATTTCATCATCGTCTTCATCCTGCGGCGTAATATCAAGTGCCCTCGCGTACTGGACTGTCAACCGCTGGAGCTCTCGGAATTTACCTGTGGAGTAAGAATGTTAGTAAGCGGGCTTAGATTTGATCACCGATCGTAGTGGGGGTGGGAAGAGGGTCCAAAACTCACCCAGAATCATTACGACCCCTTTGAGGAGCTCCTTGCGGTCCCATCCACAAATCTCACCCTCGGCGCTGAACCAGCCCCTGCCATCCTCCTTACCACCCCTGCGCGGGACCTTGTCGCGAAGAACTCCGCCAAGGAGAGAGTTGAGGAGCTCCTCCACCTTCTCCCTGAGACCCTCCGCGCCTATCCTCTTGGCGTACATGAACAGATACAACCGGAACTCGTCCTGCGCACCAAGCTGCAACGCGCCCGCCATACGATTCTCAAGATGCGCGATGCTCACGCTCGACTCGAATCCCTCGAATCCATCCTTTGCAAGCACCATCTTAACGATGCGTTGCAGGTTGTACGCGCGGCCGCGTAGCAGGAACTCGTTCGTGGTGTGCCTCTCGAGGAAGGGCAGGATGCCGCCTGATACGTTTGCCGTGCTGCCGTCCTTCGGGTTGGGCGTGACAGCGCCGACGGCGGTGGATTGTAGAGCGCTGATGGATGAGTCGGTGCTGTTCCAGTACTGGGAACCGACGGCCCACCAGGCTTCGCTCAGGCGTTGCCAAACGTACATGTCTCGCGCGTAGAAGTAGCCGTCTCCATTGGTGAGAGTCACGACAATGTTTCCGGCAGAATTGAGGGTGGCGGCGGTAATACCAGGGCCAGGGGAGGGAGAGTGTACACTAAGTGATGTACATGCAAGCTCTAGGACGGGGCCAAGAGAGACGGGGGGGTGTGGCGAGGATTGAGTTCGAATGTCCCAGACATAGCAGAGACCAATTGCCGTGACACAAAGAAGCCAGTGATCTCGGCATTCGAGAATGACCGGTTGTGACTCAAGAACAATGGCACCGAATAATCTCCTTCCCGCCGGTGTCCAGACGTACAAGCTGCCGTCTTCGCACGCTGCGGCCCAGAAATTTCGATTTCCCGTCACCAGAAGGACGGCTCGCGGAAGGAAGTCCTGCCAGATGAGTGCGCCGCGCTTTGACGTAGATATCCTCGCTGGATCCCTAGCAAGCGAGGGGTTGCGTGCCTCAAAAATGATGTTTTCGGGGATCCTCGAAGCCTCCTCGAGTGTGCTCTCTGACAAAAGAACGCCCTTTTCAAGCGGCCGTAAGATATGTGTCCGGACACTGGGAACTCCTAGTCTCAACTTTGAAAAGGCGATAGAAGGGTTAAGGACCGCAGGCCGGAGATATTCGGGAGTTGGGATAGTGCCAGTTGCGGCCGCTGTCAACGCCGCAGGTTCAACACCGTCGAGACCGCCGTCTGCAAGAATCGGTGTCGGCCCTCCGGACGGCTTCTTAGCTACTGGCTCCTCATCCTCGTCCACCTCGGCGGCCGCAACCTTCCGCTTGTTGCCAAGCAAAAGCGTCGCAATGCCACCCTTCGGTAGGCCTTCAAAAGGCTTCGCGATATCTATAATCGTCTGTGGCGCTTCAGTCTGGGCTGCTTTTTTGGTGGTTGAGCCAACAAGCTGAGTCTGCGGCAAAGAAGAGTGTCCTGTCCCCGAGGACGAGACCAAGAGCGGAGCCACCCTCTTTTTGCCGTCCTTCCCGATTGTTACTCTGGATTTGAGTTCCTTGACTCTCTCTGCAGTCTTTTCGGCCGACTCCTCGGCCGCCTTATCCTTCTCTTTCTCCTTCTCCTTCTCCTTTTCCTTGTCTTTTTCGCCTTCGACGTGGCCATTGGTCGCTGCTGCATTTTTACCGGTGGAGGGTTTAGTTCCGCTTGCCGCCTTGGAGGTTTGGTCTTTAGCAGAAGGCTGCAGATCACCCATGAGAGCGCCCATTCGTGATTCCGCTGCTCGAGACTCGCCGGCCTTGCTATGGCTTTCCAGTTTTAGGCCATCGACATCCTCCGCAATACCCATACCTTTCCTCGAGCCCCCGAACCTTTGCAGAGCTTTGTCGTTTTCTTCCGCTGTCGCTGGCCAACCTAGCTCACCGACTACGAACTTGACGGCTATGATGGCACCGTCTAGACTTACGGCAAATATTGTTTGGCCGTCCGGCGCCCAAGCCAAATCGACCACCGATTTCGCTGCCAAGTCCTGGAAGATCACTACGGGCCGTGACGTGTTTGTGTTCCAAATACAGAGGGTCTTGTCTTGGCCAGCGGATGCGATCACGGTCACAAGATTGCCCCCTTGTCCGTCCGCCGGGTTCTGTGTATGAAACAGGCGAGGAGAAAAGAGGCAAACCTCTGTCGGAGCTTCGTGGCCAATTAGATTGATCTCGCTATCCCACTGACCACGCTCGATAATCGCGACGGAGCTCACGGGTCCGTTCACGGCGTTCGCGGCAGCAATGTGGTTTCCGTCGGGTGACCAGGAACATCGTCGAAAGTAGGTTGTTAAAGGAGAGCTCTTGAACGGCGCGTTTATGGTCGTCTCCAACACAAAGTTGTTAATCATGTCGTGTTGAGTGGCGTTTGGGGCAGGGGGCGTGAAACGGAAGACTTTGAGGGATCGGTCGTCGCTTGCTGTCGCGAAGTACTTGTTTGCCGGATCGAAAGTAATGCCTTTGACGTGGCTCTGGTGCGAGAGGATGGTCTTTAGCTTCTCGAAAGTATGGCCAGACCACACAACGATCTTCGAATCTAAGCCGACTGATACCAAAATCGAGGAATCGGGAGACCAGGCGAGGTCCTGTACGTCGTTTTCGTGTCCAATTAGGCGCTTATGTGTTTTCCAGTTCTCGACGGGAGGTGGCTCGGATGATCCTGATGATAAGCGTGTTAGAGAATGTGCCCAAGAGCAGTAAACATGCTGTGTGTTATCTGTGGGAAAAGCATACCAAAGGTCGTCGTTGGGGGGCCCTTATCCAGGTAGTAGACACATATTATCTTGTCATCTGCTCCGGAGGCAAGGTACCTCCCGTTTGGCGAAAATCTAACCGAGTGAATCGTGCCCAGGTGATGGCTCATATGACAGAGCTGTCGCGGCTTTTTGTAGGTCGCGTCGCTGGCGTTGTAGATGGCCTCCGTGGACCAAATCCTCACATGGCCATCGCCGCCGGCCGTCGCCAATCGCTTGCCATCGGGAGAAACGTGGCAGCTGTACACCTCGAAATCCTTTTGTTCGCCTGTCGGGCCGGGGAAAGAGCAACAATCAGCATCATTCGACGGCTCTCATTGAGCTTCTGAGCGCCATCACTGGGTACCTGACAGCTTCAAAGCTTGGGGCTCGAAGAATTGTCAGGACGACGAAAACTTACCGCTATGGCTTAGCCAGGATGGCTTTATGATATGCATATTGAGGCTATCGCATGAGCTCAGGGCTGGCAATGGTGCGATGCGAGGGTCGTCGCGTCGATGAGCTTCGCGAGAGTAGAGATTTAATCGTCCGTGTTCGAGTCGCGAAATTGAAATGCGACGCCAACTTTGTCTCTAGGATCGAAGGGATGACGAAAGTGGATGCATATGCTTGGAAGCAGCTGCTGTCAGGTGGATTCCCTGTCAGCGCGGACCATGGCTTTCTGGATGTTCATCATGGGCATACCTGAATATCTAATCCCTAGTTATCACTTCACAGATTTTTTCAGACATAGAGAGGTTGGATTAGAGATTTTAATTATCAATGAAAATGTCTAAACTGCTGTCAAACGAAGCAGGCGATTATAACTTTTGAGTCCTCACTTCCATCAGGGTCAATCGTGCAACATGTGGTCTTAGATGCTTAGTCATAAAGTCGGCGTCGGTGACCTGCAGGCCGATCCAGCCCAAAAAATTTACGAAAATTGGGAATTTTTACAGATGCTGTCACATTTCCTCGACTCGAGTCTCCATCACTAATCAACAATGGAACCAAATTTGAAGAAGAGAAAACTCCAGACGGGGAAAGGAGATAAGCCGCGGCCCGGAAAGCGCCACAAGCCTGGAAGTAAACCGGGAAAGAAGACCGGGCCTAAGGTACCTGGCGCCGGCTTCCGCAAACTCGATGCGAAGTCCTTGCCTTGGACTCAAGATGTCGACGGAATTCTTGGTCTCCAGGCGATTGACGGTGTCGACGTGATTAAGAATGGAGAGAACGTGCAGTTCTTTGTGCCGGATTCAGTAGCGACCGGCGCGCCTGGAGAAGAGAAGGAGGTCGGCGACAAGGATGAGGAGGAGAGTGAGGAGTTCGAGGGCTTTGACGACTTGCCCACTGTGGAGGAAGAGCCAGTAGCCGACGAACCGGCCGAAACCTCCAAATCAGATGGGCGCAAGGAGAAGAAGAAGAAGAAGGGCAAGGCCATCGAGCAGGAAGACGAACCTGTGGCGGAAGGAGAGGGAGACGAGGGTTCTGATGCTGAGCCAGAGACGGACGTGTCTGCTTGGGCCTCATTAAACTTGTCGCCTAGTCTCCTCTCGGCAATTGCACGCCTGAAATTCTCCAGCCCCACGTCTATCCAGGCCGGGGCGATTCCTGAAATCCTTGCGGGTCATGATGTGATTGGCAAGGCCTCGACAGGCTCAGGAAAGACTCTGGCTTTTGCAATCCCAATCATCGAAAAGTGGTTGGAGGCTCAAAATGATGAAGGAAAGAAAGAAGACGAAGACGAAGACGACGCGGAGACTAAGATTCCGTTTGCCTTGATTCTATCTCCTACACGAGAGCTTGCTCATCAACTCGTGGACCACATCAAGGCACTCTGCATGGGACTGTCCTCGTCTCCATACGTCTGCTCGGTCACGGGTGGTCTCTCAGTCCTGAAGCAACAGCGTCAGCTCGCCAAGGCTGATATCGTCATTGCAACGCCCGGTCGCCTTTGGGAAGTCATCAACTCTGATATCCCCCTTCTCCAGGCCTTTAAGGAAATCAGTTTCCTCGTCGTGGACGAGGCGGACAGACTGCTATCAGAGGGACATTTCAAAGAGGTCGAAGAAATTCTCAATGCCCTCGATCGTGAGGAGCTAGGATTTGATGCGGATGAAGAGCAGGATGGCAGCGAGGAGGAACTGCGTCCTCGACAGACACTCGTGTTTTCGGCTACGTTCAACAAGGCGCTGCAACAGAAGCTGGCCGGCAAGGGAAAGTACAATTTGATGAGCCAAGAGCAGTCAATGGAGTACCTCCTGAAGCGATTGAACTTCCGCGAGGAAAAGCCCAAGTTTATTGATGTAAACCCCGTGTCTCAAATGGCGGAAAAGCTGAAAGAGGGACTCGTGGAATGCGGTCCTCTTGAGAAGGTATAGTGATCGAGAATCGTTCACCATCGAAATACAACTGTGGCTGACTCTGTTTCTAGGACCTATTTCTCTACGCAGTTCTAATGCTAAACCCGTCTCGACGATCCCTAGTCTTCACCAACTCCATCTCCGCCGTCCGCCGCTTGGCGCCAATGCTCCAGAATTTGAATCTCAAGGTCCACCCACTCCATTCCCAGATGATCCAAAAGGCTCGCCTCCGTTCAATCGAGCGTTTTGCCGGCTCAAAGCCCAACGAGTCGACCATTCTCGTCTCGACCGACGTCGCAGCTCGAGGTCTCGATATCCCCAACGTCGACCAAGTCATCCATTACCACGTCCCCCGGACCGCCGACGCATACGTGCATCGATCTGGCCGCACGGCGCGTGGAGAGAACTCCGGTGTCAGCATCCTCTTGTGCGCACCGGAGGAAGTAACTCCAACGAGGCGATTGGTCGCCAAGGTTCACCAAGAGAAAGCCGTGAGCCAAAAGTATCTTATTCGAACGATCGACATTGACAGGCGTGTCGTCTCGAAACTGAAGCCTCGCCTCACACTCGCCAAGAAGATCGCGGATGCTACTATCGCCAAAGACAAGGACAAGAAGGAGGACAACTGGGTCAAGGCGGCGGCGGAAGAGCTTGGGGTCGAGTACGATAGTGATGACTTGGAGCAGGTGAAGAACTGGGGCGGTAGGGGAAGTGGAAAGAAGCAAAAGGAGAGGGAGGCGGCTCAGTTGACCAGGGCGGAGATTGGAGCGCTGAAGGCGCAGCTGAGGGAGCTGTTGGAGAAGAAGGTTAATACGGGCGTTAGCGAGCGGTATATCACCGGAGGACGTGTCGATATTGAAGCATTATTGAAGGCGGAGGCTAAGGGCGACTTTTTAGGCCAGGTGGATGGGCTGATGCCTGATGACTAGCTTAACTATGCGCTTAGGAACAATCGGTGCCTCGCAGAGATTCAAGGCACTTTTGAGGGAATGGAGAGAGCGTTAGGATTGCTCTGAAATCCAATACAATCCCATACATGATATTGTTATAACCCCAGAGCTTCAAATACAATCTCAACACGACGCTCTATCATAGGAAACCAGGAATGAATAGTGATCAGCCAAGTCAATGCGTATGTGCGGCTAGGTATCATTTAGTCTTAAGATTGAAGGCCCTTGGGCTGTTCTCCCACACCCTTTTCCTATCGAATAGTGCAATAACTGGCGGAATGAGAAGACGTCACTGCACCGTTACAGCAGCATGGCTGGTCACCAAGGTATGTTTGCACCAAATCGTCGACCGCTTTAAGACAGCAGTCGAGCCAAGTCGTTCTTTCCACGACCCAAGGAATAATTCATAGTTATACACAGTCATATCATGTCTGTCCATGCGAAGTAGAAGGAGCCAGTCGCCATGCCCACACCCACGCCTACGCCCAAGCCCACGCCGACAGCCCGCCATGGAGGAGTGTCCCTTCTTTCCATCTCTAGGCCACGAGCTAGGGTATATGGAGAAAGGGAGAGGAAAATTTACGAAAGAATTTATAAGCAGAGACTTGGTCCTTTTCAGATGCAATGGTACCTCCATCTCCATAACGGTGGGAGTTGAGAACCTCCAGGTTCGCTGGGGGCAAGACAAAGCCGACGAGTCTCGCCTTGAATCCAATATTGATGGAAGCGTCAACGGCACTTCTGACCCTTCTCCCGGTCTCGCGGGGGCGCACCCCACGGCCCTGGAATCTATTACTCCGGCAGTCATTTCGCTTCCTGGTGGAGCTAATATCCAGTTTACACGTATGCAGAATTGGCCCCCAATCCACCGGAAAATCCACCATCGCCGTGCAGGTTTCCCACGACGACTGGGAGCCGGGGGCCATCTGCTTGAGTTCCGGAGCAGCCAGTAGCGAGCCAAGAGAATAACACCTTTAGGTTACGTTTCTTCAGGGGCGGCCCCGAATTTCCCCACAAATGTTACTCTCGACCCCCTGGCTTCGTTCGGGATAAGGCCCGAAAGACTCGCTTGGGACAGGGCAGCCTTGACGGACCAAAGAAGGGGCCAATTGATTGCCCTATCCTAAACTAGATGAGCAAATTTGTTCCTGGATTATATGTGAGGAGACCCGGGAAATTTATTCGATAAAAAGAGAAAAAAAAATCTTGAATACCGAGACTTTGACGTTGCCAGCTAGAATCACGATCGAATACCCATAAAGCCTCATATGTTACTTCGCAATGTTCGGATCATCTCCCGTTCACCAAAGCTCTTATGAAATACGAAGTATTTGTGAAGAGACCAGACTGTCCAAGCAGTGAACTGGCAGGTCGATCGACGAGCTTAACTTTCAAAAGACCCAAACTTGGCCCTGCCGTTGGTACCAGGATGTTGAACCCGAGATCCGATGCAACCCTGCCGTACCACTCCGACGTTGGACAATGGGCTTTTTTATTTCCTCCTACCAGAAGCATTGTGATTATCCCCATGACGAGGCACCGCGACCAGGGATGTTTTTGACGTCACCTTGGTTTCCGCGGGTGCTATCTCTCTAGGCCTTTATATGGACAAAGATCGTCGCCCTCCTCCGGCATGTAGCCTGCCATGACAGCCCTCACATAGTCTCGTAAGTTGTTTGCTAGCAGGCGGTACAGAAGCCATGCAGTTCACTTCTCGAGTCGCGACGACTATCGTCACCGCAGCTTCCTGTATGTCACACTTAGAATTCTCAGACCTGACTTAGCACTTAGCTAATTGGCTTATATCCGAACAGTATGGCAGTCGTGTCAAGCCCAGGGCCCTCTCGCCACGGTTTATACCGACCCCGAGACTGGCATCATCTTCGATGCGTGGTCAGCAACTACGAGTCAAACCCAGGGCGGCATGACCATTGGTATGGCCATGCCGTCGAATGCCCTGTCGACTGATGCTACTGAGTTTATCGGTATTCTTGTACGCTACGTTTCCAAATTTGCCCAGTATCTTGGTTTCTCTTTGTTATTGCCTGTGTCTGACTTACACATGGCATTACATAGACATGCTCTTCTCCCAATGGGAAATCGACTGGGTGGTGTGGCATTTCTCTCGGAGGGACCATGCCGCAAAATCTTCTGCTTATGGCCTGGCCCTACGGCGATGAAGTCCTCACTCAATTCATGTGGGCGAGTGGATACGATACGCCAGTTCCTTACACCGGCAACGCGAAACTCACACAAATCTCCTCAGCCGTGAACGGGACAAACTATTCCGTCATCTTCCGCTGCGAGAACTGTCTTGCCTGGGATCAGGACGGCGAGACTGGAGGCATTAGCTCCAGCAGTGGCTTCATGCTTCTCGGATGGGCCCAAGCCTACAGCTCGCCTGGAAACCCGAGCTGCCCTGCCAACATTCGCCTTGAACAGCATGACACGCAAAACATATTCCCCGCTATCCCTGATAGTAACATTGCCAACCCGTCTTATTCGAGCTGGGCTGCACTTGCTACCAAGACCGTGACTGGAGACTGTGGAGGTGGGCCTGATCCTACCAACACAGAGACCCCGCCTTCTTCCACTAGTTCTAGTGTCCCAACCAAGACTGGAGTCCCTGTGCCTACCGACACTGCCTACGACTACGTGATTGTCGGTGGTGGTGCTGGTGGTCTGCCTATGGCTGATAGACTCAGTGCCCAGGGCAAGAAAGTTCTTCTTATCGAGAAGGGCCCGCCGTCCACGGGCAGGTGGGGAGGCAGCATGAAGCCCGCGTGGCTTGAGGGAACCTCTCTTACCCGGTTTGACGTTCCCGGTCTTTGCAACCAAATTTGGCATGATTCCGCAGGGATCGCCTGTACTGATACAGACCAGATGGCCGGTTGTGTTCTGGGAGGAGGCACCGCCGTGAACGCCGGTCTCTGGTGGAAGCCGTACTCTCAGGACTGGGACTACAACTTCCCATCAGGCTGGAAGTCGAATGACGTCGCCGCGGCTACGAACCGCGTGTTCTCGAAGATTCCTGGAACAACTGTACCATCCACGGATGGGAAACTCTATCTTCAGCAAGGATTCGACGCCGTATCTTCCGGCCTTCGTAACGCCGGCTGGTCCGAGGTGTCTGCGAATCAAGAACCGAATAGGAAGAACAGGACGTTCACCCATACTCCTTACATGTTTTCCAACGGCGAGCGTGGTGGTCCTCTAGCGACTTATTTAGTTTCCGCCAGTCAGCGAAGCAACTTTAAGATGTGGACTGGTACTGCCGTCAAGCGAGTCATCCGATCGGGCGGCCATGTTACTGGTCTTGAGGTCGAGCCTTTCCTTAGCGGAGGTTACACTGGAACCGTTCCCTTGACTCCCGTAACAGGACGAGTCATTCTGTCTGCGGGAACCTTTGGCAGCGCAAAGATCTTGCTTCGAAGTGAGTTAATCCGTGTCGCCTATCCACTACCGGCCCTAACATGATATAGGTGGTATCGGCCCGATCGACCAGCTGCAAGTTGTCCAAAACTCGACTGATGGACCGACAATGATCTCTGAGGACCAGTGGATCGATCTTCCGGTTGGATACAACCTAGAGGACCACACAAACGTAAGTATCGGAGAGATCTCTTTAATTTGGAAGACTGTTGCCACTCTATGCGAAAAAAGAGTACTGACCGAAGCCAGACCGACACTGTTATCACCCATCCAAATGTCGAGTTCTATGACTTCTACGAAGCGTGGGACGCCCCAATTACGAGCGATAAGAATCTCTATCTCAGTGCGCTACGATGACTTCCACTACTTCGACAGTGATTCTTGACAACTAACCGCAGCTTATAGATAACCGTGCCGGCATTCTCGCCCAATCTGCCCCGAACATTGGCCCAGTGTGAGTCTATCGCTAGCATATGTGCGTCCAGACAGAGCGTAAACTAATGGTACATCGTCCAGCTTCTTCGAGGAAATCCGGGGTAATGATGGTATTGTTCGGCAGCTGCAGTGGACTGCTCGCGTTGAGGGTACCTTTGACACTCCCGACGGCAGTAAGTTCTCCCATTCATTTTTTGACCGTATTGAGCTGCAGTGGCTGAAGTATTTATCTCTCCAGAGGCCATCACAATGAGTCAGTACCTTGGTCGTGGTGCCAAGTCCCGAGGTCGAATGACGATTACACGCAACCTCAACACGGCCGTCTCGACTGTGCCCTACCTTCGTGACCCCAACGATATCGAGGCGGTTATCAAGGGTATTGAGAACCTGCAGGCCGCTCTAGCTAATGTCCCCGGCCTGGTCTGGACATACCCGCCCCCTGGTGTTACTGCTCGTCAATACGTCACTGATGTGAGATGATCCTAGATCTCGCTTCCTCCGCTCCTTGTCATTGGATTTTGACTAACAGATCTTAGATGGTTGTCTCGACGTCCAACCGGCGTGCCAACCACTGGATCGGTAAGACCTTGAATGACATTTCCGCATTCATTTCCTAAACTACAGAAACACTAAGCCCCGTTCAGGAACCTGCAAGACCGGCCAAGACGACGGCCGCAGCAACGGCTCCGCCGTCATCGACACCAATACCCGTGTCTGGGGCACCGACAACCTCTTCGTCGTCGACGCCTCCATCTTCCCCGGCATGGTCACCGCTAATCCTTCGGCTTACATCGTGGTCGCGTCAGAGCACGCGGCTGACAAGATCCTCGCGTTGGCCCCAGCTGGCGAGCAGCCGAGATATGCGCAGTGCGGTGGCTTGACCTGGAATGGAAGCCACCAGTGTGCTGCGCCTTATACCTGCCAGAAGACGAACGATTACTACTCTCAGGTATGGAGCAACTCAGTCTCGTGACATGAAATGTCTGTCAAGCGGTGCGTAAGAATACTAATAGATTTCCCTGATAGTGCTTGTAAGTTGCGGATTTAGGTAGGGGAGCCGCATTCGCCGAGTAAGTGGTGAGCTTTGGGATGTTCCCGTTTGCCGTCGAGTATATAAACCTCTGTTCTTCGTATATATTACATGTTCACGGGCGATAATGTGTCCGTTTCTACATACAATCTAAGCCCTTGCTTGTTCTGCTTCCTTACTATTGTGGCATTGGCACTCTACGCTCCTCATACTTTTATACTGCTCATATGGCTTCTTAAATTATTTAACAAGTCGACACAAACTCATAAAGAGCCTACCCTAGAGGAACCGCCGAAGCCACCAGGGTATCACGCGCCGCATGCTTGCCAGAAGATGAACAATTTACTCCTCTCAAATATAGGGTCTTACCCTTATGATACATTCAGGTCGAGCTGCAAGTTTGAGGCTACTTCCATTTTCAGTCGAGTCCATAATTTGACATACAATTTGATCCCTTGAAGATCTCATTTCATACCCCGAGGGCTTTCAGCGGGAGCCCTGGTCCCAGTTCTAGATAGCCTTTGAATCCCGTCGGCGCTGTCTTGAGCGTTGAAATCCACGACTTAGATCTTGTCAATCAAGTCTGCCTTTTAGCCCGCTTCTTTTTGCGCACCTTAATTTTCCTAGCCACTCGACTCAATACGGACCAGAGAGTGCACCACTCCATTCCCCACCATCCACATTCGAGTTTTCGGGATTGATGCTGCCCTAGCGCATTCAAGACTACTTCCCATAATTCCCTATTGAATCCGAAAAAAAAAAGGACTTAGAAGATTATTTTGAAGAAACAAGTTGTTTGAAGGGAAAGGCGGGTAAAGCTTACACATCTTCCAAGCTTCCTTTTTTCCTTGAGAGGAAAGGTTTTACGACCTGGTCTCTGGCCCGTTTCGGCTTTCTTTCCCGAGTGCCACCACCGATTGGTGGTTTGCTGCCACCGCTGTCCTGGGATCGACGGTGTGTAGGAGGAGGCGGTGGTGGTGATCCTAGGGGTTCTGATGATCCTATGGGTCCAGGTAGTGCAGGAGATTCTAGCTCTCCTGAGAATTCTAGTTCTGGTGGTTGTTCTAGTTCTGGTGGTTGTTCTAGTTCCGCTGGCTGTTCTAGTTCTGCTGGTTCTCCCCGGAGTTCTAGCTCTTTTGGGGGTTCTGCTTCTGCTTCTTCTGCTTCTTCTGCTTCTTCTGCTTCTTTTGCTGCCTCTGGTTGTTCTGGTTGTGCTCGTTCTTCCGTGAGATCTGGCTCTGTGGGGGATTCTGATTCTCTTAGGGGCTCTATCTCTCCTAGGGCGTTCGATGACCCTGGGGATTCCGGTAACCCTAGGGGCCCTGGAGATTCTAATAGCAGAGAAGAGTTAAATGCCGCTTCCGACGGTTCTAGAGATAGGTGTGGGTCTCGTGTCTCACCTAGAGGAGTCTCAGTCACGAGGGGAACCAGGTAGGACGACTGACTTTCTTGCAGCATCTTGTTGTCCGGTTCCGGGGGAGAGGAAGCTTCATCGTCTCCATTCTTGTCAGTGGCTTGTGCAATATTCGGGGCATGTTGTACGTCATTTTGCGGGGGGGGTTGCTGAGGATTTTGTGGAGTGGCTTGAAGGCCTGAGAAGTTCTGCAGGACGGTTTGTATGGCGTCGAAGAGTGCGGCCTGGAGGTCTGGGGAGTTACCGCGGACCAGTCGCGAGTCTCCATTCTGCTGCCTATTGATTTCCTCCTTCAACCTGGTATTCTCAATTTCGAGCTTCTTGATTTCCTCCTTAAGGCGTAATATCGTATGGGGTGTTTGGTAATTTTCCAATGCAAGTTCGCCGTATTTCTTTTTCAACATTCCCAGCTCTTGCTGTGGCTCAGACACATGTACTATTTCGTCAACCGTTGGTGGGGTGCTGACTTCAGAATCGGCTGCGCCTGTACTGAGAGTCTCTGGCTTTTCATCATAGCCCTTTTGTTTACCGCCCTCAACGCTGTTATGGTGACCACAGATACTTCCGGTAAGTTGAAGCTGATGGATCTGGTTTCTGAGATCGGTCTCCCATCGAGGTCTCTCTTCTTTCAGCAATTCCCCAATCACTTCTCGGGTCTGGTTTCTGAGATCGGTCTCCCATCGAGGTCTCTCTTCTTTCAGCAGTTTCTTAAACACTTCTTCCGCTTCCATCCGGCTCCTAACACTGGACTCCCTTCGGAGCCTCTCTTCAAGGCCCCGAATCTTTGACTGGAGTTGATCCATATCCTTCTTAGTAGGAAACTGCTGTAGCCTTTCATTTAAATCTTTTATTTTCCTTCCTTGAGCAATAAAGGCATCCTGAATGGATCCCAAGCCTTGACGAGCCTGCTGAAAAGGCTGTCTATAGATTGCATAATCCTCTGTGCCCAGGTCGCCTGGGGTCATATCAGGCGTGAAAGTCGACCTGGAGTAGGGTTCGAACAATGAAGAGCAATGGCTGGTAGTATCCGCGGCCTCCTCTGAAGTCTCGAACCCCCTGGCAGTCTCTAGACTGTCATCTTCATGTTTGATGTTGGCACTTGGTTTATGTGACGGATGGGTCGGAGCATTTGTGTCGAGGCGATGTCGTCCTGCAGCACCGGAGTTCCGTTCTGTTATCTTCTGACTAGGTCTCGCAGGAGAAGTTCTTTCGGAGAGGCTTGGTCGGTTGGTCTGCTTGCCAGTTGTTGGCTTGTCCTTTCCCCATCCCGAGGCCTTTCTTGACGCCTGGTGTGTTGTTGACCATTGGCCAATGCTGTTTGGGGTCGAGGCTTTGGCCTTTGAGCGGGGACACGGTGCTTTACTCGCCTCGACAGAAGCAGGGCGTTTCAGACTTGATACGGACATTGGATAGGACGGGATCAATCAAGGTTGGTGAGGTATAGAAGGGGTTTCGGGGGAATGAGGTTCCTGAGAGGGTTTGCAAAGAATGATTTGCGTGGCTAAGTAGTGCAGCTCTCTTAACAACGAAGTCACCGGACGGGGGGATCTAATCTATATAAATGTATATGCCATCAAAAGGCCATAGTTGTTGCAACTCTAGAGTACTTGAGACTATGTATCCCTCCGCCCTCGCTTGCCCGCGCTGCCGAATGTCCAACCACTTCTCGCGATGAAACTCCTCCCCTCACAGAGAAGTTTTTGAATCAAAGGCAAAAAGGCGGGGTTCGCAGGTGTGTCCGCCTTGTTTTCGAAGCCAGTTCGAAGTGCAGGTCCGCCTATCCAGAGGCTTGACAGAGGATGCAACGATCCCCCGCTCGTCCGACATGGTATCAAGATTTTCCTCCTTCGGGGTTCGAAACCCTCTCACGTCATATTTCTTGGTATTCCGCATAGCGGAAGGAAAGGTCCGGACCAGTCGATAACGCAAGCTTGTTGAAGATGGTCGTTTTTCTTCGTGAGCGTGCATGTTTATTCGCATGCGCTACATGCATCTTGCGCTATCATGGAGGGTCGAGAGGAGACGTGAGGTATAATCTGGAAAAGGAAATTGTAATTTTAAACTCGTCCGAGCAACCACTGAGAGGCAATACCGAATATCCCGTAGCTACTTTTCTCCCATTCGGCTTCTCGTGGCGCGTTTTCGGTGCCATCCATTAGTGGTCAACTGGTGTGTTGCACGATAGCACCCCTCTTTCGCCAGGCGAGTCAACAATACAATGACATTCATGGACGCACGATGATGGCATTCGGAGGGCACAAACAGGGTTTTACCTAGGCGTCCACCATCCAGGAAAGCCCACAAAGCAGATTCGATTCGTCTCCGAATAGTTTTATTTACACCATTAGCTGCTCCCCCCTCGACGCTCTGATGCCGCAGGCCAACACCCCGTTGAATGATTCGCTATCTGATGACCTTTGCTTGACACGTATCAACCCCTTTCGTCCAGGATTGGAGCGAGGAGTGAGGTATTCTCACCTGAATTTCGCGTTTTTCTTCACTTTTATGCAAGGCTCTGGGCGGGGACTTGGATACTTACTTCTTATGGATATTGACCTCCGAGGTGGTCGAGTTCTGAACGTTACATTACATTGACGAACACATGTTGGAAATGATACGTTTGATATGAACGGATCTCCGTTATTGCCGAAGTCTGCGTCGATGAAAGTCGGAGTTTGAGGCCAAGAGACATCAGGGTATGAAGTCTGCCGGAGACCTATGAGGCTCCCGCTCTGTATTAGTCTATTAAGAATCACGCTGGGGTATGTCTAACGATTGTCCAATGACGGGTGACGGGCTGAAGATGTCTATGTCTAGCAGTGATGCAACACCGTCCGAAACCGCTCTGAAGTCCAGAGCAACGCCAAATAAAGCAAGGAAAACAGTAGAACGCCAATTCATCCCTCCAGCCCTCCTTCAGTCATCAACAACCCTTCCCTCATGACCCAAAAAGCAGCCATAACAGGCGTGATCAAAAGGCCCTGCACCGCCCCAAGGACCAGCTTAAAAATCTGCGGCGCCCACTGATTCTGAAAGACATAGTCGCTCCCCTGCTTCTCTCCCACCGCCGTGAGGATCCCCACGGACATGGGCCAGAGGATTAGGAAAGAAGGAAGGATGAAGCAGAAGAAGAGGCGGAGGATTTGGCCCACGAGCCCCATACGTCGATTAGAAGAAGAGGGTTGTTCTTGAGACTCGGGATTGGTAGGCGAAGAGGACGGAACGCCGAGGAACTTTCGAACAGGTGAGGAAGGGGAGAGGGGGTAGGCGAGGGGCGATACTGAGGAGGTGCGGAGGTCAAGGTTGACGAGGAGGGCTTCGATGAGCCACGTTACGATGGGTTGGATGATGAGGGTGAGGCCTGCGTCGCCGGCGAGGGTGTTGGGGAGGTGGAAGAGGGTGATTTTGTCGGGGGTGTGGAGGTACATTGCTGAGGGAAGAGGTTAGTATGAAATAAAGAAAATGAACGGTAGCATGAGACGACGAGGATACTTCATGCAAGAGAGTCCAGGGGGGACGATTGAAGGTTGACTAAGGGAAAAAAAGAGGAAAAAAAAAATAAAGACCTACCGCATGCAATACCAAAGTTCACACCGCCCGAGACAATAAATGACCCAATCCCGTGGAAGCCGAGCAGGTACAGGAGCTGGGCCACCGTCGGCCGGGTGGTTGGGGGAAGCCGAGACATTTCGGCGCGGGCTGGAGGAGGTGTCGGTGCGGAGGTGTGGGGATCCTGCACCGCTTCGGAGCTAACTTTTTTGGGGCCGATATCGTCAACATCGGAGGATACCTTTACTGTAGAACAGGTGGAGAACCGGAGATCTGGCTGAGGGGCGGAGAGGTGCGTGGGGGTCATTTCGAGTGGGAATCCTTCTCAAGCAGCCTCGGAGAATTCTTTGATCCTTACGGAAGGACCTTGTTCTTTCTGAATAGTAGAGAGAAATGTGGATTGATGGTTCGATAGCCGACACTTGAGGCGTAAAATATTTGTACCAGGTATCGATATGGAGATGCTTGCAGCTTTGATTGCCCTCTTCCCGCGCCCGAATCCAGGAATAATATTAGGTCGAATGGGTATCGTTTGCTTTTAGGAATTATTTCCCGTGTTCTTGCAAAGTTTAGGACTCCCTCCTGGATTTAGGTGAGTCTGTAAATAAGGGAGAAATTAGGCAACGAAAAACTCGAACAAGAGGGTCCAGGTCAAATGACAAGTTTAATGAAGCTTGAGCTCTGCTGTGGGCATCGTCATTTCGATTTCCGGGGTCCAAAGGAGCTATGACCTCCTATTTGAACAACCCCTGCTCAAGCTCGAAAATGGACGAAAAGAAAACAAACAACGGACAACGAAAACATCAAATCGTCAAAAGGTCGGTTTCGTCGAACCGTTTCACCACATGGGCCGGAGGTGCGTCCATTGCGAATTATAAGAGTCTCCGTAAGGATTTTAAGTCGTCCACGGGGACGGGTCATTCGGCTCGGGTGGCGAAAACGTGTGCGCCGATCGAGTGGACGGTAGCTTTCGCGAATTCGGAGTCACGGGGAGAGAGGAAAAAAAAAATTCAGCAAAGTTTCTAGGCATCGCCGAGAGCTTCCCGATTGCCGACGTGACAATGGATGAGAAATTGATGAGAAATGATCAATTGGATCAATTTTCAGCATTTCAGCATTTCTGATTTCCACCTAATATTGTGACAGTTTGAGTTTCCCATTTTTTCCCATCTTTTTTTTTTTTTTCTCTTGGTTTAGCCTCCAAATAATTTCAGCCTTGCGGCTCCCATCGTATATATCCCGTGGATGAAAAATAAGATTTTTGTTTTAAAAAAGTTTCCCGCCAAATAAATAAATGAAACCTGCTCGCCGGCTATTCCTCCAGGGTACTCCGTCTCCATGCCTATAGGGCCTGATTTGTTTGTTTTCTTCCTCCATTTTGTATACCATTCGTCCGATAAATGCTCCGTCCGTTGCTCGGACGCGCCAGAGCTCGGGTGCATTGACGTTGACCAAGCTGTCAAATCATCCCTTGCCGTAGTGGACGCTGTGTATGCCGCCATACCTGCCCATATGCACGGCATCTGCACGCGACCAGACATACGTGCAGTCCCTGACCGTATCCACGCCGCCGGGCCACTGCTTCTCGACGCCAAGCCGATCCTTATCCTTCTCTTTCCCGTCCCTGATGCGGACTTTCTCGAAAAAGACGTAGGCTGCGTAGTAGATGCAGCTCCGATTGCCCGAGAGCGGTCCCTTTTTGGCGAGGAAGTCGTTGAGCTGCTTGTTCTGGATCTTGCGCCCGTCGCTGTACGTAGCGGCAATGGCTCGCAGGAACGCCGCCTGCGTGACACCGTCTCGACGGAGGGCAGCGCGGATCTTGCGCCGGACCGTGTCGCACATGTCGTAGACGGGGACCGAGTGCGTAGCCTCCCCCGAGAGACTCACCGATGAGACATCAAGGTAGAACGGACCAGTCGCCGAAAAGGCCGACTTTCGTGCCTTCTTTGAGGCCGGGTTGGATTCTTCGGGCGATGCCGAAGGTCCGCCTTTGCGCTTTCGGTCGGCTACAGGAGCAGTCGAAGTCTAGAACAAAGGGGGAAATGTGTTAAAATTTGAACTACTATGCAGCAGGGGTGCACGTTGGAATGCTACGCAGAACGACGATCAAAGGATCAAAAAAAGGGCAACGAGACTCGACACAACTTGTCCACCATGGCATCACAGCATCGACCGGTTCACAGTTCGAGGCAAACACAGCAAGGTCAGGAGGGTTGACACGTACCAACAGCGCGCTCACTGGTCGATTCGCATCGGCAGTGGCAAGAGGAGGCCGAGCTGCCGGCAGCGCTCCCGGGACGGGTCCGGTGCCGGTGGAAGCATAATAATTAGAGTTGACGTTGTGGTTAGGTGCGTTACTCGGACTAGTGTAGTAGCTAATCGCCGCGTTGGGGTTGACCGGATGAGTATCGAGGAACTGGAGGAGCAAGCTATCAATGGTGACACGCTTGGTGGCCGGGCTCAGGCTCGATGACATCTTTGTTCAATCCTCCGCAACGTAGAGTTCGAAGGATGGCAAGAGAATTTGTAGTAACCGTCGGATGATGAAATATTTCCTGCTAGTACAAACAGCTGTCTTCGATGTCTCCGCTCGACCGCCGCTACTGCTTCTCTGGTGTTCGCGTTTACTAGTTGGCAGGTAACTTTGACCGTGTGCGTTGGGGTGGGGAAAAGGAAGAGGGGCGGCGGGGAGACTGCGATCAGACCAAGGAACTCTGAGAGCACCTCAGTCAGGTATTAACTCGGGCACCGCTGTAGCCAGTTGCGGACACCAGTAACAATCGAGTTGTACCTAGAGAAGAAAGGAAAAGAAGTGAAAAGAAAGAGAGGAGGGGGATGCAGCGACAGATGTCTAGAAGTTAAGCCTCCCAACGCTCCAGAATCTACCTGGATGCTCGCCTTGTCAAGTCGTGTCGCCCTCGGTGCAAGTACGAAGCAAGAGAATGTTTACCGGGGAAAGAGAGTGGAGTGAGGAGAGTCTCTCAAGAGGAAAAAGGCTGGAAGAAGGAGGGGGAACTGGACGAAGTTTTCTCGTTTAGATTACATCAATGGATGTAGATTTCAGGGGGCTCCTACCCACTGTACAAAGTAATCGTGCTGTACCTCTCGTACTCTCGTACTCTCTCCCGTCCAAGTGGGAAGTACTATTAACTCTTATTTCCAAGAGAGATCCATTAGCACGGTTGTACTTGATACATGTCCTGACATTTCCAGATATAGTAACCAGTCCTGTTACACGAGGAACAATAATTGCCCATTAGTACAATTGTACCTGTAACAACCTTAATGTTGTATTACTCAACTGTGAGTCTGTGACTGGGACGAGCGAAGTTTACTTCCATGTTTACTTCCATGTCATATAAATATTGATTGATTATATTGCTTGCAGGTCTGTTACGTACCGGATTCTGCAGGGCGCTTTCACAAGCCAATTTCAAGTTCCCTGTACATTCTGAATCCAGCGCAGGAATAACACTGGATTGCATTCGTCCTATTGGCAAGCCTCCAATCTGTCGTACCTTGTTGGTTCCAGGTACCACCTTGTATGATGAGAAGTACATACTGGAATAAGTGTGTAGGTTTGTCAAGGTGTCGAGTGGGTGCGAGATGCAAGAAACAAATCTGGGAAGGCAGGGTTGATCACTTCCACTAAAAAGCAGGAAGTGATACTTCGTACCATACAAATTGTACTTCGTACGAAGTAAGTAATTACGCAACATTCTCGCTTATGCTCCCCTCCGCCCCAGGGGAAGGCTTAACCGTGCTGCTTTTATCGACGAGCCTACGGAGCAGAGGGCAGTTTGAGTGCACTCCAAAATACCCACAAATACGCCAATAATTCAATACAATTCCTATTATTAGACTACCGTATTTGTAGAAATATGTCGCTTTCCTCGGTAGTCGGAACACGACCCGTCGACACGGAAAAAAGGGAAAAAGTACGTAAACTGAAGGAGTGACAGTGAGATGCCAGCTGTCTGGCTGTTTCACACCTTTGCCCAATATACCTGACACGAGACGCTGACTGGATGACAGATAATAACATCAATACTAGCCTGTACGAAGTACTCGTACCAGAAGTAGCCTGGCTGGGGAACACTAGCGATCCCTGGGAAAGGGTCATCTAAAAGTATCTTGGCTTGATGCGCAGCGCAGGTTCTACTTTACCCTTGGGTCTTGGGAGAGACATTCCCCCACTTTGGTACTTGGGCCAGGCATCTGGATGCGTGGCAGCACCTGAACCAAATTCCGTACTGTTCCTTCCATTTCCCAAGATCAAACCTCAACCCGTACAGCTGATTGGCCCTTGATGCGAGCTCCAGAATCGTTGGGGCACAAGTATCTATCCAGTACCATCAATGATTCATTATCGCCTTGAAGAATGGTGGGCAGGAGCAATCCAAATCAGTGGTCAGGCACGAGCAACCGAGAAGTTGACATGCAACTTAAACTGCAAGTCAGGTCGATGCCCAGTTCGATTTGGGGGCTGGGCTTATGCGATATTGATCTCTCGAGGATGGATTTAATTACGAAGCAGCGTGAATTCGTCAGAAGGAATAGAGGACGGTTTGTGCACGACCACGTCTAGTCGAGGCTAGATCCCAACCTCAGGGTCCTTATTTGGTATGTACTTTGATGTACGAAGTATTATTACCCTTTCCTTCGCAGGTACATTGATGAAGGGTTAATTCCTCCTCACAATCTCGCGACTCTCCCATCAGGCACACGTGGCTGGCCAAGTGTCGACCACACTGAGGACCTCTCTGCAAAGTGTTGTGTTGAAGGACAAGTACCTGCAGTGGTTTGCAGTATTCCACTGGACTGAGGTGATCCTTCCTGGTCCCATACTTCGTACTTTCTTCCAATCGACGCCTTCTCTCAGCCATCCACCGACGTGCGGAGTCTCTGTCTCCGACAATACCGCCTTGTCCTTGACCGCCAGCAAAGCAGCGTCACTGGTGACTGGTGAAGGAAATATCAATTGGTTGCTTTACCATCCGAATCACGCAGTAAATGCCTCCAATGGCCCCAGTCAGGAGCAAGCCATGATTCTTGCATGATTTGGTCTGTTTTACTTCGCGCCGACTACTTTGTAGCTGCATAGATGCATGACAGCGGCAATGCAGAGGTACCCTTCCTTGGTTGTTCTGCTAATGCTGCTCATTACGAACTAAGGCAAACGCAAGGACCCTCGGAAGAGGGCTGCGTTGCGGGGACAGGCTCCCTTCAAAAGTCATGAATTGATCACATTTCTATCAATATGGCCGTTTCTTCAGTTTGGACTTGGTAAAAGTAGCGTTGACGACTCAACTCGGTGCTTTCAGCCCAGATTATGCATCCGCGACCCAGCGTCGCGGAAGCTGCGCTAGGTGCTATTGGAAATGGGGGAGGAGAATTAATGATAGTTATAAATATAAGAAAATTAAAACAAAGAGCTTTCCGATTTGAGCTGACAGCCTCTGAATAAACAACTTGAACCTCTTCGCATAGGTTTTCACCCGGTGCTTCTCGATCAATATAAATGTCCTGGTCGGTCTGAAGAATGGAAGGAACGCGGTGGACAGCCCGGGCTCCTTCTTGGATCTTCCCGTCTCTCAACATAATATCACTTCAGCCTCGGCCCAACCAAACGAATTTCCTTGTGAGGCCGGCTTAGGAGACTTAATTGTCCACCTACACCAGGGCTCCTAGTATCAATCTTTCGAGATGACGGAATTGATCTGATTTCTTCTGCAGCCAACAATAAGATTCCCCTCCCGCGTTTGCTTGTGCCAGGAAACGTTGAACGTCAATGCAGCAGCAGCAGCATCCCTGTTCACGGGGCTAGCGGCAGATTCCGGATCACAACCCCTTGCCTAGCGCGACCCCTTCATCAGGTTGAAGCCCTCGGCTCCAGACCAGCGTCTCTGGGCCTCCTTTCCAACTACGAAGTGATCTTAGATGATCATGACAGCCAGCCGGTTTACACTCCGAATTGGGTCCCGCCAAGATCTGGATGGAATTGGCGAGTGTGGGGACTTTCCTTCGATCCACCATCCTCCGATAAATCTCCATCGGAATGGAGTAACACTCAAGATGATAGCCACATTGGCAGGCAGTCTATTGCTCCTCTGACTTGAATGCCCGACCAAGGTCTGCTTGCTCCGCCTCTTAATATCGCCCGTCGACGGTTGGTTGGATCGGCTCCCTCAGTCGATCCAAACCCCAACTCGGCCTTGACGATCCATGAGAACCCAGTTTCTGGGGCAGCCGCTTTACCTGTGATAACTGGTCGTCGTGCCTTCTCTACCACCACACATCGTCTCTTGGCCACCCCTGAATCCAACAGGACGAGAAGGCTGGCCAGGACATGTCCGCCTCGCTGTACGACCCCGCATGCAGCTGATGCAGTTGCTAGAAGCACTTATATCCTTGCGTCGCCTCATTTCCTCGTCCTGCAAAATCCCCCCTGCCTGTTTCAGCATAAACACAGTTCCCCACACCAATGATCCCCATGTGGCTTGTCGCCCATGATCGTGTCCGCATGCTCTTGGCATTGCTACCTTCTGTTGCTTTTGCAGTTGGTTGACGATGGGCCCAGGGGCACCGTGGATCTGGAATCCATGGCAAGCCGGGCAACTTTGGGAACCGATGCGCCCTGGCCACTCATCACGAGAAAAGGCAGACAGGGTAAAGATGACGTCGCCCCACGCAAAATACGTATCGAGAGGCGGTGACGGGGGATGCCAATGGCGCCAAGCTGAACTACTCATCATCAGCGAGTATAAAGATGCTGTGTGCGTGTCTGTCAACTTGACGATCGCTCTCCTTCTCTTCTTCTCTAGGCTCATCCGCAGCACTCAAGTCAAAGCGATTACACTCCTTTTTTCTCCCGAACTTTTCGTTACTTTCACTTCACCTTCATTTTACTCATTGACTGAGGTCAACTAAACGACTTGACGTCTTATTCCATTCGTTATAGCAACATCGACTTACCGCCAGACGGCTTTACACTCACTTTCATCGAAAAGCTCAACTGTTCCGACTTTGACCCGGACATATACCAACTTCTGCTACGGAACCTATTTCCGAGAAATCTTATACATACAAAATGCCTTCCTTCAGCATCACCGCCGCCGCCGCCGCCGCTCTTTTGAGTGCTGCCACCGTCTCCGCCCATGGTCACGTCACCCACGTCATTGCGAACGGTGTTGAGCACCAGGGTTGGGACCCCAGCTCCGGAATGGGCTATGGTGACAACTTCCCCGACGTCGTTGGTTGGACCACTACCGTCCAGGACAACGGGTTCGTCTCCAAGGAGAGCCATGGAAACTTCGAGATTGCCTGCCACCGCGGAGCCAGCCCCGCGGCTCTTTCCGTGAACGTCCAGGCCGGTGATGTCGTTACTCTCCAGTGGGACACCTGGCCTACCTCCCATCACGGCCCTGTGTTGGATTACCTCGCTTCGTGTGGCTCCGCCGGCTGCTCCGCCGCCGACAAGACCGCCCTCAGTTGGTTCAAGATCTCAGAGGTTGGTGTCATCACTCCCGGCACTGGTGACAACGGAGTCTGGGGCGCCGACCTCTTGATTGCCAACGGCAACAAGTGGCAAGTGCAGATTCCCGATTTCATTGCCCCTGGCGAATATGTCCTCCGTCATGAGATCATCGCTCTTCATTCTCTCGGCGAGCCCCAGCACTACCCCCAGTGCATCAACCTCGTCGTCGAGGGTAGCGGCAGCACCTCTCCCTCGGGCGTCCTTGCCAACGCCCTTTACACGGACTACCAGGACTTCAACATCTATCAGCCTTTTGACAGCTACCCCATTCCTGGCCCTTCTTTGATCCAGGGTGCCTCTCCCATCATTGACCAGGGCTCGGGCACTCCTTCCACAGGTGGAAGCTCCGGTGGCAACAACGGCGGCTCAGACAACGGTTCCTCTCCTACCCCTGCTCCCTCTGCTACTGCTACTGTCACCCCCACCAAACCCTCGACTGGCAATAATGATGGCGGAGATGACGCTCCCGTTGCTGCTCCCGCCCAGCCTGATCAGACTTCCTCTTCTACTACCCCTACTCGCAGGCCCTGCAACCGCCGCCGCCGCCGATCCCAGCATTAAGTCGAGCACAGCGGAGAGCATGGTCGAAGAGATACGCAATAGAAAGCACTAGTGTTAGACAGTGGAATCATGAGGATCCCAAATAGAGACGTTGCGGCAGAACGAGGATGCTTTTTGAATTTCTAACGCGGGACGAAGCTTTTTCTTCTTGATACTAGGTATCGAGATAACGGCATTTTATCATTCTCTTGTATTTATACGATTTAGACGACTTCAAGAATACACTTGTACATTATTTTTTGGGGCTCATTTTTTCCCACCGATGAGCTTTTGTGTAAGTTGGTCCGCTGTTCCCTAGATGGAGGCTAGTAACAGTACTTGCATTATCATAGTGAAGAAAGTGGTTCTCCACCTTTTACACCCTGTCCAGTCCGTCGACGCAGAGTCGATCCCCTCTCTGTTGCATACCGATCCCTTGCCACTCCACCACTTCTGGGGGCCGAAAAGAAAGTTTGTGGATTCCCTCTTAGGCCTCCGTCTACACCAACACGGAAGGCGCCACCTCCGGCCTGCCTAGCATTGCCACGCGCCGCAAGGGGCACCTCCCCTCTACCAGGCATTCTAGGACTTCGTGTCCCGTTTGGGTGCTTTCGAGAAAGAAAAAAAAATACAGTGCTAGTCTTTTAGGAGAGGGCTGAATTTTCTGCGAAGCTAGACATATCATTTTCAGAATGCTGAGGGCTGAGATTCTTGGGGTTTGAGTTTGAGACCGCCTGCAGGAATGTGCAGTAGCACTCGTCGAGGGAAAAGTTTTCCCAATGGAATGGAGAACAATAATTCGGTTCCTTCGAGAATGGTGACTACGGAGGGTTCTCCAGCGATTGCACCCCTTTAATATCCAGTCACACACCCTGACACACGAGTCCATCAAAAAATTGTCCAATTTTCTCAACCTCGTACTCGGCTTCACAGCCAAAGCACTTGTACTTATATCCACGTCCGTGAGACAAAGGAAATCAGAAGAACCATAATAGGGGTTGGGATGCTTCGATCTTGATGTCTCGAAAAAGCGAACAAGAGAACGCACCGAGGCACATCAGTGCCCACAGACTAGCAGGTCCCGGCGTTGGGGTCGGACCTATTATATCAGTGAAAGTTAGAGATATTGCTGGAGTGGTTCAGTTATGGAACATTCGGGGACATGTTGGCTCACCTGAAGAACCATTGGCCAATATCGCTCTCACCACCATTCGAGCAGCCTCCAATCTCGTTGGTAAGGCGCAGGACGCACTCATCATCGCTAATGAAGGCGTTTCCGGAACCCTTCCACTGGACCACGAACTCGACCCTCTTGGTGTCTGTGAGCTGTCGACAGGCCGACTTGAGTTGGCCTCCTGTGAAGTCACCGGCAACTGTGGTATCGCAGACCTGGACGGCCGCGCTGGTGGCCTTGCCCTTCTCACTGCCCCATGATTCACCGCCGGAGTAGCAGCCGGCGTGGACGGTCCCAAGGACTGGGGCGAGGATGGCAACGAGGGTGATGAGTTGCATTGCGAAAGTGGTAACGTGTGGTAACTTGGGCCTGGTAGGAAGTTTGAAGAGTTCTTGTGTTCTTGTGAAATAAGGATGTGATGCGGTGCGGTTGATGTCTTCTGTTTGGTGAGGAGGTCGACAGAACTTTATGGGCATCAAGAGCTCTTTATATAGAGATCAGAGCGGCCTTCTACGCGACTACAAGACAGTCGATAGATGCCTTGTCAAACATGACTTATTCCATTTCAATGATCCGTCTTCGCATTCTGACCAGTGTCGTGTCAGATAACAGCATCGTCGAGGCTGCGCTTGTGCGTCCGCCAGGATTGAACCAGAGATTCAAGGAAAACTGAGAACTCTTGAACTTTCCTAGGACTCAGAGCCGAGATATCGCAAGTAGGGGCGTCCAATCCTGAGTCAAAGGCGTTAGGCTCTGTCGGGTATGTTTACCCCGTGAAGTGTGTACGCCTTGTCGGCCGCCGTCGAGCGGGAACTTACGCCGTCCATATAAACGAGTTCGGCCATAGCTGCGATCGTCGGAAGATGACGTCTCGATGCTCCGCCACGCTTCGGGGGTGATCCTCGCGAATTTATAATCAATGCCTGCCGACGTTAGCGAGAGCGTAAGGCTGCCATCCTTATTCAAACCCAGAAACCCGGCCGCAGTCGGTGTGTTCATATCAATCTTCAGGATCGCAGGCTGGAGAACCTGTCGCTTCGCACAGCGGCCGCGTATAATACGTCACGTTGAACATTCGGATATGATCGGCGGTGCCAGTGTGATCAAAAGTTCCTTTCCAACCACATAAACCGGCACCAGGATCCGAAGCGAGGCCTGACAGCATCTCTCATTCTGCACGCCCTGGGGATGTGTTGACAGCGAGTGGAACGGGAACCGTGTCCAACAGAAATTCCCGGTCATCATCCAGGTGAAGATTACGCTTCCAGAAGAAACCAACCAACCAAAGGTACACATTAGCGAGGCTCTCGTATTTACATGACAGCTAAGGGCGAAGACCATCATTCAGAGGAAATATGCTAGGTCGAGTGTCGGTGCCTTGGAAGCCGAGGATAGTGACGATAATGACGATGTCTTGAATTGGTACGTTCTACGGGGATACTAGGCGGAGTGTCGGCTTTTTTTTACGCTCTAGGGAAGGATATGTTCCGATAGACCTCATATTTAAGCATCCTTGGCTTACTCTCGAGACGCAGCTTGGAGCTTTGAGGTCATTGGAGGTCTTTTCTTCGGAGTCCTCCAGAACTTTTGCAAATGGTATATATCGATATCATATTGTCAGAGCCCACAGCCACCTTCCCTTACTTCAGGATCAAGGAAATGAAAACACTGCATTGTTGCAAATGCCTCGCTGGTGCCTAGATCGCGGCCCAGACCCGAGACTCTTCGAATATCTCTCAAGCCCAATTCTAAAGTTCTTTCAAGTCGTTTAATGTCTAATTATTTAGGAATGCAGATGTATACAAGAAAGTATCAAGGTTTCCACCCAAGAACCTTCTTAAGCGCAGGACCTCCACGACCTCCACGGAGCTTCGCAGGCCTCGGTGAGCTTCCGTGCCGGGGTATAACTTGCCACGTCCACAGGCTCATAGATTGGCTGTCCGGTGTGCTTGATGTTTGCAGCACACAGCGCATATCTGCAAGATCGAGGCATCACTCTGGAGCATCACTGGCTTGTATTCTTACCCCAGCCCCGTTCAACACCGAAAAGAGACCCATCCCTTTGGACTTTCTTTCTCCCTGTGGACTATTTTGGGCTGGCCAGGCCACCTCTTGCCGCTCGTCCCGTCCCTTGCTGTGCTAAGTATGCGGTGAGTGCACCATCGCGTTGTAGATAAAACCCGGTTTCTTAATGGATGTACCTGATCACTGTTGCTTTGGGGGCCGAAAAGGGCACCAGCCAAAACCATCGCCCTCAAAGCATCCGCCTGACGTTGTGTTTCAGCGAGCCTCAGCCTCATGGTGAGGTTGAGAAGAGCCTGCCGGTCTTTCCCTGTGACACGAACCACCACAATTTTGACGATTTTAAGATTGTACGAAGGAAGCACGGCCAGTCGCGTTGATCTTCCAGACTCAATCTTGGGACGGAGAATCAAGGCCCGTCAAAGCAATCATCCAATAAACTTGGTATCGCATAACTTGTCAACAAAGCCAGGACAGTCTTGACATGCCATGATCGACCTAGAAAGGTCTCTGATCAACAGATTTTCCACTCATCTCATGCTGCCCAAGTTAAGGTTTTCGGGCCACCCTGGTTCCTTGAGGGAGGACCTGAAACGCGCTCATTTCTTTTTTCTTCTTCGCTGGATGATAATCTCCCTCAGGTGAAGACACTCATTGTTCTTTTCTCTAGGTCTTGAGGGTCCCCAACTGATCTACATATGTTGGTCCCAAATGAAAACATGCATCAATGCAGGTTGCCTTACTCCGAAACCTGGACTCTCGAAGAGCCTTGTCGGTTCGTTGATGATCTCAAGCTTTATGGCCAGCTTCAGAATACGGGGCATTACAGAGCCCTGATACTGTTTGGGAGGGATGCATTCTCGACAAGCCTTAGTGAAGATTAAAGGAATTATTTTTAAAAAATAAAATTTAGACGTCTTAGAAGAGGGTGGTCCTAATAGACGCCTCCCGATACTGAGTTTGTTGCTTTTGCGCCTCCCCGAAATGCAAGGCGTAGGAGCTGAGGAACAAAGAAGCTCTATTTTTACAAGATCCTGTTTCAGGTGAATCCTCTCCAGCCACTTGGTGTTCAATTAATGGCTTGAGTACATCGTACGAAGGCGCCTCATGCGCATGCAAGGGGCTATTTTGGAGGATTGGGACAACCAGGGTAGGAGAGAGGCTCAAGCAAATAAGAACAGGACGATCCCGCACATTCGGACAGCCCTCAGTGGATTTTGGTATGATTCAAAGACCTTGGGTTGAGCGAATATCAGCCGTCTAATTCTGTTAATTCTTCTTTATTTATTTATTTATTTTTTCTTCGTTCTATCGTCAATCCAATTTCATCTTTTCCCACTGCCTTTTGCTGTCATTTCAGCGAAGACCAGCTCCTCCAAGATGGCGAGAATAATTGCGAGTCCTCAGAACCACCACGACGAATCTCGAGAGGCAATTCCGAATCAAGATGACCCGTCTTCCACGAGGACAAACGCAATACCAGTCCCAGTCTCGGTTCTAGCGTCTGCAGCTCTGAACTCGGCACTGGATTCGACTGAGGAGCCTGACTCTCCCATTTCATGGACGTCGGCCGACGCCGACTCCGAACCCTCCCAGACCCCTCGCGTCGTCACGCCTCGTGAAAGCCTAATAGCCCCGGCACCCAACAAGCACAAGGCCAGCTCCGTAGTCATCGGGATCGAGTCAGAGACCCAGACAAACCGACGCTCCGGCTCGGAGACGCCTCCGTCCGACATCGACGCAGAAGACGACGAGCCTGAAAACGGCGATCCTAGGTCTCCAGACAGAGAATCGCTAAGGAGAATCACGACGCTAGAAGCCAAGACCCGCGTGTTGGAAAGAGAAGCCGACGCTCTCCGCCTCAAGAATAAGATTCTCCAAGCATGCTTGACTCAGCAAGTGTCCTCGAACCATTCCTCCGAGTCGACTAGGGTTTCCCAGGAGGAATTGAGCGACGAAGCCGCCGAACGGAAAAGACTGCTCGAGGAGAATGCAGCTCTGGTGGAGCAGACAAAGAAACTTCAAAGACGAATCAAAGTTTTGTCGCTTGCGAACAGCGCACTTGTGGAAAAGAACAATGAGTTGTCGGCTACCGTCAAGGAGCAAAGGCATTTGGCTGGGAGGATGCTCAAAGAAATGATCCCTTGACAATCCCGTCGATGATGAAAGGTGTCGAGGCAGATTTCCTTGCTCCCCTCGATGCATAAAAGCAGTGGATGGTGCCGGCTGGAAGGTTCATGATTTCCCTCCCCAAAGCATCTCAGGGCACTCACTCGAGTTCCAAAATCATTGAATTTCCCTTTCGAATTCACCACAATCAGCCTCTTCTAGTCAGATATCGAAATAGCTGGAAGGTACGAAGACGACTAGGCTCATATCCTCACAACCTCCACATAAACATCACAAACACCTACCAACGAACAACTAAAACTTGCATCTCAAGATGCTTACATGCGAGATTTGCCACGTTCAAAGCGACCCGTCTCGGACTGAGACTACGCCGCCGGATCCCGGACAGCCCAACGCCAAATTTGCCGAGATGGGATGCTGCCAAAAGGCCCTCTGCAATTCATGTCTTCCGTCTGCTCTCACCGCGAAGCTCGAGGGCTCCATCTGGTACGACCTCGACGAACCAGACTGGGTACCCTGCCCCGTCCCGAGATGCGAGGAAGGGACCTCTACGACTTCTCCCATAAGGCTTCGGCAGGTCTACGAATCGCTCGGATGTCCCTCTGCGGAAACTCATTTGAAGATTTTCGAGAGGGCGTACTTTATTCGAGACAGAATCCGGGAGGTCATACCGGCCCCGTCGACTGAGGTGTCGTTTACGGCTGACAGGTTCCACTTCAGAATGCATGCATGGCGATTGATGGACAACATCTTCTTCGACTTAGATTCGAAGGAGGAACTTACCGTCGAGCTCCTGTCTACCATGTCTGAGGGTGGCAGTATTGTACTCATCCCCGTCATCACCTCTCTCTTCAAGCGGGAAACAGAATCCAAGACGTGCATGATCTGCACCGAAGACCTCGGTGATATCGAGGTCCAGTATACCCAAGCGTGGAAGAAGTCGATACGGGATTTCGGCGGTGATCTCGAGTGGATCGCCCGTCCTTTCCCCACCGAAGAAATGCTGCCGGTCTGTTCGAGGACTCATCCACTCGACATTTGTCGACGATGTCTAACCAAACACGTCGATGCCCGCTTGGACGTTAGTAATGGAGCCGAAGACATTAGGTGCCCCCGGCCCAACTGCAATCGCGTGTACTCAGACGAAGAAATCAAGGCCATAGCCAACCAGGCAACCTTTGCAAAGTACGACAAGGCACGACTCCTTAGTGTACTTGCCAAGGAGCCGAATTTCCGCTGGTGTCTTCGGGCCGGCTGCCAGTCGGGTCAGATCTACGACGTAGATCCCAACGAGTCGTGCAACATCTTCGGCAACACCGGAAACATCGACAGAGAACGACGCGCGCGGGGCTTGCCCGCAAACGCCGATCCAAACTACATCATGTGCGGCAGCTGCGGCTACGGCATGTGTTTCGGCCACCAGATCCCTTGGCATCGCGGCCAGACCTGCAATGAATACGACCTCGGCCGGTCCCGCGGGGACAGGGACGGCGATACGGAGTTCTGGCTGGCGCACAATACGAAGAGGTGTCCCGGTTCTGGTTGCGGTGTCCCGGTCGAGAAGAGCGGCGGCTGCTTCCACATGACGTGTGGGAGCTGTGGATTCGAGTTTTGCTGGGAGTGTCTTGCGGATTGGAGCAAAATCTGGACGAGGAAGGGATACGAGCTCGAGGCTCATGAGCCTGGGTGTTTCTTCAGGGATTCAGCGGTGACTATGCCGTTGTTTATGACTGGGGATACGGTTGAGGAGGCGGCGTGGGTGGAGAGAAGGAGGAGGGGAGGAAGGCCCTAAGATGAGGCGATGGGGGAAGAATACGAGTCCCTCATCATTGCATCTTTGATTCTCTTTGTTTCTATTGCCGTGAATATGAATTTTACTCAAGTGGCATGAAGAGGGCCGAAAGGAAAAAGAGGCAGAGAGGAAACTCAAATGTTGATTTCATTTGCTTTTCTAGGGGAAACAGTTAGATTGGACAACGAGAGGACCGACGAGATAGACAAAGTGGATAGACTGTTTTCATGCAACAACAATGACCTACTGTTTGACATATTGTCCTTTTTTCTTATTCCCTTTTTTCGGTTTTGGATATTTGATTCTTCTCTTTGTTCCTCTATAATTCCTAGTTCTGCTCCTTAGCAGGATAATATCCTAACAGCGGTGAGATGACGACCCAAGCATATCAATGCTACCGAGGCAGTAAAAATAATATTGCAGAGAATAGAGATAGAGGGGCCATATAGATTTTCAGGCATCAAATGGTTGTGTTCAAGGGATAATCACGGAGGAACATTTGATCGAGGAAGTCTAAGCATGACAACGGGACCTTTAGGTCGAAAGCCGGAAACGCGAGAACTCTCCAAGATAATCAGCCAGGGAAAGAAGTATTGAATAAAAATAAACTGGAATGCCAAGAGCGACAAGAAAATCACACCTCATGCCAGAGAATTCCAGAGCCTCTGGTTGGTTCAGGAAGATGACCGGATGTTGCCAGTGGCTGAGTTCGGGCGCTGTCTTAACAGAGGTGATATAACAGACCAGTTCAATATCCAATCCTACCTTGATACTACTAATTTCGTCGAAGCTTTTCCCGATTTAGCGACAGCACGTTTCAAGCTCTGGACTTCATTCAGTGATTGGAGAGACAATCCTCGACCCCGGATCCTATACGACCCAAGAATAGAAACAAGACCTTGACCAGAAAGTTCGAACATCTCCACTTACAACGACTCTCTCCACAATGCTCTCCCGAGAGGCTGTGTTTGTTTCTCCGTTTTACGGCCAAAGGCTAGGTATGACCCGACTCAGGAGCCCTAATAGAGGTTTGCTAAGTGTCAGCACAGAATGGCTTGGTTTGGCTGTGGTTGGGAAGGTTCCCTCATGCGGAGGACCCTGTTGCGCCCACAGACGCGATAGACGCGGGTCATCATCATCGCGATACCCTGGATAGAAGAGTTTCAATATAGCCTCGCTTGATAAATTTGGACTTCCTCTCAAAGTGTTGTTATTCTCAGAGCGCAACAATCTATCTTTGGCATCACGAAGGTCTTGGCATCAAGTCTCGAGCATCAATTGATCGTAGTGAGGGAAATCTCCAGCTTGAAAGTCGGCCTTTGCAGTCTGGAAATGTCTATATAAACATCTTCCTGATCCTCTTCATTGCTGCTTTTTCATGAGATCATCATCAACATCGCCAACAGCCAGACTCAACTCCAGACTACAATCCATAAGACCTACCTCCAGTCATTCACACTTTAACCACACCAAACTACCTTCAAAATGCACTTCATCCTCCTCTCTACCACCTTCCTCCTCGCCTTCACCGCCTCCGCCTTCACCATCACCCCTCGTGACGAACCCTCCAACCCCGTCACAGACCTCGACCTCACAGACGACTACTCCACCCTCCTCGCCCACAACCTCATCACCGCCCTCGCCCTGCACCAACAACAGGCCGGTGAAGACGACGATGACCTATCTACCCTCTCCGTCCGTGATATCCCCGACTCCCAGGACGTTGAGATCGACGAAGACCTCCTCGAGGCTCTCCTAAACGACGATGACATCGTCGCCGCCCTCGCCGCCCGCTCTCTCCCTCCCGACTCCCCGGCTCACGACCTCATCGCTCGCGATCCCGGCTTCCTCGATTCCGTCAAGGAGAAAGCTCGGAAGGCCGGCAAGGCCATCGGCGATTTCGTCGAGGATACGAAGGATCTTCTGCGTGATGCTAAGGACGGCCTTATCGGGAAGTGCAATGTTGTGAGCTGTGGTTCTGCGCTTGGCCCTGCTACCGTGGCTTGTCTCAAGGCGGCGGCGAAGAGGGGGACTAGTTTGGTGGCTGATTTGTCATGTCTTGACAAGGTATGATATAAAATCATAACTCTTAACAACCTTCCCCCTCCTTCGCTTGAGAGATGTGAATAGCTAACTCTAATGTGAACAGGCCCTCAAGGCTCAGAAGAAGGTTCCCAAGGCTTGCGGCGGCTGCCCTTCCGCCATCAAGAAGCATTACTCTTGAAGCGTGGTAACTTAGGAGAGGAAGTAGCAGAGCAGGTCCCGCATTGGAATGTTGCACTGGAGTTGGCGTTTGCGTTGACTTGGAGTACTCGGAATTGATCGTGCTTTACAGGTTGGTTAGCTACTGAGCTCGGTTTCGGTTGTTGGCGTTGCAGGTTTGTTCATTGGGATGCTTTGGACTGAAGGCTAGTTCGACGGTTTCACTGCCAAGTTGCCTGTGCTCGTTTATATTTGTAAATGGAGTTAGCTTGTCTGGAAGGATAAAAAGGAAAAACAAAAACATCAAACAAGAATCGTTGCTCTAGCTCCAAATGAGAACCGTTCCGTAAATGATGCTACCTGCTGTACCGATAAGCCGATAAATACAATTAATCAAGAAGAAGCTCATATTCAAACTCCCGATTCGTCTTTAACTCATACTGAGGCAACGTAGCCGGACCACACGACCCGCTCCCAATTCCATGGTGCGCCCAATCCAGCCTGACAACGGTATCCTTACGCTTCTTCTTCCTCAATTCGTAAGGATGCCCAGCCTCGTCCAGATCAGCAGTCGTATAATGCATCGCCGAGAACGAGGCTCCATCGAGGTCGCCAAACCTCGCTCTGAGGAGTCGTTTCCTAGGCTTCGTCCCCGTTCCCGCATCCTTTTTGCCGGTGGCGCCGAGGAATTCGATCCAGCGGACATCTGTGCGATTTCCTCCATCCTGGGGATAGTCGTAATCCACAAAGAGATCATCGACGGAGGACTGCCAAGTTCCGAAAGATTGGCTGCGCTTCTTGTCGCTATAGCTCTCCCCAGGCCCACGGCCGAACCAGCGAACGTGCTCGACGCCTTCGATGCCAAAGGTAAGCCCGAATCGAGCAAAGGTATCGGGGAGGAGAGGTCCGTGGGGTTTAGCGTTGAGGCTGAGATGGACGCCGTGGCCAAAGGTTATGGTTATGGTCGTGTCCACACCCCATGCCAGCACGGGCGGCGCCACGCGGCCCTGAATCTCGACGATGAGGCCCGTTGACCCAGTTTTCCAGCGGACTTGTCGGACGTGGTGCTTCGTCTGGTGCAACCTGCGCTGGCGCCACTGCTGTCCGAATATGCCGCCTCTGTCGTTGTCGGTAAGTGCGCGGTAGAAGTCGATGGTGAGCGGCTTCGTCATGAGCTCAGTGAAGGGACCGACATTTTTCTTCCAGCTCGACAGAGATCCCAGAGTAAGGTTGATTCCCCACACAGAAGAGCCATCGGGACTCGTGATCTCCAGATATCCGGGTGACGTTTGTTGGGCCCTTGGCACCGAGGAGAGGGCTGGGAGCAAAGACTGGATCTTTGTCAAGCTCACTGGCCCGTGGAGCTGGTGCTGGCCAAATGCGACCTCGGTTCCTGCCTTGCACCATAGCGTCGCTTTCCTAAGCTTGAAGCTAATCCTCACGTAGGTCTCTCCGTCAAATTTGGTCGGGAGCCCTCGGAGTTTAATTTTGGCTTCAGTGTGTGGTTTGACTCCTATAATTCTGTATGTTAAGGGCTACTTCTTTCTCACTGGCGGAAAAACAACAAAAGCTAAAACGTACCTTCTGGGATATCACAGGGAGTTTCATCGCTTGTGCCGATCTCGTCGACTATGGTCCAAGAACAATCGAGGTGATCGAGATCCAAATGATCATATCGATTGACAACAGTTAGCTCGCTGCCTTTCAGACTAAGAGTCTGAACGGGCTCGATGGCTTTGCGATATTCAGTAAGCCCAGGCGTCGGCGTGTGGTCGGAATGGAGAAGACCATCCATGCAAAAGTGGCCATCATGCGGATCATCACCCCAGTCACCGCCATAGGCGTAGTAATACTCGCCCTCTGCATTCTTCGTTTTCAGCCCATGGTTCGCCCACTCCCAAACGAATCCGCCCATGAGCCTGGGATACTTGTAAAAAGCATCAATGTATTCCTTGATCCCTCCGGGGCCATTTCCCATGGCATGCACGTACTCGCAAAGGACCAATGGTTTTTCCCAATGGCTTTCCTGTGCCATGCGGATAATCTCTTCGGCGCTAGAGTACATTCGACTGAAGATGTCTGCGCTGCGAGTTTGATAGTCTGGCTCATAGTGGACTGGTCGGCTTGTATCCACCGATTTGATAAAGTCGTACATAGCCTTGTGATTTCTGCCGTAGAAGGACTCGTTGCCAAGTGACCAGATGACGATGGATGGGTGATTCTTGTCCCGCATGACCATCTGGCGTGCTCGGTCGACGTAGGCCTCCGTCCATTCGGGGTTGTCCGTAGCAAACTTCTCCGCGTTCGCACCAACTACGCCAAAACCGTGACACTCGAGGTCAGCTTCATCAATGATCCACAGCCCCAGCTCGTCGGCGAGGTCATAAAGGCGGAAGTCGTCGATATAGTGAGATGTTCGAATTCCGTTAATGTTGTGGTTCTTCATGAGGAGTAGATCGTTCTTCAGGAACTCATAGGGAACGGCTCTTCCGCTCTCTGGGTGATGTTCGTGGCGATTCACTCCTCGGAATTTTACTGGGTTTCCATTGACGGTAAAGACGCCCTTGATGAGGTCGATACGGCGGAACCCCACTCTCTGAGCTAAGCTGGTGGAGCCATTGAAGGTCAGGACGAGTGTATAAAGATACGGTGTTTCCGCCGTCCACTTGTGCGGCTTCTTGACGCTGACACTAAAGTGGCCTTTGGGTTCGAACTTCTCGGTCGCCTCGGCCACCACCTTCCCGTCGGCATCAAGCAGCTTTAGGGACACAACAGAAGTGTCGGACATTTTGACGTTGACCCTGAGCTCGGCATCCTTGTAATGGGCGTCAAGAAGCGTATGGACATGGAAATCCTCCGGATGGACCTTGGGGAAAGAATGCAAGTAAACATCTCTGAAGATACCACTGAGCCAGATCTGGTCCTGGTCCTCGAGGTAGGTTCCATCGCATCGCTGGTAGACTTCCACAGCTAGGATATTATCCTCGCCATACTTGACAAGCTTGGTAATGTCAAACTCGCTAGGATTCCTCGACCCTTGAGAATAGCCCACATTATGGCCGTTAACCCATACAGTAAACGCAGAATCGACGCCTTCGAACCTCAGTCGCTGCTGGTGGTCGGCCAGGTGCTTGTCCAGGCGGAAAGTGGTGAGATAGCGGCCGCATTCATTGTCATCTAGGGGGATATGGGGAGGATTGACAGGGAAGGGAAAGTCTAGATTGGTGTACTGCGGTCCTTTCCCATATCCCTGACATTGCCACATGCCCGGCACGTCGACCTTATCCCACTTGGAAGATTCAAAGCCAGGTTCATAAAACCTCTGGGGCCCGTAAAACGGCGAGGTGGAAAGGTGAAATTTCCATTTTCCAGAGAGTAACTGGGACTTCGCTTTGGCCGTATCGCGGCTGAGGGCGTCAACCTCGCTGTCGTAAAGAAAGAAAGAGCTTCGGGGCGGGAGGGTATTACGGTGCAGGACCTTGACATTACACCAGTCAGGAGGGGAATCAGGAAAGATGGCGCCTGTCATCGTAGTCGAGTTGGGGTCGGTGGCGGTGTCAACGATCTGGTTATCTTTATGCAGGTAGCCCGCGCTGCTGCTGCTGCTGCGGATGATAGTATCAGATGGAGGTGAGGTATGGGTGCTCTCGCGAGCCAGGAATTGATGTAGCGGAGTTGATTTCACAGGTCCAAGGGCCACGGCGACTTTAATAGATGCGTCCCCCGGAAGAATGAGATGCCTCAGGTGATTCTTCCCGTCTTCATTTCTATTCGGGCCGGGCGTCTGTCTGGTTGACATTTCAAATGTCGTCGATAGTTTGGAATGATTGCCAGACTCTTGATGCTCGTTGTCCTACGGGCCACTGCATGAGAGCAATATGGAGGACGACGGCTTCTTGCTGCGGGGAAGCTCCCGTGGGTCCGAGAGGAAGCGGCAATGCGGAGGTGGTGGGGAAACATGGTTTCGATGTTGGCGCCGCATGAACAAGTGATGGGTACGCGTAGTGGTGTCGGTCAAGTGCGGGGAAAGGAGGCGTCGGGGCTCACGTCTCCCTGGGCTGATCATCAGTTCAGAGGATCTCGGGCACCAAAACGTGTAAGGTGTCCACGATCACACATTTATCGAAGAGAGCTCAGAAAGCACTGGTGATGATGAACATCTGTCTCGTGCCTTCCTCAGAGAAGATACATGCAAGAAACCGGGTTGTTAGAATTATCGAGGCTTTCATATCAAACTGTGTCGGGCTTAAACTCATACTCCGAGACGGTGAATAATTGATTTCGCGAGAACTTCGTCTATCATCATATCCCCGTCGTACCCGAAAGTCGCACTCAAATATTTTGGTTTCGTCCTCCCTTACTGCCCAAATGGCCGGGAATAGCAAATCAATAACGCCGTTTCCAGCCCGTCACTCCATTGAACGTTGTGGTTGGATCGCCAATGGAGTTAGTGCAAACCGGCCGCAGCTGGCCCCTCCAATAGTGTCAAGAAGAAAGACAAGATCAATCGATGTCGTGTATATTGAACCGGAGTCGGTACATCGTAGGAGTGTCTTCTATAAGTTTGGTTTTATACTGCTTTCTAGGTCATCATCGCCCTCACGGAATACGCGATTAATGCTGCAGAGGTTCCGAACCTAGATCTCTCGAGGCGAGCCGGTCCCAAGACTTCAACGTTCTCTTACACCCCTTTCCCTCCGAGACCCGACTCGATCCTATACTGCCAGCTATTGACTCAATAGAGATGGGACAGAAAGGACTTGTGCTACTAAGTCGAATCGCCGGTGTTGTATCAGTACACTCCAATCTTCAAGTGCATTATACCGATTCGGCTTGCCTGGAATGCGTAGAGCCCAAATAACTCCTAACCACTTGAACACTTTCTCACCTCCAAGTTATATATCACCTCCAGTCCTGGCGACGGTACCAAGAACTCAGACTCCAATTGAAGAAAAACTATGTAAACAGGACTAGTGGATCTTGTAAACACCCTACTCTTTCACACAGAGACACATTCATCCATCCTTGATTGAGGGATATAAGCCCCCAGTTTCTCACAAAGAAGATTAGATAGAAAACAGCATTTGATTCCCCTTCGCCAACCAAGATCTCATTGATACTTTACAAGTTAGACCTTCCCACAGCAGTTCACTTAATTCTAGAGAAGCCCTCTATATTTTCAGTGAAATCTAGTGCTCCAGATAGGCCTTACTCCAGACTAATCTGACAGGCAGGCACCGGCTTGAGATCAACCTACTTCCCATCTAGGAATATGCAAGAAGCCTTGGCTCTCACGAAGCTCCAGTTATCATGAATCTCGTGCCCAGCTTGCCTTGGCCCTAAATGCCTGTTGCGATGACCACAAGTGATCGTTGCTCCAGGAGGGAGACAGATAAATATCCTACTTCTCTCAAACTCTTCTCTCCTTTCTTCCTCTTCCAACCTCTACCGGTTTTTTCATCCGACTCCTTCATTGGAAAACACATCATCAAACACCTTTCCAATATCATCATTCTTTTCCTCAATCATTAATTCGTGGATCGTCATTCATTTAATCCATCGAATATGAAGGTTTCGTCCGCTGTCCTTTTGGCTCTCATCGCCGGCGAGGGCTCCGGCCAGGGTGTCACCACTCGGATCCTCCCTGTCGGTGGCGTCGCCGATGGTTGTGATGCCTCGTCTGATGGCACTTTTCAGTTTGCTGTCATCGATCTCGACGGTCACGCCCAGGAGGGCACTCTTGCTCTCAAGGTAAGTTCTCCCTCGTTTCCTCTCTTCCCAAGTCCTCCAGCGTCCCGTGGTTCATCCCTTGGATAAAATGGAAAAAAATTCTTTCCCCTTGTCGCCTGGCTCCTTCCATATTTGGCCACATTGTTGTGATGGCAATTCTAACGAGGGTGTCCTGATAGAAACGCGATGACTGCAAGACGAACGGTCAGCTCATTGTAAAGCTCAAGGATGGAGTCCTCAAGGACTTGCTTGGCCGCACCGGCTACATCTCTTCTAGCTTCCAGCTCCAGTTTGACGATCCTCCCCAGTCTGGCTCGTTAATCACGGCTGGTTTCTCCATTTGCAACAACGGTTCGCTGGCCCTCGGCCCGTCGACTGTTTTCTACCAGTGCCCATCTGGTACTTTCAACAACATCTATGATCGCAAGGCTGCTCCTCAGTGTGGTCCTATCCACATCCAGGCCGTCGCCTGTGACGACTCGGAGGGTGACAAGGCCCAGGACGATGCCGTCAGCACTGTTGGCGTTGACAACGTCCCTACTACCCTTGTGACCGTCCAGAAGGGGGCCTCTGACGTCAAGACGCAGACGCCAATCGCCATCTGCCAGATCGGTGATGGTACGTGACCTTTTATTCCATCCAGAACACAGCTTGCTAACACTCTTACCTCTCTTCAGGCCAGGTTCAAGCTCACACAACCCCTTGTACCGCTCTCACCCCCGTAGCCACGTCCGAGTCTGCCGCTGTTCAGACCGTTACGGAAACCGTTACCGAGGTCATCAACGTCTGCGGAACTCAGGAACCTACCCAGAAGCCTACCCCAATGGCACCCTTCGTCACGTCCGGTGCGCACAGGAGGGCGGCGGCCCTAATCGCCCCTCCTTTTCTCGCTGCTGCCGCCGGCACCGGAGTGGCTTACGGAATCTGTGTGATTCTCTAAATTAGTTCCGGACGCCACCTGCCGGCTTCTTTTTGTTCGTATGGTTGGACGGCTGGGCGGTTGTTCGGTAAACGTGGTTTTCTTTTGTTCCCAGACATTCATGACATGCTGAAAAGGGAGAGTGGCGTTTAAAAGTTTGTGGTTTGGTTTGGATTGTATGGTGTGGTTTTGAGGATTAACTGTTTATTTTGCCCGTTGGAGGTTTTCAGGTTTGACGAGGTAATGGTACGGAGAGGGCTTTGGCATTAAGAGTCAATTAATTAATACACCCACCTATAATCCCTAAGAGCACCGTTTCATATTTCTGATGTTCTCATATGGACTTCGGTAGAGGTAGAGCTTTAGTGGTGAGATGAAGACGAGTTCTCAAGCAGCAGTTCTGCCTCAAAGATCGCGATATCACGTGACAGCGCAGCTAACATTCAACGTCATCGCCTCGAAAAATGTCTTGCGCAGGAACATCACGTTTCCAACCGCGACTGTCGAGAAACATAGCTTGTGAGTTCACTTCTACGCCTCCTGATCACGAAATACAAACATACACGGTCGCAGACAAAGCAACAGAAATGTCCGAATACTGGAAATCCACGCCAAAATATTGGTGCAAACACTGTCGCACCTACGTCCGCGACACGCCGCTCGAAAAGGCCAACCACGAAGCCACCCTCACCCACCAAAATGCCGTCAAGCGCGCGCTAAGAGATATACACCGCGGCCGTGAAAGGGAAGAACGAGAAAAGGACCGAGCCAAGGCGGAAATTGAGCGGCTGAATAGGCTGGTCCCGGGTTCCTCTGTGACGGCGAAAGGTACGACGAGTACGCCGACGGGCCCGCCGACGGCGAGAGAGGTGAAGGGGGCGGAAGTAGACAGGAAGAGGCAGATGGAGGAGTTGGCGGGGTTGGGTGTTTCGATACCGACTGATTTTAGGGGTGATATGGCGATGCCTGGGGAGTGGACTGTTACGGCTACGAGGGTGATTGAGGAGAAGACGGAGGAGGAGGTTATTGCGGCGAAGGCTACGGGGGTGAGGAAGAGAGAGCAGAGTGAGGTGGAGAAAGAAGAGGAGGAGGCTATGAAGGGCTTGTTTAAGAAGCCGAAGAAGTGGGGGCGCGGATTCAAGACAATGCCTGACGATGGCGATAAGGAACTTGACGCTCTTTTGAGGGGGGATCTCTCTAAAGTGGAGAAGGCTGAGAAGGACGAGAAGACAGAGCCGGAGGATGATAAGGTGAAAAAGGAGGGTGAGGACGTGAAGAGGGAGGATGGCGCGGAAGACTCCAAAGACAAGGTCACGCTAAAGGCGGAACCCGGAGAAGATGGCGTGGAAGCTGGTGGGTTATCCCCAAAGTTGAACCTGGCTGATATCCCTGCAGCTCCCGTATTCAAGAAGCGGAAAGCAAAGAATATTAGACAAAAGTAGAAACGGATGTTACGATGAATGTCACACGATACCTACTCGAACCCGCGAGCATGCCGACCAGGTGAATTGACACGTTGGATGAATTCATGATTTGGTCGTGTCATCAGCCTGCACTTTTTAAGCATGTCCTCCTCATGAGATCCTCGATCGAGCTTGTAAATACCACGACGCGTGCCATAAGACTTGGGTGAGAGGCCTCGAGGGATGCAAGCTTGGCCCGTGGAACATCTCTGGGGGAGCATCCCTGGGGCGTGGGTACAACTCGCGTCTAGCATCTGATTATTACCGAATATAATCTCCCAGATCCAAGAGAGGCTAACATCGTCGAACTTTTTTGGCCTCCCATTAGCAAGATATCTGGGACTCTAGCATGTGCAAAACCCAACAAATTCCAGACGCCGTTGACATAGTTGATGCTTTAGCCGCACTTGACGATGGGCCACAGCCAGATCCCTGGAATCATTGGGTGGAGCTACACGAAGAGCGACCGTTTCGGTTGGCAAGGCTGTTTATCCCAGTCATGGAAAACCCGATATATCCTCCAACCAAAGCTGGGAATCCTCAAGTTGCACGTGTAAAAGTGCAACGGGGGTCGAAGGGTCTGTTCTAGAGCCATTGAAATCTCTAGATAGCAGCCCACATCGCGTCCCTGACCCTCTTGTTCTTGCCCTACCGCGCTCGTCCTCGCTCCTTCCCATCAACCTAGGAGAACTTGGGCATTTCAGCGTCAGTTTTAGGGTTTCCACATGCTCACATTCGTCCTGGGATCCATGAAAAAAAAAAAAAAAAGGTAGAACCACATATGCCCCCATCGTGGCCAGTGAAACGCGCAACGAAGAGCCCTTCTTTTCTCTTCTCCACACAACAATCCTGAGCACTTCATCATCCCACTTCATTCATATCTGGGCCAAAGACGTCAACCAAAGCCATAGAGTGCCAGAGCATCCACCGGGGAGTCTCACGAGCATTGATAATTCAACTGACCGGCCGCGCAACAATGATGGCGCCGCCTCCCAGCCCAGCTCCCCAAAACGCACGGAAGCGAGCCATGTCTGAAGCTTCGAACTCGGACGCGGCGCCGCACAAGTGTTTTCGCACGTCGGAGGCCCCAGAGCTAAGCTACCTCCCAGGCGCGAAAATGTCTCCGATTGTTCCTATTCCAGCTCACCATCCCACATCTGGATCCGCCATGAAGCAACATCGTCGTCCTGCGTCCCCTCCACTTGAAATAATAGCACTCGGAGAGCCTGGTATTTGTAGGATTGCGACAACGTCGCTCTTGCGCACCTCTTCCCACTGGTGTCAGCGTCAGGTTCCGTATGAGTTCAGGCTGGCAGAATATTTGAGGGATCATGAACTCCGCGATGATGAGAGCCCGCCGCCGCTTGATGTCATCGAGTGTCAAAGGGCGCTACTTTCCGCGGCAGGAAGAGGCGATCGAACTTCAGGGCCATCAGTTTTGGAACCTCAGCCTGACACTGCCCCACCTGATGGAGACATCACAGATGAAGCATTCGAGGCTAGCCGTATCCTATTTTTCGGTTCCGCAACGCCGGATGCAGCCTTCGAAGAACTAGACACGACTCACGAGATGACATGCGAGCGTCAAGAGATGCTACTTTCTACGACGGGAGGAGGCGATCGAACTTCAGGGTCATCAGATTGTGAACCTCAAGCCGACACCGGTCTACCTGATGCGAACATCGCAGATGAACTCACAGATGATGTATTCGAGGCTAGCTGTATCCTATTTTTCGGTTCCGCAACGCTGGATTCAGCCTGCGAGAACCGAGACACAACCCGCGAGAAGACGCCAAAGGCAAGGTGTCAAGCTCTGGACGAAACTAAGAATCGCGAGGACCGACCCCCGCGCGTGCGCTCCAAGAAGAAAGCAAGGAAGATCCTGACACGGCTTGTTCTCGGGAAGCTCACAGGGCTCTGGGACTTCGATAAGGAACGCGTGTCGATGCCGGAGCTCAGGGAGATTTCGAGTCTGGATAAATGGCGCGGCACGTGGCGCGTTCGCATGCTCTTCGACAGGCCGAAGCCCGCTGGGGATGTGTGCACCCGCATCTGGAAGCGCATCGTGCGATACTTTAAGATTCCTCAGGAAGTGGTGGACGTGCTGAATGAGGCTGTCAGCTGGAGAAGCTTTACCCTGATTGGAGCAGAGGGCATATGTAGTTTCACCATGAAAAAGGGACTGAATAAGGTGATTAGTCGTGAGATATGGGTTGCGGATTCTCGCGCGAAGGAAAAGGAGAGAGTGGCTGAGTTCCGGCCACGGAAGGGGAAGGTTGTGGTTCGCATGTCGACGATCGCAGAAGGGCAGGAGTGGATATGTTAGGCGATGTCTAGATCTAAGGGTGAGGAAATTTGAGTGAGATATATTGCGGTCAGGACATGACGGACGGAGGTGGTTCAGGTTGGATGGCGTTTGGAATCGAGTCGAGGGCCGCTATTGCTCGAAAGAGACTCTTTGCTTTAAGGCGTTGGGTTTTAATTTACTTTTCTTTTTCTTCGCTTGAGCTCATCTGTAAAGCCTCGACTCATGGGTGCTTCCGCGCTCTCGTCAATCAAAAACTGTCGATATTCCATTTCCTCGTCGTGGTCTCTCCCTCTAGATCGAATCTCGCAACCCTCGACGGCCTGCAACATGCTTCCGCTGATGTTGTGAGAGTGAGGACCACTCCCGCTGCAAAGAAGAATTCTGGAGTCTCTCTTTACCCAGTCGTGCGGGGACTACGAAGGAGAAGAGCAATTCTCTCGGGGATGTGTCTCAGAGCCTCAACTTCGGTCTCTGTTTCTACTTCTACTTCTATGCGATGTGATAGAGCATGAGACATTTTTCATTTTATTTCAGTCTTGTCCCTCTTTCTCCTCACACCCGTTTGTCCTCACCTTGAGGGGGATAAATATACAAGTAAGACGGGTCTCTGGGTAAGGGGAGAGAGTGTGTGACCCCTTTACGTCGTTCCACCTTTCTAAGCCGCTTGGAGTCTAGAACAAGCCACTGACGATTTGGTGCCTGGTTGGTGCCTCCTTGAATGAACCCCTGCAGCAGACACAGAGCCGGAGAAGACGCGCTAGAATGGTTTGGATCCAGAACAGTCCACCCCCCATCTCGATTTTTTCGACTTTTTCGACTTTTGAGGTTTGCCCGTCCCTTTCTCTCCACTCCTAGTAAGCTTAACCATGACAGACTCGGGGAGGGGCATAACATTGTCCTGGTTTAGCATAAACGGATTGTGCGACAGCAGGACAGCCCATATTTTGCGCAGAATCAGCGTCTACTTGTAGATTTTTCTTTTCCGTTTCTCTTTTCTCTTTTCCAGATGGCTGGAAATTGATATTTCGGCATCTCAAATTCGGGCCAGGACGACATGGAGTTGTCTGCTCTCTCTGCTCTGCCCTACGAATGGAGTGCGGTGCTACACTACAGAAGTACTTCGTACTAGTACGAAGTAGGCTACACTTTTTGTACACTAAAGTAGGTACGACAACAAGTGTCTTTGTCCTACAGCCCCACCCCCACCGTGGGAAATTCAGAGTTCGGAAGAGCGCCTTCCTTCCCTGGATTCCGGGTTGAATTCCGCGACTCATCATCTCGTCTTTGACCTCGCACATGCCCGAGGAATTCCTCGCCCCTCCTCTGCTTCGTAGTCTCAACTATCTCGCGTCTATTAATTGAAATATCTTTGCTTGCCCTCGCTTGGTTTTCGCGCCAAGTATTCGTGCTTACACCGTCTTTCCCGGCGTACAGCCTAGTGCAGTGCACTAGGATGAGAACCGATCTGCCAAGACACCTCCATCCAAGTTTTTCCCTCCTCTCTTTCCTGGTGCCATTCACACCTGGATCGACTGGGCAGCTCTTGAAATGCACTGTGGCAGACTAAACCACAAACACTGGCTCATCATTTCAGCTCGCAGGGATCGCTGCATTTAGCGCCCCTTTCCTGCTATAATGTATCTGCAGGTACCCTTGGCAGACACCGTGATGGGCGAATCAACCTTTTTGTCAACATCTGCAGCCTCTGCAGGGGAAAAATCTGGGAAAAGTAGTGGGTGTGAGTGTGTGTGTGTCGGCACCGACTCAAAGAGGAATGCTTCACGATACGGATGGATACAAGGATGAAGAGTGACACTTACCTAGGCAGGAGGGATACCCCAACCAACCCCATGAAGTTTAGTGTGAAGCAGGGAGGGCGAGGATGAGCGGCATGTCTGACTGCCCTTCGTCCCCATTTCGAACAAGATTCCTGCTCGAGGTCCTTCTGTGTGAATCTTTCCCTAGCACCTAGCATATTGATCGCTTCACTTTTCCAAGGACGAGGGATCGCGCTGGGTGTCGTCCAACTCGCATCCGTTTAGCACGGCACTTACTTTCGCTTCTCGTGTATGTTGTGTTTCGCGTTGATATACATTTTTTCTAGTCTCTGTTTTGATATCTATTCATTCTCCCGTTGCGCTCGGCGTGGTTGCCTACCATGAAGCCCGCGCGATTGTTCCTCCTCAGTCAGGCGATCACCCTCGCCGTCGCCGAAGTCGTCTATGTCACAGATCTCACCATCTTCACCTTACTTGTACGTTTTACGCCGTTTGCCCGCCTAGAATGCTTCGTCTCGTGAGATCGATCTCTCGAGCGCACGAAATGCCACTTTATCTCTCTCCGAAAGCCTCGCCCGCGACCTGGCGCTAACTGGATCTAGGCACCCTGTGCGAAATATGGCGTCTCCGTTGCTGTTCAAGCCCAAACCTACTCCTCCTGCGGCACGGAAGCCGCCGATCTTCAGTCATGTGTGTGCTCAAAGGCCGGGAAAATGGACAATGTTCTAGGGATCATGTCGTCATCCCTAAGTTGGTCATGCGGCGAAACGGCCACCGACGACCATGCCAGTGCCTCCGTCGTGCTCAGCCAGTACTGCAATCAAGATAGCTCTTATACCTTCGCCACGCCGACGGCAAACCTCGTGGAAGAGTATCCCACCGATTACCCTGAGTTCTATAACCTAGCTCCATGCGCCCAATATGGCGTGTCTGTTGCCATGCAGTAAGTTGACCTCGCAGCCCGTTTCGGCAGCTCATGACGAAGAATACTAACATCTGAGCGACGATAGGACGATGGTAGGTGCCTTGTTTGCGATGGAAAAACTTTTCTGCTATGTATCTTTCTCACCTGTGATGTTTAGACTTACGATCTCTGCCCCGAGCCCGCCAGCCTGCTCGCACCCTGTATCTGCGGCAAGAACCAAAATTCACTCCGAGCTAGCCAGACGATTAACGCCTCCGTCAAGTATTCATGCTCCAATAACGAAGACATCACCTCCGGCCAGCAGTTCTTGGCCGCATACTGTGCTATGACTGCCGGTACTACGGCGTTCCCCCAGCCGTCGAACCCACCCGGCGACAGTACGTTTTATCCCAAGCTGCGGGGTTCTCATTCTTCCATCGTGATTTTGTGGGCTAAGCAAATCGCGTAGTGACTTACTTCATTTCTGCTCTACCGGAGTACAAGTCTCTTGCTCCATGCGCTCAATCCGGAGTTGACGCTGCTCTCGGTGTTGTACGTCACAAACTCCCTCCTGATGCCCCGGGAAAAGAGTATTTGAATGCTGACCGAGATGCCTAGCATTCCTCGGAGTTCTGTCCTCCGGGGCCCAAGGCCTTCGCCTCATGCGCTTGCCTTAAGGTTGGCATGTCGAGCAAGGCCACGAGCATGATGTCCTCCTCCGTCCGTTGGTATTGCGACTCGACCGCGAGGGACGATGTCCTCTCTGCTGTATCCGTATTCGAGTACTACTGCAGCGCTGCCAGGGCCGAAGTAACCCCCACTGGCGTGACCGAGTCAAGTTTGTCATCCCCGCTCTCCCTCCTTGGTTGACGGCCAACCAGCTAACGCGGAACGCGAACAGTTGCCCAGACCACCAACGGCACTCCCAGACAGACTGGCGGCTCGAATTCTGGTGACAACCCGACCAACCCGAATGGTAGTGATTCTGGCGACGACACGAGCAGCGGTGGAGTGAGCACAGGTGCCATTGCGGGTGGAGTCGTCGGCGGAATTGGCGCCCTCGCCATCATTGGCGCAGGCGTCTTCTTCTTCCTCCGCAAGAAGAGAGCCAACAAGGAAACAGCTGCTGGAGCCGCCGCCGCCGCCTACCAACCACCTCCCCCGAACGATAAACCCGAGCTTGCCGGTACACCCATCACCGGACCCATCCCCCCTCCAAGCCCCGCGATTTCTCATACGAGCGCCCACACGCCCACGCCGGTATACGATCCTACGAACGCGCCGCAGATTCCCGAACTACACGGAGGAAAGAGTTACATGGGGACGCCGCCGCCACAACCCATGCAACCCGAGCTTCAGGGGAATCCGGTAATGCCCCCTCAGGAGTATCAGGGCCAGGCGTACGGTCAGGCGATTCCTATGCAAACCTATCCTCAAGGATACGGCTATCCTTCTCCGCAGGCTTCGCCCTATCCGTCGTACGCGGGGCAGCCGTCGCCGCAATCACCGCAGGCGGGATATTATGCTCCTCAGCAGGCTGCGCCGGTGGAGCTTCCAACTTCTTGGCAAGCGGGACCTGTTCCTGGGTATCAGGAGCTCCCTACTCAGTACCATCAGACGAGGTAGTGTCCCGACTGTGGTTGAGTGAAATGTCTTGAAAGCGAAAAGCTGTGTGTTCTTGCATTCTTGTATATACCTGTTCTTGCATTGCAATGAGGATCGATACCTGCGGAGGGAGACAGGAAAAGGTGAAGATGGGCTTGAAGCGAAACCGCGATTGATGGCCCGAGTGTGCTTAGATTAGATTGGGAGTGGGAGAGCGTAGAGGTCTGGGCAAGGTGCTGACTGAGGTTAATGTCCCTGGCAAAAATTTGATGTCCAAATGTGTATAACGTATAATAATACCAAGCAATTGAGCAAAATGAGTTTATTAGTTCTCTCACACCTGGCCTCTCACAGCTACTGGTGAACCAGCTCATCGGCCTGGCCTTAGGATATTTCGTTTACTGAACGACTTCATCGAAGAGAATTGAAGAGTGGCTACACTATCTGCACGGCGTTCGAAACCTTCTGAAATATCGCAGCTGCGTCGTCCCGCATGTACAACTAAGACGTCGGCCGATGGACGCGACAATGGGATGAGAGGAATGTCGTTGAATACGCTCAATACACTGGTTTCCGGGATGGGATGGACTGGCATGAACAGGATGTTGGTTGCACCTTCCCAGCCTAAACATGAGTCACATGACCAAAATTGGTCCATGCTTCTACTTACGTAATTTGTGATTGAGCTTAACCATGCTTCTGATTGGCCAAATTCACCAGCAGCAACCTCGTTGCTCTGGTGGGTCCCTCGTCCAAACTGTTGCATCAAAGGTCGAAGGCAGCCTCGCGACCTCTGCAAACAGCAGAGATTTGTTATGCAGGACAAACAGAAGCAGCTGGGTCGTGACCTTTACTCCAGCAATTTTTGCTCCCCGCCTTGTTTCACCCTTTTTCTATCGCAGGAGGAAGACAGATCGGGCAGTCCTCTGTATTGATCTTTTTGCCCCTCTTGTTTTTCTTCTGGTCTTTTTTTCTTACCTGTTCTCCTCGTCGCGATCCCTCCACACCGTTGACGCCCTCCTCCCGCAATCACTCAACTTCGTTTACGGCGGAAATTCATCTACCATTGCGTCAAAATATCGGCCCCCGTGACTCTGATGCAATAATACAGCTACTCAAATTTAAATCATCATGGCGGTGGCCGACTTAGGCTACATTGCCGGCCATCTCGGCCTCGAGCAGGATGGCCTCACCTCGTTAGCCGCCGACCCGAACCTCGCCAGCCTGTTCAAAGCCGTCGAGGCGAAGGCCCACGAATTTGATACCCTATACTCCGAGAAGCTGCGCGTTGATATCGAGCTCGAGAATGCCGTTGTTGGGTCCGAGGCGAGATGCCAGACCTTTAAGGCGACGGCCGATAAGGCCTTGAAGGAGGTAGAGGAGCTTCGACAGAAACTAAAGGATGAAGGTATGTTTTGCTCATCGTTCCTGGACTCTCAAACCCGCTGATTTCTACGCTTAAACAATAGGAAATTCGTACTAAACAGTGTTTCTTTGATGTAGAGTCTACTCGACAAACTCTTCAAAACGAGTTGCAATCACTGAGGTCTCGGTCTACCGAATACGATTCCGAAATTGGTACTCTCAAAGATCAGATCGAATCTCTCCAGGCATCGAACCGGACGAATATGGCCCTCCTCGAGTCGCGAAACGCGAGAGACGATCAACTCTCCGAAGAGCTCTCAAAACAACACCAGAAGAACGTTCAACTCAACAAGGAAATCACAACCCTGCAGCAGACCGTGCAGGCTGCCCAAGCTGCTTCCAACAGCGCCAAGTACCGAGCCGAGTCTTTGCAACAGCAGCTAGATCTTGCCCGTCGCAGCGGCGAGTGGTTCGAGAATGAGCTAAAGACCAAGACCGACGAGGCCCTCAAGTATCGAAAGGAGAAGGGTGCCCGCATTGCCGAACTTCAGCGTCAGAACGAGGAGGCAAAGGCAGATATCGAGTCCCTCAGGCGTGGCGAACAACAACTCCGTCAGAGGCTTGATGCAGCCCAATCCAAGGCCGATGAGGCGTTGGTCAAGGTTCAGCAGCAACAGGAAGCCTTTGCTCGGACGGAGGAGAGCTACAAGAAGGAGCTTGAGAATCAAAGGCGCCTTGTTGAGATGTCCGATCAACTTACCAGGAAGCATCAGGACCGAGTGCAGGAAATGGAGTTGGAGAAGGAAAGGGTTCGCGACAACTATGAGAACGAGATCCGCCGAGTCCGCCTCGATTTGGAGCGCGAGCGCCAGACCGTTACCGAACTCGAAGAGCGCATTCAACAACTCGAAGGCGAAGTCGATGAGCTCCAGGCTCGTGCCCAACATGAGCCTCCTGCGCCAGCGTCCCCATCAGCTCCTCAGACCCCTCGTGCCAATGGCTCCGTTCTCGGCCGCGCCTTCTCGCCTTTTACCACGCCTGGTTCGATTCGTAGCAAGACGACGATCACGGCTACCCAGGCTCTTGACGAAGTCTTTAAGCTCAAGGGTCAACTCGCGGGCGAGAAGAGACGCAACCAACAGCTCTCGGATGAACTGGACCAGGTCCTTGCCGCCCTCGAGGCCAAGGCACCTCAAATCAACGAGCTTCAATCCGAAAACGAATCTCTCCGGGTCGAGCTTAACCAAATGTCTCACTTGTCCGAGCAGAGCCACGAAGAGCGCGATGTTGCCAAGCGCGCTGCGAGGAAAGCGGAGGGTGCTCTCTCTACTGCACAGACAGAGGCTAAGATTCTTCGCACACAGCTGCGGGATCTCAGCATGCAGATCCAGATGCTCGTGTTCAACATGCATGCGCGCGAAAAGGGCCTCAACGAATTGACCGATGAGGAGAAGTATCGCCTCGAGCAACTTTCAAAGGGTGAAATCACCGAAGACGCCCTGGCGGATATGTCAGATACACACCAGTTCATCACGCACAAGTTTGTCGTCTTCAAGGACATTAAGGAGTTGCAAGAGAAGAACCAAGAGCTGCTCCGGGTTACTCGAGAATTGGCGGAACAGATGGAGAGTGAGGAGGCCCTTGCGGCCAAGCACAAGGCTGCTGAGGACCACAAGGCAGTTCAGCGTCTTGAGCAAGATTTGGTGAACCTTAACGAAGAGGCGCAGTCTCTCAAGACCACCATGGAATCTTACAAGGCCGAGAGGGACATGTTCCGGCGCCTCCTCCAACAAAAGGCCAGCGCGGGAGAGTTGGCATCGGTACTCGGAAGCCCAGCCGAAGATGGCCAACGGCCGCCGCTCGCGAGCATTGAGACTGGTGCCGACGACCAGGAGGCGGTATCAGCAGCCGCCCTACGCCAGCTCGAGGCAACCTTCGACAACTACCGAAATGAACAGAACATGATCCGCCAGACGATGCGCGAGCAGGCTGACCGTCTTTCGAACGAGAAGACCTCACTCCAGGGCGAGGTCGTTAAGTTGTCCAGCCAGCTTACCCTTGCGTCCGAGCGATACGACATGCTCCATGCCAATTTCGTTGCCCTCCAAGGTGAGCAGGCCGAGCTTCAGAAGCGCAATCAGTCGCTGTCGGAGACTACGGCGAAGCAAGATATCCGTACCCAACAAGTCGCCGAAGAGCTTGTGGAGACTCGAGAGCTTCTCGAGTCTACTCGCAACGAAGCAGCCAACCTCAAGGCGGAGAAGAAGCTGTGGAAGGATATTCAAGATCGCCTCAGCAAGAATCACGAGACGTTGATGGAGGAGAAGGAGCGTCTCAGCAGCCTTCTTGCCTCGCAGCAATCGTTGATGAATGAGCGTGACATCGCAGAATCCGAGGCTAGGCGCAAGTTCCAGGCCAGGATCGACTCTCTCGAATCAGAACTCAGCGAAACGAAGCGCAAACTTAACACTGAGATCGAGGAAGGAAAGAAGTTGCAGCTTCGGAAGGAGTTCGATTCGCAACAGTCCCAGAAGCGTATCGATGAGCTTACCGCCAGTCTTAGCCAAGTCCGTGAGGAACTTGTCCGGGCAACAACCGCTCGAGACCATCTCCAAGCGCGCACCGACGAGCTTACCGTCAACCTCCGGAACGCAGAGGAACGCGTCGGCCGTCTGCAGCCGCGACCCACCCCTCGTCCCGGCATGCCTGTCGAGCCCGATACGACCGACGAGGAGCGTGAGCAGGAGCTTCAGAACCTTGCCGACCAAGTCTCTGATCTTAAGCGAGACTTGGATCTAGCTCAGGCGCAGCTTGACAATGCGAAGAACCAAGCTGATAGGTTTAGAGAGCTTAGTCAAACCCATGAAGAGGCGCTTGCCGATCTGACAGCATCTCAGGAGCAAGCCCAACAAGAGATAGACAACATCTTGGGCGAAAAGGATGCTCAGATCAAGGAGTTGGAGCAGAGAGTCGAAGAGCTCTCATCCGAGCTGGCTAACTCCAACAACCAACTCTCTGCACTTCGCGACTCGCAGGGTGAGGTCACCAGGAGATTCGAGGATGAGAAGCACATTCTGGAGGATGAGATCAAGCGACTCAAGGACGATGCCGAGAGGTATTCCGAATCCGCCAAGTTCCACCAACAAGACTTGCGAGCCCAGGCCGAAATTGCGACAAAGGCTCAGCAAGACTACGAACAAGAGCTCGTCAAGCATGCTGAGGCAGCCAAGCTGCTCCAGGCTCTCAGGACCGAGCACAATCTGCTCAAGAGCGAGGCGGCGTCTTTCAAGGCTGCCGCCGAGTCCGCCAAGGTTACTCTTTCTCAAAACGAAGCCTCGTGGGAGGAGCGCCGACAACAACTCGAACGAGAAATTCAGGAACTTAACGCTCGCCGAGAGGACACTAACGCTCAGAACCGCCTTCTTCATCAGCAGCTCGAGGGTGTCACGGCGCAGATCAGCGCGCTTCAGCAGAACCGACTGCAGACCTACGACGAAACCGAAGACGTCACCGGACCCGTTCCCGACATTGACGGTCTCCGCGAGCTCAACAGCTATCTGCGCCGCGAGAAGGAGATTCTCGAGGTTCAGCATGACACTCGACTCCAGGAGTGCAAGCGCCTCCAGCAACAGCTCGAGTATGCGCAGTCGCAGCTCGATGAAGCTCGTCTCAAGTTGGATCAGGAGCGCAGGTCTCATGCTGAAAGCGGCAAGAACTCGCTCTCTCACCAGGATCTGATGGCCAAGCTCAACGAATTGAACTTGTACCGCGAGAGCAGCGCCACACTCCGCAACGAATTGGCACAGGCGAAGGCGCAACTGACGGAAAAGAATGCCAAGATTTCTGAGCTGGAGGCCCGGATACAGCCTCTCGAATCCCAGATTGAGGCTTTGAAGACGGAGAAGACCTTCCTCCAAGATGAGTTGAAACAGATCCAGGAGGACCGCGATCGTTGGCAGAAGAGGACGGAGGATATCCTTACCAAGTACGGCCGTGTGGACGCTGCTGAACTCGAGCAGCTCAAGGAGACCGTTACGACCCTCGAAGGTGAGCGAGATGCGCTCAAGACTGCTGAGGAGCCCCTCAAGGCAAAGATCACCGAACTCGAGACGCTTGTCGAGACGGAGCGAGGCAATTGGCAGACGACTCGTCAGAAGTTGGTGGAGCAATTTAAGGACCGGTCGCGGAAGCTTACGGGCGAGAAGAACGAGGCTATCCAGCGGGGCAACGAATTACAGGCTCAACTGGATGCTGCGAACGAGCAGCTCACCGTGTCTAAGCAGCAAGTCACCATCGTTACGACGGAGCTCGACGCATCGAAACAGGAGAAGTTCCAGCTCGAAAAGCAGATTCTTGAGTTCCAGCACACAGTCAACTCGCTCAGGGAGCAGGCTGCTGCGAACGCTCAGGCGCCCATCGAGACAGTTGCGGTTGGAGAGCAGCAGCAGCCGACTGATGGTATCATTCAAGAGCTGGAGCAGAGACTTGCCCTCGTTAAGGAAGAGCTCGACGCTGTTAGCAGCCAAAAGGCTGAGGCTGAAGCCGAATTGGCAAATCTCCGTTCGCAGCTTCAGACAACCATTGCCGAGCGTGATCAGGCCCTTGAACAGGCGCGTGCGGGTATCGAGGCCGTGGAAGGTCAGCCAGTCGCTCAGCCTGCCGCTCCTGGTGGTGAGTTGAGTGCTGAAGAGAGGAAAGCATTCGAAGAGAAGATCCAGGCGGCCGAAGCCAAGGTGGCGGAGTACGAGGAGAGAGCTAAGGAAGCAGAATCGAGGATTGAGCAGACTATTAAGCAGCGCAGTGACAAGATGAGAGATGCCCTCAACAATAAACTCCGAACAGCGCGTGCCGAAATGGAGGAGGGCTTCAAGGCCAAGGAGGCGGAGTTCGAAGCTCAAAAGGCGGAGTGGAAGACGGCTGAGGGTGAACTACGATTGAAGCTTGAGCAGGAGAGGATCATCAAGGCTGCAGAGGGTGGACCCACCGCTCCCGCCGCTCCGGATGCCGCTGATGGGACGCAACAAGTTCCTGCCACCCCGACGACACCGGCGATGCAGCCCCCTTCAACGCCCGCGACAAAAGGCACTCCAGCCGGAGACCTCACACAGCTGTCCGACGCTGATCTCCGCAAGCTGTTGACTACGCATGCTACGGCGAAGTCGATATTCGCCAACAATATCAAGAAGCGATTGGAGGTGGAGTCTGCCAAGCTTAAGACGGAGTTGGAGCAAACTCTAAAGGGAGAGTACGAAGCCAAAGTGGCGCAGGCGCGTGAACAGGGCCAGATGATGGAGCAGAAGAAGTCGACGGTAAAGATTAACATGACGGAGAATAAGTTCCGTGCGGCGCAGGCCAAGCTCGGTGTTGTGCAGACTGCTGCGGCCGAGACGCCGCAGAAGCCGGTTGGCGAGGTGTGGGAAATTGCCTTGCAGGCGAAACCGGCTCCTCCAGCCGCCGCCGCTGCTACTGTTCAGCCCGGATTGGGCCGACAGAATTCAACTGCCGGCGTCCCGCCATCTCCCGTTACCGGAACTCCCGGCCCCAGCCCAGGTGAGCTCAAGATTTTTAACCAACATATAGGACCTAAAACAATGAAGGCTAACGCTTTATTGGTAGCTGTAAACATATCCACACCTTCTTCCGCTGCTGGACAGAGGGGCCCCGGCAGCATGGTCAAACCCGGTGCACCCCAAGGCCAGGTATCCGCACCTGTTCTTCCTAGTCCATTCGATGCTTCGCCAGCCAACCGGCCAGGCGGACCAAATCCATTTGCGCTTCCTCGACCACCTACGTTACCACAAGCTCCACCCCCGCAGCAGCAAGCTCCGCCTCAGCAACGCGTTCAGGCGCAACCTCAACTACCACCGGCCCAGCAACAACAGCAAGCCGGAGCCGGAGCCGGAGCCGCCCAGGCTGGGCCGGTGCAGAAGCCTCAGCAACAACAGCAGGCGAGACCCCAGCAGCAGCAACAACAACAGCAAGGACGACCCTCATCCTTGCCTCAGCCGCCACCTCAGCAGCAGCAACAGCAAAGAGGCCAGAGCGGTCTTCCTGTTCCACGAGGCGGTCACCGCGGCGGTAGGGGCGGCGGCCCGTACGTGCCACCACAGCGAAATGCTAGCGGGGGCGCGGCCGAACGAGGAGGCGGTCATGCACGCGGTCGTGGCGGACACGGACGCGGTGGATTGAATCCAGGGGCCTCGGACTTCCAGCCGGGAAGCAAGCGTCCTAGGGGTGATTCCGAGATTGGTGCGGGAGCGAAGCGGGCGCGCGGGTCTCACTGAGACTGAGTGGGGCTTTGGTTGTTGGAAAAGATGAAGACGGATGCATTACGCTGCGGGTTATAGTGACTGATTGGGCGGGTCTGGTTCTTTTCATTTCTGTTTCTTTTGTGTTTTTTTTTTTTTCTTTCTCATTTCTATGTTGTTTTCTTTTCTTTTTGTAACTGGCGTCATTTTCATCTCGGGACTCAAAGGAACTTCGGGGAAGAGCGTTGAAGATGGTATAAGAGAAAAAGGCGCGCAGAGTGTACGAATACTATGTGGCACTTGATTGTTCTTGAGTATATTCTGGTTGGGAGAAGCTAAAGGACTCAAAAAGACAGTTTCATTTGTTCACGTTGAAGATGTCTCTTAAGTGAGGAACGTGATGCATAGAATATCAACAGGGGGTCGGTCCTCTAAGGTCGAGGGAATGGAGCACGGAATCAGCCTCGTGTGGTGAAACTTATACGATTCGTGCCCTCCATACCATTTGATATTTTACTTCTTGGGCTCAATCTCCATACGGAAGAACATGCCGGGCCATTGCCCTGCTAAAAACTCCCCGATCTCACGGAACCCTTGCCGTTTGTAATACCTGTCTCTTCTCGTCAGCGTTTCCCATATATAGATCTCATCCATGAAGAAAAGGAAAGACGAAAACCTACGCAACGAGCTTCCCATCATTCCCAGCCCAACAATCCACATAAACCACCTCCCTCCCCAACTCCGCCGCCAACTCCTTCACCTTCTGCACCAACGTCGCCCCGGCCCCCTTCCTCCTCTCCTCCCCGGCCTCAAAATTCGTCACCAAAACATGCAAATACAAAAAATTCCTAGCGCCCTTCACCTCCCCCTCAAACTGCGGCTGCGGCGCAATATACTCGGGGAACCAGGCGTCTTTAGCAGTCACGGCTCCGACGGGGAGTACGTCGTCGCCCTCGACGGATTCGGCCACGTAGGCCCAGACGCCGGGGCCCGTGGCGGACGTCCGGTATGTCTCCGCCGCGGCGAGGGTGTCGGTGATTTTGGTTTGGAAGTCGGGGCGTTCGGAGAACGGGGTCGTGCCCCACTGGGACTGGGAGCCGACGGAGGCGAGGAAGGGGAGGGTTGAGTTGAAGGAGGATATGACGAGGTCCAGGTCGGCGGGGGTGGCGGGGCGGATTGTGAGGGGCATGATGGCGATGGTTTCTGGTGGTTCTTTTCTTATTTTCTGATTCCCTTTTATTGTTAGGCTGGCGATTGTGGGCTGGGCTTCTTGGGGTTTACACTGATGTTAAATGTCTAGGTGAGGTTGGTGATGCGTATAAGTAGGATTAGGCAGACGTATAAGGGATCACTCTATTAGAAATACGATGAGATACGAAAAACTCAGTGAGGTCGGTCATTTTGACGTGCTCAAGTTAGCCGCGACGCGATGCGACGGTGATGGGATTTTTGTCGAGGCGAGACTCGATTAGGCAGGTCGAGATGTCAAACGTACGAAGCCGGTGTTACTGTCTTACCGCGGGAGCGTAAGACCGGAAGGGCGCATGTTTGCGGAGAGTTATAAGTCTTGATTCTGAGGGAGGATATCCTTCTCCATCGACGACTGCGCTAACATTGATAAAATCTTATAATTGACATATTTTTTCATCCAAAAATACAGCTCTTTTACTTCATATAGAACAAGGGGGAAAAGAAAACGCAAACTGAGTAGAGATTCCAGTGTCCTCCCAAGTCTGTGAAGCTGAATACCAAGTAGCTCCAACTTGCAATGCGAATGCGCCAGTATAATCCAAAGTATAAACCAAAGTTATCCATCCATGCCTCGAAACGCTCAGTATAAATGACGAAAGAAAGAAAAAAGAAGAGAAAAAAAAAGAAATCCGAACCGAGAATCCATAGAAAGAGAGCTTCCTCCCGAGATTCCTTCCAAAAAGGTAATAGAGAAACAACACTTTGAATCCCTCAAACCATAACGCTCACCGCCCTCCGACTACTCTCCTCCTTATCCTTCTTCTTCTTAAACAGCTGCTTCAGCATATTCGTCCCCTTCTTCTCCTTCGGCCTCAGCACCAAATCCAAACTATTCTCATCATCGTCCTTCTTCGCCTCAATCGTCTTCATCGTCCTCCTCGACCGCGTGCTCCTCCTACTCCTCTCACTCCCGGCCTCGCTGTACCCGTCGTCGCCGCCGACAACGGTCGTGCCGTTCCTGCTGCTCTTGCGATCGGGGATGTCGACGTCCCGAGAGCTACGGTGCGTAGTAGTGTGCGTCCGACTCGATCGGTGGGACCTGTGGCTCCGATGCGACCTGTCGCTGCGCCCGCTGCGCGAGACGTCGTCGCCGTCGTCGTACTCGCCGTCCGAGTGGCGACGCCGGCGGTCCTTGTGACTCCTCTTAATGGCGCGTTGGGCCTCGGGGCTGATGAGCTCGAGGTCGGCGCTCTCGTCTTCTCCGAAAGGCACGATTCCTCTCCTCCACGATTCGATACCGCTAAGTTCCTGCTCGATGACGAGGGCCTCGTCGATGCCATCGCCAGCAATGGGGTGAAGTTGCATTTCCTGCGGGTAATACTCCGGTCCCGGCATATCGTCGTAGATGACCTGCTGCTGCTGCTCCATCATGGGCGGCGGCGGCGGCGGATGCATGGGAACCTGCGCAGCCTGGAAAGCGAGTGCCTCTCTCTGCATGGCCTCGTTCTCCTTGGTCTCCTTCATGCGCTTGATAATCTTCCATCCGCCGAACATGACCACGGTGACTCCGACGGCGGCGCCCGCGGCGATGAGGAACTGCGGGCTCGCGAGGAGGGCGAAAACGGCGGGTGAGCCACCCTGGACAATGGAGAGGAATCCGGGGCTCATCTTCGTGAGCAGCGTTGATAGCTCGGCGAGCGTGAGGGCCACGGCGGCGGCGGCATCGGGGTTCCGCTGGAGGTGGGTGATGATGCCCGATGCCGAGTGCTGCACGCACTGGGCTTCGTCGAGCAGATTCTCGACCCTGCCGATTAGGGTTTTGGCGTGTTGGGTATCCGGGTTTTCAGGGTCGAGATCGGTACGGCTTTCCAAGTCGGGAGGGATGTCTCCGTAGGCTAGGTTCATGTCGATGGACTTCTTCTTCTTCTTCTTCCCGAGGAGGGCCGGATCCGAGACGGAGCGCGGAATGCCGGGAGCTGCATAGTTTGGCGGGGGAACGGGTGGTTCTGCGTAGGCTGGCGCGGGGGGGTAGTACTCGGTCGGCGGGCGCACGAGAGTCGGTCTCGAAACGGTCATGTCTCGCGGAGCGGTCTCGGCGTAAGGGGATCGGTAATTTTGCGGAGGCGCCGAGGGCGGAGTGGCTGAGACTTCCGAGTGGGTGCGGAGGTTAGCTTCGGTCAGGGCTGGCCTGCCGCGTGAGGCGGAGGGACCGTAGCGGCGCGAGGAGGCGCTGGAGCGGTGGGAGCGATGGCTCCGATGAGAGACGTAGGAGCGGCCATCGTCGCCGGCGTAGTAAGGGTTCTCCCCATAGTCGTACTGCTCATAGTACTGAGCCTCCTGGTAGTGAAAAGACGCTTGTTGGCTGACATCAAATGTCTGGCTGCGTTGGAGCGAGCGCTCTTGATGAATGGCGGCCTTCTTTTCGTGATAGCATGCTTTGGCTTCTTTGAAAATGCCAAATAGTTGTTTCCCCTAGAGCGGCGACGTAATCAAGGTTAGCAATGAGTTTCACAAGAATAAGGTGAAGGTGGTGCCCGAATGATTTGGGCAGTATGGCTGGGGTTGGGCTTCGGTGAGGCATCGAGAGAGGGCGGTGAGAGGTGTTGGTGTTGGTGTTGGCGGTGGTGGTTGTGGTCGTTGAAGCGACGAGGCGGGGAAAAAGACACTCACGGTGCTGATAATCTTGCCCGAGTTGTTGATGATGGTGATGGATTCCTGGAGTCTCGACATTTTGGCGCAAACCTGCGAGCAGGCGTCTCCAAGATAAAGAGAGGTTGATTGCCTAGAGGTGGAGGTCGGTTTGTCGTTTTTATGGAGGTGAAGAGTGCGATTTTGAAGGGAGGAAAAAAGCGCAGTATTAATGAGTCGCAAAGTGATTGCGTGGAGTGCGTTTCAACACGGGAGGAGCCGCTTTCCAAGAGACAGTGAAATAAATGGGTGTTTGGGTCAGTGCGTTGTCGAACCTGTCGAGCTGCGCAGTAAGGAAGACGGTCAAAAGTTTGAAGCCGTGAGGTATTATTATATCATACAGAAAGACAAGTTGAGAGATAGAAGACCGTTGGGAAGATGCCGAGATGGTGTTTTTTTCCGGAATGTCAGGGGAAAGAGGTGGAGGAGGAGGTTAACAGAAATAATCCCTTGTCGATGTGGATTTTCGATGTGGATTCTGGCGCCGGAAGACTGGAAGACTGGGCCGAGACGGGAACAAGGCAAGAAGAACGAATGGAGCTCGCGATGTTCAAGATACGTACATGTACCTTAGCCTGCGAGGTAGGGCACGATGACACTGTACGAGGTAGGTGGTATCTCGTGCAGGGTGCAGCCAGGTTTGGAGTACCTCCCTGCAACAGTATCGAATCCCCTCGAGATACTTCGTAAGTGCACTCGGTTGGGTTTCCAGTGTCGTGGTCGTGGCTGGCCCTATCGTGGTGCGTCTCCGAGCGAGGTGGGGTGGTTTGGCGGTGAGAGCGCCAGGGAGGAGAGGCGAAGGAGAGGGAGAAAGACCAACGCAGCTGAGACTGGCTGGCTTTGGTGTTGGTCTGGCGGGGTGGGATTGGTGGGGAAGCCGAATCGGGTCTGGCTTCGCCAAGTCTGCGTCGTGGGAGGCTGGGAAGATCAGGGTTCAGTGCTGTGGGACGCCAGCTAAAGATCTTCTGACAGGTACGGACTAGGGCGGCCAGGATGCAGTAATGGTGATGGCGGGAGGGAACCTCGGAATGGCGCAGGGGTTGTTTCTGAACAGAGGGAACCCGTGCAGCTCTCAGTGGACGGTGTCACTGCACGCTCTGGGGTTTCACAACAGTCGATTCCGGACAGCCGGAATTGTCGACGGCTCAGCGCTTGGTGACGAAAGGGTCAGCAAGAGCTGCGGTGTTGATGATGATGTTGTTGTGTCAAAGAGGAGGAAGCAGCGACCGAGTACTACTTTACTCTTTATCTCCTCGTCATATTCAAGGTCTCGGGATTAGGGAGAAATGGCTCCAGCAGGACCAGATAGACACCAACGAGAGGAGGACAGGAGCGGCCACTAAAATTTAAGGTGAGGGAACCCACTTATCCACTTGCCTTTCCAGTTTCCAGCATCGCTTCATCCTCAGTCAGAATCCCGGCTCCTCAGGCTCCAACTAGACAAGCATTCTCCTTCATACGATCCCTTGCTTCTCTTTCCGTGATTGGCAGCTCGTCGTTGGTTCTTTTCCAGTGGCTCGATTGGGAATCCCGCCCATGCCAGGTCATCCAGTCTCCTGTTACAGGTGACCAAGATGGGGCAAGACCCAACGTCGGAGGAATCATAGTGGTCGCTAATAATATTACCAGGAATTATCAGAGCAAACCGTTGACGAGACTGCCAGGCTTGTCGACCACTCAGCAAACAGGGCGGTAGACTTATTCAGACTTGGCGAAAAGAGTCCATCTTTGATCGCCTCTTGGCCCGGTTAGGCGCCCTTGCATTCGGATCAATCCACGGATGAGAATCCCCGACTGCTCCATTTAGTGCACTCTTGGCTCCCTGGCTTTTCTGGCCCGCCAAAGGGCCAAAGGGCCAAAGGGGCAAGATTCCCAGCCATTCGACAAGTCCTGGAGTTGTAAACTGGGACTGGGCACGCTTCCATGAATTCATCGCCATGTTCAATCGTTCCTAATATTTGAAGCCAATCCAAGTCGCCATCAAGTGTACAAGTCCGTATTACGTACGCAGGATGCATCCCCTTCAAATGTTACAATTGTACCACCTTTGTACTGTTTAAATTGGTGTCCCGAGTACATTGTCCCGAAGAACGGCTGTCTCCTGCTGATTGTGTCTCGGCGCCTTCATTCGATCATCCGTTGTCTTAATCATCTTCTCTTGATCATTTGGTTACATAAGAACCCACAGACCAGAGAAGGTTTGGTGCCTGAAGCCGTGATCCGGTCGATTTTGCAAGCCTCAATGTCTTCATTGATTGGCTTCGCGAACCACACATCACCCTGCATTGGTCGATCCAGATTCAGGTCCTCGCTTGAGTCACGATGCCTCTTTTGGGGCCTGACTAATTCTGGGAATCCGTTCTCCCTGGCTTACTTCGCACGAACGACTGGCCAACAAGACGGCCACGACAGCTCAGCGGGTCCAATGCTGGAAGCAAGTGTTACGATCCATTTTTCCTGGCTAAGATCCAATCACTAAAATACTTCGTAGACAGATGCCGGAATCGATGCACTCTTGGCCTTATTTCGAAAGGACGACCCCGTCTACCAGATTGCTTCAATCTGTGTATCGCCGAGGTTACCAACATGGCTAAGTGTTCCTTTGTTTCTTTTCCTAGCTTCCAGAATCACCTCTAAACTTAGCAACAAGTAATAAAATAGATTTTCCATGTAGAACAGATGGCAAGCCCCGTATACCTATGTACTCAGTAGACTTGTACGTGACGTGGAATGGTCGGGTTACATTTGAGGAGTAGGGAGCCCACGGCACAAGTACGAACATGATGGCTCGAATTTTCTGTGCTCTGTGCTCTGTTGTCCCGAAAGCACAATTGTCGAAATGATGTCGCCGCGGTCTCGCAGTTTCCCCAGAGTTTCGTAGATCGTGACTGTTGCGACAAATCAGGGGAAGACTATATAAACTCTTGAGAGAGATTCACGTCCAACGACTCGTAGGAATCTCACAACCACCACCCCATTATGTCTGTCTTGAATCCCCAAGCAGGGAGATGGCAAAAACATGCCAATACCCGTCTGAGCTGGGACTTGCGCAAAGGGTTGAAATGAACGAGCTATCTGCTCACGAGGAACACCATCACCAATAACCCCAAGACTGCATCTTCATCATATATAAGCATCGTAACCAGGCTGCTGGTCACTCGTCGACCCTATATGCGGCCCAGAGTCAAGTGTGATGCATGCCGTGTCGATATGGCCGAACTTTGGGCCTGTCCTGTACTCACACCTCTCATTTCCACAAAGAACGGGCCTGATGCTAAATGGATCGGTGTCTGGCGAGTTAGGATCTCCCCGTGGAAATACACAACGTCGACCGAGGTGCTCCCCCTACTTGAAGGATTTAGAACGACTGGGTGGAGAGCCTCAGACGATGAACTCGGCCCCAGTCCCTTGGCCCTCGTCAGTGGGGGCCGTATTCTCGTCGACCGTTTCTCGGAGTGGGGAGGGTTCAGGGGACGGGAAGGGGCATTGCGGGGATCGGCATCTCTGCCAGACCAGCCATCATCCGAAACTCCGAAACGAGGAGTGAACAAAATCCCCCAAGACTGTTAACCCCGATGGAGATGCTACACATTCTCCTGTCCCGGATCGAACAACGAACGACAGTTCTCTTGAAATGCAGTCTTGCTTAAGCCGGAATCTCCTCCAATACCTTTGTACCTTGAAGCAGTTCGGAGAAAAAAGCAAGACCTCGTCGAGAGATGGATAGAACTGGTGCGCCTTGTCGGCCGCTCTTCCTATTTAACCCTTCTTTTTCCTTCTCCAGCACGGTTCCACACCACCACCTTGTGTCCCGTCACTATATTCAGTATAGGCTCCGGGAGCCACTTAGCAATGAGAGCTTCCGTGCCTCACGGCGGCCGCCTGGGGAATTATCACCATTATCTCAGTTGGATTGAAGGATCAGCCTGCGAGATTCATTACCTGCCATGGTTGGTGGTCGGGGTTCGTCCAACGACTTAATAACTTTCCCTCCTAGATTTATTATTTTTTTTTTCCCTCCTAAAACAGTATCAGCTCACACTCCAAGCGAGAGCACCAAGCAACTCGACGTACAATTTCTATAGGGCCGCTCTTATTATCATGGTATTTAGAACCTTGCCGGTTATTCATCTGGTCAAGCCCTTCTCTTCTGCTGAGGCGAGCTCCGGTGGAACTTGACATACCAAGCAAGTATTTGAGAAATCGAAATGAAAAATTGTCAGGAATTCCTAGACCTTTCATAATAATGGACATGATCGAATACATCCATTGATTGTGACGGATACTCTGAAGTTCGGGTCTACTGGGCCTCAGTGCGCCTTGCGTCCCCTTTGATCTTGGCTACATGGAGAAGAAGTTGGTGATTTTGTCCCGATAAAGAGCCAACAGTTTCTGGCATCTCCCATCGGTACGCATTAACTGAGTCGCCAAGCCAGCGACTTAGTCCCAAGGTGACCATCTGCCGCCAGTCCATAGCCCCATCTTTTCGTCCAAGCTATGTACCTTTCCATATCTCGCAGAATATCGTCGGTATACTCACGCCGCTCCAGAGAGGTGAAGGGATATAGGCCCTGGCGCGGTGAATAGTGAGGCCAAGGAGAGTTGATAAGGAAGAGGGACCGGAAGAAACCCCTAGATAATAGTCTTGGGACTTGTCGGACCGCGACTCGCGTCATAAGTCAGTCATCATGGATTCGACGAGGGAGCGCTGGTCAATCGCAGGGCCGTTTCAAACGATGATCAGGCCGACAGCTTCGAAGTCGTTGACGATGTGGTAGAATCTTTGCCGAGTGGCGTTGCACCGATCGAGAGCCAGCTTTGACAGCGGGTTTCGACAGGTGAAGCAGACCCTCAGGAGAGGACTGGCGCTGGTGGTGGGTGTACTGTGGACGTTACATCGCTGGATGGTTGGCAAGGATGTCGCTGAAAGAGCTTCAATTCAAAATTATGTCTGCATCGTCAACCCTATATTTCGAAGTGGACGTGGTACGAAGCAGTTGGAGTTGGGGTCCAAGATCGTCCAGACAAGCATCCTTCCCGAT